ATTTGGGTTGTTTCATTGAAGGCTTTTTGCCGGTTATTCGGTTTGCGTTTTTTTTTCGCCAGGAGATTTTAAAGGTGCACCTTTCCGTGCGCATTGCCGATTTAAATTTTTTCCTTAAGAATGAACATTATTGAATTAGCAAGGTGGTGATTTTGGTTTCACAATAGGTCGGGGCAGGTGGAGCGGGAGGGTGTGAATAGATGTACTAACGATGAGTTTGACGATGCAGATTCGTTTCACGAAGTGAAGAGGAAGCGGGATAAGAAGGAGGTGAGAAATGGTGGAGGGTAGGAGCTAAGTGGTGGCATTATGATTTCGGAGAGTAAAGCTGTGAGTGGGTTGAGAGAGCGAGATGGTGTATCTGACGCCCGTGTGCACGATGGTACAGCGGAGTGGAGAGGCGAAGGATCGAGACGCGGACATGAAGGTACGACCTGGGAGTGGTGGTTACACTAGGGTAGCTGGGCGTGGCGGTGGTGGAAGAGGGGGTTCCTTGCCGCGTTACGGTGCGCAGGGTTCACAGGGTGAGTGTCATTGCTCCTTTCACATCGTCTCTTTCGCTGAGTAGGTTATGGTCTCTGCAGAGGAATTCTAGAGCGAGTCGTATATGGAGATAACAACAGAGTTAGTGGTTAGCCATTTCGCAGCGTGACTCTACTTTGTCCAGCTAATCAGCTTAGGTAGCAGGTAATTGAGTGGGTCACATGATACAGATTTTATGGGCAGTCATGTCAGACGTGCGTAATGGTAAAAGTTTTAGGTTCAGTAATCTCTACCATCGGATCACCGCAGGTCCTGTGAAAGGTTATGATGCTGAAGAGATTGATCAGCCAATATACTCAAAGAATGCTTGATGTGATGTGATGAGACGGCTTGGCGTGTGAGAATTGAGCGGGCAGTGTACTACATGTGTATTATTAGAATTGTGGCTTTGAGGGTGGCTGGGTGGGTTTTGGGAAGGGTGGAGTGATATCTGGGGTGTTTTGGACTGCTCAGAGTATGGCCGTGGGCGGGGTCGACCGTATGCAAGGGAGAATGACATTCATCCTGGTTCAGGCGGTTCAAGCGCAGTTTCACTCTCGAGCCCTGCAAACGCTCCAGCCAAGCCGTCGGGCGCAGCTCCCACGTAAGCGTGATATACGAGAGATTGAAAATGAGTCGTTGGAAGAAGAATGCCACCTCGCACGGGGACACCGACATCGCTGTGCAGGATTTGAGCTAAAGCTTCAGCTTGGAGAGTATTCTTGGTGTTGTATGTGGCGGCACTCCAATTTGAGATGCCTTTGGATTATTGTTTTGGTGATGTGGGGCGGACTGAAGGGTAGATTGTGGAGTGGAGTGCTGATAATCGATTGGGCACTTCAGTTTTAGAGGCGTTGGTTTTGGAGGATGAGTTTTCGAATTCTGTGGCTGTGAATTGCAGCTCTAGGCCGTCTCCAACAGGCGCAGCAGTACCAGTTCAGGTCTCGAGTGCAGGCAATATAAGCTCGGCAGGAGCAGCAAGTGGAAGCAACGGTCAAGTGAGGCCCTCACTAACCCCGCAAGGAGCATGGGCATCAGGACACGGCACAATTGCAGACCTATTGAAAGCACGAGCAGTTCCTCCCCCACCTCCCGTAAACCTCCAAGCATCGGCTGCTTCTCCAGCCGTTCCAGCCGTCGAACTGGTTGTGACTGAGTCGTACCCAGCGGCCTCAGCCACTGTAGCATCTGTATCATCACCGGAGTCCTCAGAGTTTTGTTCGTCAACTCCGGACCCGGTGCTACAAACTTCGGCAGACTCGTGGGCCATGGGCGCTAAAAGTGCAGTTGGATCGGTGGGCAACCAGCGGCCGATTGGAGACCAGCCTGTAAGTTGGACTGGAGCTGATGCTGAGGTGAGCCTGGATTCAATCGCAGCGTCCCCATCCGCTCAAGCAAGCGCTATCCCAGCAGCCATTGAGTCAGGAAATTTGGAGGTGGAGGTGGAGATGGAGTTGGCAGCAGCGAGACCGTCTTCTCATCCTCCTGCGGCGGCGCCTGCACCGTCAAGTCGAGACGCGAGCGCAGACAATGCTGCCGTGAGCATGGAAGCAGGTACCTCGCAAGGACATGGGTCAATGAGCGCACTGGGCGGGAACCAGTTAAACAAAAGGCCTTTGTATGTGTCCTCGCAGCAGCCCATGGGCACTCAGAAAGGTAAGAGTTCGTTATATGGTTATAAGAGTTGGTGGACAATGGCATATCATGGATGATCATAGGAGTTGGGTATTCTCTTTGAAATTTAGGAATGTTGATTAGACTGTTTTGATTGGCTGACGAACGTAATTGGGGAATTTGCAGCTGTGGGCGGCGGCGGTTCTGAGTGGATGGGAAAAGCTTCAGGGCATAGCTCGCTGATATCGTCATCGGACGGTGGTTCTCAGGGTCTGGGTACCGTGGACCCGACGAGCATAGCACAAGCCTACCAGTCTTTGAATATACAGGACGATGAGCCGGTAATTATACCGACGCACCTCCGAGTGCCGGAGGCTGACCGTTCGCATCTGAGCTTCGGCAGCTTTGGGGCCGATTTTAGGACGAGCTCTGGGCTTGCAGAAGTTCAGGAGACCAAGAAGCACGTGGAGACGATTGCAGCGGATGAGGCTTCCATCGAGTTGCCGGCTCCTTCGAGGTCAGATCTTGAGGTTGCAGTTGAAATGGGGTCTGTCGCAGAGTTAAGTGCATCGTGCTTTCATTTTTGTGGATCGCCAGTAGGTGTGTTGGCTAGGAGTGAATGTGTGGTGATGCAGCGAAAGGGTTGTGTGGTGTGTGCATGCGAACTGATAGTTGAAAATGGATGGGTTTCAGCGTCGAGACCCAAGTGGAGATGGTGCAGTCGTATGGGCTGCAGGAGGTGGCGACTCCGCTGGAGAACATGCGCGCGAGCGCGGAGGCGCCATCAGTGGCTAACCAAGCTCCGGTAGTTTCAGTCCAGGAGCAGCACACGAAAGCAGATCCGGTGGTGCAGCAGACACCTTACTTCTTGGGGGCTTCAAACTATCCTGGGTTTGGACTGATGCCACAAATGCCCGGCGGTCAGTATGGGTATGAGCAAGCGGAGTCGGCACCTCAAGACATACCTCGGATTCCAAATGTGGTGGTATGTGATGAGCATGTGGTGTCGTTCGTCGTGTTTACTTTATCTTTGTTTTCTGCCCTTCTTTTAGTTATGGAGACTGGACGTAGGTGCAATTGTATGTGCGTGACGTTTTGTGGGTAAATCGTCAAGTATGTGACTGACTTGCTTGGTACTGCGGTTTTGATTCTACTCAGCCGACGTACGATCCGACAACGAGTTACTACACTTCAGCATTCCCCGGAGTAGAATCCGATCGGCTTAATTCTCATTATGTTCCGACGTCCTCGAGCAAATATTCTGGAAATATTGGTCTGATGGCAACTCCCTCTCTTCTATCTCCGGAGGTGAGTAATCGGGACCACTGGTTTGGAATAGGAAGAGTGTGGTTGTGATGTTTTTGAGGGACCTGTATTCTGAGGGGCATTGATGATGCGATTGTGACGAGGCTTATTTGGTTGTGCAGGGAGGCAATCCGATGTTAGCTTCTGCAACACCAAGCGCTAGTGCTGCGCAGAGTTCGCAACCGGGAAGCGACGTGCAGACGGCACAAGTGGTGCCGCAGCAGGCTTTGCCGTTGCATTACTCGCAGCCTCCTTCAGCTCATTACGGGAATTACGTGAGTTATCAGTATATGCCAGCGAATTACCCTCTCATGCAGCCTCCGTATCCGCATCACGTATACAACTCGAGCAGCACAGCCTATGCCCAGCCTCTTGCAGGTTCCATATACACTCCTGCAGCCGCGGTATCGTCTTTCCCAGCGAGTGGAGTGACGGCTGTGAAGTATCCGATGCCCCAGCACAAGCCCGGTGCTACGGCTGGAAACGTTCCTCATTCTGCGCCTTATTCCGTAGGATATAAAGACTACATTACAACTCCTTCGGGATATGCGTCGAGTCCCGCGGTGACAGCTGGGACCAACTCTGGATACGAGGACGTGAACGCATCGCCTTACAAGGACAGCACTCTGTACATTCCGAGTCAGCAGGTAAGGCGATGCATCCCAAGAGTTGTGGGAGAGTAGAAAGTGAGGGTGGGCATGACGGAATCGTGGTTGTGAGTCGGTTGTCCCTGGGATCGTCTGCCGTGTTAATCTGTAGGGATGGCTCCGCACTTTTGGTTTCCTTAAGTTTGGATGATATTGTTGCATACGGTAGGCGGTGTGGTGCAGTTGGCGAGGCGCTGAGAGACAGAGCTAATACTGTGTACGTTGTTTGTCAGCAGGGAGACGGTTCGACGGTTTGGATCCAGACCACGATGCTTCGGGACATGGGACCTTCAGGGTCTATGCAGACGAGCTCATACTATAATGTAGCGGGACAAGGTCAGCTTAGCGGATACGCACACTCTCAGCAACCGACGCACGGGCACGCGCACCCAAACGCGGCGTATTCTAACTTGTACCATCCGTCACAGATAGGGCCAGCTCCGAGTCACCAGATTCTTCAACAGCCCCAAGGCATGGGAAGCGGAGGGGGAAATAATCAAGCAGGAGCATACCAACGTACACAACGGGCATGGAACACTTCGAACTATTAGTGGGCTGGGGTTATTTAGAATGTTCAAACATGCAGAAATGATGTAATTTCAGTGCCTCCTGTATGCCTAAGGGATGCTGACGGGATTGGGAGCATCGATGATCTCCACGCCACATTTAGATCATGGCAGCTGGGTGAGGCGGAAAGGGGTGAGGGTGATGGCCTATGAAGAGTGTAAATACAAGTTAGACGAAATAGTAGGATGGGTATGGCGGATCCAACCGTTGTCCTTGCCACAAATTTTGAATCACTGGCACACTAAAAAAAACTTTAAAACTTTGAGCTTTAACTCGCTTATGCAAATCACATGATAGATCAATAGAATGACCGAACATTGTGGAAGCAGACAGTAAATCGAGGTGCCATTTTCTTGTGATGATAAGTTTTATGTTCGTGTCTGGGCTGTATCTATTGAAACCATTCCATATCAACTGATCTTAAACAGATCGATTTTGCTACGCTGTGGGATAGTACCTCTAGCTTTGAATGAAAGCTGGGGAATGATTTAATGGGCAGACACTGAGTATGTGCTTTAAGATTTTCTGGCTGAGATTCAATAAGGAGTCAAAGAGAAAGTCACTAAACGTCAATCATAATTACTACATCATAATTGACAGTCATGTTTTCTCTCCCACAACGTTCAGGGGCACATGGCTGCAACTGATGACAAATTGAAACCAAATCAGAACTTTATTAGATAATTGTCTCATCAGTGGTCTAGGTGAAGAGTCTAAACTGATTAATCAATGAACACTGCAGGCAGACTGTTCACAATACTCTACCAAAATATTAATCATCTCGCTTCACCAACTGTTTTGATCGATAGAATTTTCCTCGATATCAGGGCTAAGGCGATGAACGCTGTCACATTTCTCAATCACATTATTAATACTCGTAAAAATCTCAAGTCTGGGTTGTTGACTCATCCCGGTGACGAACCTACACACAAGAAAATGTCAACGTTAGGGACGAAAGCCCAGGACTCCAACCGAGCAGACAGGTTAAGTATATCCTGCCCCACCCAAACATAGTGCAGTTGTCAAGGAGGTTAAAGGGAGTTCCAACAAAGCTTGCAAACACGAGACGAACTAGACATGGATTATTTCAACACTGCTCCCTTGAATGAAACGTTACTGGGTCGATGCAACTTCAAATTTGTGAAAAAGCCCAGAATATTGCCAGAAGCGAGTCATCAAGTACTTCTAAAATCTAATAGCAAACATTCAGCTCAAGACTGAGAGCTGAAGAAAGTTGGATTCGAACTGTGCATCCACTTGCAGAAATAGAATGAGACTCCCAGCAACAGATTCCCGCTTACTCCCATCACTCAAGCATAGAGAATCTCAAACCAACATTTCAAATCTCAGCTCAACCTCGAATAATAGTTATCGCATACCAGAACAATCACAACAAGCGATATAACACATACTAACGAGAGAAAACAATATAAAAATGTCACTGACTAAAGTTAGACGGCCAGGCTCTCTCAGACCTTGAGGAAACTGAGACGTGAAAGGCTTGTGTGCCAAGTGCACCACATCCATGCAAGAAGAGAACAACATGCCATTTGAAATTGAAACAGGACAGGCTGCATCATCACAATAGTATTAACTACATAGAACAATGAACAGATGTCACATAAAATCCTCTTCCAATTCCGCCAGGGATTTTCCCTTGGCAGCAATATCCTTATTAGATGTCATCTTCTCCTGAACCATGAGCCTTGTGTAGCTCCGAAGTTCTGCCTGCTTCTCCTTTTCCAACCGCTCTATTTCTTCTCGCCGTTTCTGCATTTGAATTCAAAATCGTCAAAACTCGCTTTAACCCTGCAAGTGACTATCACCTTATCTCACCTGCTCTAATCAATCTGAGTATCCAATCGCCAGTTTTCAGATTCAGACGTTGAACAGGGCGAATGAAAACAAAACAAACTACATCCACTACCGCAAAACTCAGAGGACTTTCCACCAACGATTAAGTACTCCTATTGGAATGAAATCAATCGCTTCGGCTTGATTATACGGTCGGGAGTATGAACGAGTAAAAGTGGGGCACAAAAATCTCTAACAAGACTTGATCCCATGCAAACTCGACAGAAATATGAAGATATCCAAAGGTAGAGGGATTATACCTTCTCCTTGATATGTGCCTTCCGTTCATTTCTCTCTGCAGCGTTGTAGGCTTCCCTTTCAGCTGCATCCGGCAGATTCAACGAGCATGTCAACACACAGCATTAAAAGGAAGCATTTTGGTTCGCTGAAAACATGGTAGCTAGCTGAATAAAGTAATAAATAAATCAAAGACACAGGGGCAATCGCACCTTTCAAGTCAGGAGTCTGCTCGGTTTTAGTCTTGTTCAACCGATTCACAATTTCATTCTTGCGTGTCTCAACCTTGACTGTACGCACCTGCCATAAGGCCGTACCAACTTAGTCTAATTCGAGGTCCATGAACCTGAAGATATCAATAGTACACCAATCTTTGTTGAAAACAAAGACAAGGGTCTACAAACTCTTACAAGCTTGGAGTTATGAAAGCCAACTTGGCCAACGTCCATGCTTTGAGTCTTCCTCAGATTATACCACGGTGTGTAAACAACATCCAAGTTGTTGAGTTTATTACCTACACAAAGTATCACCTACCTATGCATCAGGGCAAGCCTCAACAATGAAATCATCCGCTCGACTACAAGCAGTGCATGAAATAGTTCTCCCAAAAATTCCACTCTCCTCATCAAATGAAGCGTAACTTTAGAACCTCATGCTAACATACCTTGGATGGAGTTGGCCTTCACGAGCTGAGCACAATCTTCTAAAAGCTCAGGGCTGATCATCTCCATAGTTTGGCCCTTGTGCATTCTCAGGTAGACATGAGCAGATGACAGCTTATCCACATGGAACCTGGGCCAACAATGAAGCTCCTCATTATTGTTACGACGACTGCACTTGTCCCACATGGACTCAAAGCATGAAAAATCACTGCTGAACGTCAATCCCATATCAGTCACAGGGGAGAGAAAAAAAAAAAAAAAAAAAAAAAAAAAAACTCTCCTGACTCCTGAACGGAAGTAGCTCCATATTGCAAACGACAATCTAAAAGAAAAATTATGCTGTCAAGGGCGTTGCACGTCCTCACAGCAACTTTGGTAACGTAAAGAGGATTAAGTAGAATGCGCATCGACCAGCACACAAATTTAAGTGTCTAAAGCGCTGAATGCTTGTAGTGAATGATCTTATTTTTCAATCAATCGATAGATCACGGCTAATCCAATTCGCAGGCGTCGCCATCCGCCGAAAAAAAAACCACCTCTATAATTCAATTCAGCTGGCCCTGTGAACGCGAAAGATGTAACCCAATCCCTAACATCAACGCAATTACTCCCTCCCCACTCACGACAACGTCTGCAAACTCCAAAACTACCCGACTCAACAAAACAAGAATCCACTCCAATCTAAACCAAACTGCACAAACAAGCACCAAAATTCGAAAGCGCAAAGCTTCCACCGAATTCGAAGTAGAGGTTCCCTTTGCAATGCCACAAATTACAACCGAACCCTAAGTTCACGAAACATCGCCACAATCTGAAGCACAATCATACTCATTGCCAAGAGCTCGAAAACGGAACGCACCAGATATCCTCCGGTAGGCCATACTTGATAAGGTCCTCGTTCTCGTGCTTGTCGAGGCCCATGTAAATAACATAGTCCCCGCATTCGGGACGTGCCTTGAAGTAGTACACCATGATGACAACACCAATCTAACTCTCCTTCACAAATCCACGCACCGTGAATCGGAGACGGAGGCGTGCGGAAGAACCGTCAGAAGCGCGAGTTTGACGTCGAGGTGCTCGCTCTCCGTTGGCTTTGTGCTCTCATGGCGGCGATTGCGACACAAGGGGAAGAAGAAGACGTGCAATTGAAAGGCCGGCAGCAGAGTGTACTGAATTAGTAGTGACGACATCGACGACGACGACGCCCGTGGACCATCGCCAAAACAGAGCGGAGTCGCTGATGCCCACAATCTCCGCTTTATCTCTGTTCCTGTAGGCACTTCTTACCCTAATCTATCGACTAATCCAGCATTTTTCCAGCGTTAATCCAGTGTTATGGAGCTCAAGCAAGGTGAGTAGTAATTCTGGGTCTGCAACAGGAATTGGGACAATGAATTTGCCGAATTAGTGACCAATGGATTTTAATTCCAAAAAATTAAACATGTGTACGTAATCAAACTTAAACCACTTTAAAAAATTCTTTCTACTTCATTTGAATGGTCGTTTGTAAAATCATTAGCAAGCATAATTGAGGTTTTATTTCCATTTTGCTCTTGTGATGTTACAGATTCTTGAGTTTTGATTTGATGAGGTATAAACTGAATCATGGATTATGCTAATTTTGCACTCAAACTAGCGTATCACTGATGGAGTATTTTGATTTCTTTAGAAAATGAAGAGTTGATATATTTATACACATTGCAAACTGCATTAAAATTTCCAACATTATTCTTTAAAAATTAGAGTTTCAGAAACTATTCATGCATGTTTTTAGATGAGGTAATACCAAGTTTACATGTGTTTTACATTGTTTGATAAGATCCAACTAGTATCAATTTGAATAATTATAATTTAAGGTTTGACACTAACTTCTACAACTTACATATACATAAAATTATAATATGTATTATGAAATAAATATTTTTTTAATACTTTTATTATTCAAATAACATATAGCATATGAAAATAATTTATGTATTTTTTTATTAAAATTTTATTAATTTATTCTAAAATCAATCTTAAAAATCAAATATTTCAGTAGAATATATAATAGATTTATCAAGTTGTACTATGTATAATAAAATCTCAAAATCCTTACTTTAATAAATTATATTATATTTGAACAAGTTAATATTATTGAAGAAAAGATAAGTAGGAAGTATCAACACTTAGCATTACTAAAGTTATACACAAAGAAAAGTATAGAGTAAGATGAATCTCACTTTCAATACCCATTACTTATGGAAGAGGGATTATATCTCATGTAAATAAACTTCATTTATAATCATCTTCATCCTACTTTCTTTCATCCAACTAAATCCTATATTCCTCTTAACCTAGCTACTACCATAATAACTTGTATTAAACATGTATTATCTTTTGACCATTAGCAACATACTAAGGTTAAACTCTAAATGGTGGTAACCAATCCTAGGTTTGTTGATCTTCAACAAATATTAATAGTAGATTATTCTAGAGCAACAAGTCAAATTATTCTAAAATATCTATAAGGTATGTAGGTAGAATAGTACAAGGAGCATGCATCTTAATTTACTAGTTATTAAATTTTGTATATGTTGTTTTGACTTATTGAATCCTCCATTCTTCTCCTTTATTTTCTATTGAATTACTTTTCTCTCTTCACCTTCCTCTAGACTATTTTTCCAAATTATATTAACAAGCATGCAAAAATAATTTGGACTTGTCAATTTTTTTTAATTAAATGAACATAAATTTTTAATAAAATGAACATCAATTTCTAATAATTATCCTCCTTAGTGCTTCATTTGGGGGTGATTTCTCTCCAACCATACATCAAGGATTGACTCTATTGAATTTTTAATTTTATCCATTTTTCCAAATATTTCTATTGTGAGTACCACTTTAAAAGCATTTAAATGTAGATGACTACACATATTCTACAGCCTTACATAATATTCCATCCAACATAAAGTATATTGGACTTTTACATCCAATACATTTTTATTTTTATTTTTATGTTTTTTTACATTTTACATACACTTTGTTAAACTTCCATGGTCTATCATCAATTAGATGTATCACTTAGATAGGTAGACGTGCATGAAGAAAAACCCCCTACCTGCTTTGTACCAATATTGCTCACACTGAAGTATATTGCTTTCCGGTATTAAACAGTTTTAATGAAAATTTAAGGAACAAAGCCACACTTGCACTACAAAGCGCACTACTAAACAAAAAGCAAGTCAATCTTTACTCCAGTCCACTTCATTACAGTCGTTCTAACGAAGGAGTGCGAGAAAGACTCGCAGCGCCTCCAAGTTCGAAGATCTGCTCAGAGCTGGAGTCCTTCCAAATGGATTGGTATACGAACCAGGTAGAACTGCCAAAACTCAGTACTTCACTATCATTAGATTCTTCGAGGATCGGCAGTTCCTAAGATCTTGGATGAACCGACATTTACATCAGAACTGAAAATGGAACTTTTGACAAAATATTGTAATCCGTGTTGCACAAAACAATACGTATTCGTTCTGCAGTTTGAGCAGAATCGATAGAGCCATGAGGGACATCATGAAAATATAATCTATTTTCTTGTTCATTAATTGGTGACCCATAACTTTTTTTACGGTGGAAATAACCTCTACACTCGTCTCTGAACATTCGAATCCCCATGTGTGTTTAACATGAATGCTTCAAGAGTCCACATCCATGAATAAGCTTCTATTTAGCATGCGTTACCAGGAAGAGATGTTACTACTAAACTTCAGGTGCTTACAATACCACGCGGACACAAACAGCACATCTATTACGCGGGAAGCCGGTCATCTAGTGAAGTTCTAGAAGGTTGGTAGGTTTATGTAGAACTTGGTGTTGCTATAGTCTTCCAAAAGAGGGTTGAACCCATCCAATGTTTTGGTCTTGTCCACTTGAGCGCACTGCTCCATGAACTCAGCAGACGTGACCTGCCAACCATTCCACCAAACAACTACCACCTTAAAAATCAACTTTAAGAAACAGGTAGAAATAATGTAGGAGGTTTAAAATGTGATGCCCTGAGCTCCTCGTCCAGTAAGTGCTTACCACCGTTGAAATGCGTTCGCTCGTTTCCGTCTTCGCGAACAAAGTTGCAGAATAATGATCCAAGCGTTCCAACAGTTGAAAATCTGTTGGAAAAAAAATGTCGGCGTTTCCCTAATAATACACAACCATTAGTTATTTCCTTAATCCACTTTGATTCATCTCATATCCAACGTGATGAAACTGAAAAAAAGGTTCCAGGACAGGCCCACATCATGATTAAGTTAAGCTTGTCATTATGTGATGTACAAGAAAGTAAATTTTATAGATTCTAGTTCCAAAAATCCTTAGATTGTCCGTAAGAGGAACAAAGCGATAAGAGAAGGATATACCATAGCCTCCAGGTAAGTAGAATGGTCCTTGGTCTCTCCATTTTCCTACAAAAGAAGGAAGATGCATTCCACATCAGGAAACACACCAACTTATCGCCTTTTAGTATCAATATGACATAGAACCCGCGTTCTTTATTTTCCATCAGCCTGAAGTTGAATTTTTGACTTCGTATACTCAGTCATCACCATGGTTTGCTGGAAAGGTAATATAAAATAAGGCATAAGAAAATACCTTGCTGGCCACAATAGGTGCACGTGCTCCAGAGATAGTGACGTCAGGCAGACTGCTAAAATCGGAAGTTATGAGAGCCATGTTGGGGCGCATCCTGTGAAGAGTTTCTAGTAATTGCTGTGGGATAAAAGGCAGCCGTTAGCAATAAAATATATATTTGCTACGCAGCTCCTACACAGCTGGTACATAACCAGAAAAAAACCTAAGTAATGTTTCAGTGTGCGCGTATCAACAGAAAAAGGAAAGCCTAGATTAAAATGTAATTCAGCATTCGCAATTTAATCAACAAAGCCAGTACCCCCTTAAATCAAAAAATCATCTGAGACTTTTCTCTTAGTGTAAAAAGCTAGCCAATTTACAGTATAACTGCGAGTATCCAAGAAAGAATCATCTGTGATGAGGAACCAGTTAGTACCAGGCATCCAGTGGGTATCCATGAGAGCTCAGCCAAATGAAGCAATCTGGATAATGAAGATTTTGCAGATGCCACTAGAGATGAGGTTCCAGAAACTGCAGTTGTCACATCAAGGCATCGTTTGATAAGAGGATCTTGAAGAGGCCGCCGCTCCTCTACATAATTTTTGCTGCAAATCAACATTATTATTGTTAGACAGATTTCTAGCGCATGACTTCAACAATCACATCGAACAACAGATACTACTGGTGCCCAGCAGAATCGCACATACACACCTAGTCTGGTCCTGTACAACCCATGTTTCTAACCAAGGGGACTTGGGTGTCTCCCTGTAAACCAGGTCGTGAGGGAGGTTGTCCAACACCTGCAAGGTCCAAGTTCAAATAATAAGATTCAAATGGAGACTCATCCCACAAAACCATAGTAAGGCTGAGTTCCTAGAACGTAACCTGATCATGATATTAAGCAACAATTTCAAAATAGGGAATAAATGGTCGCTGCTGTAATGGCAGCCAATAACTCAACACCTCACATCATAATAAGTGACTCTTTCTGGCTAAATCTAAGACTCGAAGCTCGAACAGTCATGTATTAAGAAAGTAAAGTTAGATCATGTTAACATTTCGGGATGATACCATGGAGACTAATGCAGGGACATCTCGAATATCTAATATAATATAAGGGAATTTGGGTTGCTACAGACATTAGATGGGATGGAGAAGCACCTCGAACATTATTATATAACAAGGACTAGCATTCACCGTCCCTGCACTTCACCAACTCCCAACACAGTGTTTCAGAATATTCAAGGCGTTAACAGGTTGCCCAGAATCAAACTACAGAATTAACAGAAAAGGTGGTGCAAAAAAGATACTGAAAAAATCATGGCAAAAACGTAGCAGTCGTGAAGATACTAAGGCTAGCATACAGAGAAGCCAGCATGAACACCTAGACATAATACTGGCAATTGACCACTGTAGATTCCTGAATCCTGACTAGTTTTATAAAACATGAGATGCAGTTGCGTCCTGTTCTCACTGATGAACATACAAGACAGAAACATACCCCAGGTCCGTGCATCACTGGCACTTCCGCAATTAACCATGAAATGACCTCTGTGGCTTATTACGGTTTCCACTCGGGCTTTCTGCTTTTTGGCTAATGCAGCACTAATCTCCACTGATCTGCCATGATGAAGATAAGGATATTCTTTGAATAATTTCACACAACAGGACCAAGACATACCCAATTCATCACATATGTATTCGATTCCGAAAACTTGAATCGCGGCTTCATCCAGGACACATACCATAATTACACATACCTCGAATTCATATGTCAATATCTACGAGATTAACAACAGGTATCTGAAATTCGAACGTTAACTGAAGTTAAGAGTTGAGGTCACTCACGTGTAGGTCATACTTTTGTAGACATTAGGCGCCCTAAGTTTGAAATAAGTGAGTATGTTGTTCGCACAGGTTCCAGTCCCTCCCCCAACTTCATATATCTGCAAGTCAAGTTGACCATGATAACAAATAAAACGAGTCTAAAAGTTAACAGCAACTTCAGCAAACTGGTTCTTATTTAACCCTGTTAAAATGTATAGCTACATGAAGGCAGCAAGGTACCTAGTACAAATATTGTTTTCAGGGATCTCATACCTTGAGCGGAGCTGAGGGATCCATAGTACGCAGAATATACTCAGCAACCGCATAACCATACCATGGCTGCAAACAGAATATCAACGGCGAATCAGTCAAGGATTTCAAGCTGCCAAAATAACTTCGTTACTGCAAAAGATTCTTGACACCTACTCGGACGTAAAATGAATGACACTCGCCTGGAAAACTTCCACTGGTGTAAACCATGCTATGTCATGCTGCTTGTACAACTTACTCAAATACTCGTTGTAAGCAGCCCGTCCTGCAACATGTCCAGTTAAAATCCTCTATCACAATCCAGCTAAACAATGCACCTCCATCACAGTCAGGGGCGGAAGAACTGTAAAATTGGAGTTAAATCACAAAGCATGCTGCATAAAGATAAATACAAGATATCCTAAAAAGAAAGTGGAGTATCGAACTTGCCTGGGATGCGATCGAACCTGATTGGCTCTGCTATGGCGCCAACTGCATTAGATTTAGCAGCAAAGTACCCCTTGTGGGGTTCATATAAGGCAGAATGAATGTAGTCCCGAACCTGAAAAGAAGAAACTTATTAATGCAGTGACCCACAAGATTGTCATCAGCACTCAAGAAAAAAGAAAAAAGAAAAAACCAACTAGAGCTACGAGACGCATTTGAACTCTAGCATTAGCTAACATTCAGAGCGTGGTAAGAAGCAGCAAATGCCACCAAAGGCACGAGTATGTAATATTCTAATTATCGCAGGCACAGTTAACCCTGACTGGATTCTCAAGCAATCCATGTCGTAAACTGTAAGAGCTCGTATTGATATGTTTATGGTGTTCTACAAACCATGTGTGTCCAGAAGTTGACACTCTACTATTAACTATTCGAAGGCAGTTATCTTACGAGGAGCCCCTTGTTTTCTGTAGATTCAGCTGCAGCTTCATGAGTCGATATCCCGGCAACGCCACAAAATTGGACATGACCTGCAGGCTTTTGACACCTGACCTGCCCATTGCGAAGCCCTGCAGTCCGAAAAAACCATCGTAAGCCTCAGAGTCATCACCAACACATAATCACAATGCTCTGCATCAAAAATCCAGGGTATATCTGCAAATCGTCAATTAGACGGCTGCAATCTACAGAACGCGCGGCAAGGAAACCGCTGCTTAAGTGGCAGCTGTAAACTTGCAAGTTTGAAAATCCAGAATATGACGTTGGGTATTCGACGCACCGTCTTCTTTCTAGCAACGGCAGAACCCTATTCTATCAAGTGAGTAGCGAGACGGTGTCGTCGAACTACAGATTTAGATAAGCAATGTGATATCCGAACTCGTATTATCTGCCTGGAAACAGCCGAACTCCACGGGTTTCTTTCAATGCAGTTCGAAATCGACATTTATTCCGGAGCAACTACGAATTTTAACAAAGAGCGAAACCATCTACAGCACCCCGACAGACAACGAAGTGGCGGATTAATTATAAGTTCACCAAAATTCTCGCCCAGACTGCATGAGAAGTGCGGGGTTCTTCCACGACAAGGCTAGCTACAGAGGAAATCAGTTGGCCGGTACTACGCAAAAAAAATCCAGAATAAGTTCACTGCAATAGACAACCACCACAAATAATCCGATGCAATATATATATATATATATATATATATATATATATATAAATGTGAACAAGATAAAATTACTCACGCAAACCGCAAATCCTTACGAATCATGCGCCCGAGTGCGCAAAAACAACTTCAAACTATCTGAAGCATCTATAGAGCACACATTTGCCAAGCAAGAACAAAATAACTACGCCGATCTTAAATCGCCACGTCCAGACATCAAGGGTAGCTAAATCGGATGCGAAGCAGAACAGAGATATACATGAAGCAAGGTGCCTAAGAACTGGCGGTTGTGCCCTCAATCCCATCTGTCAACTTCTGCAGCGCTGCATCGAAGTGCACGAATTCTGCAACTACGTGAAGCAATGTGATAGATTATTTGCGTTCTGGGGGTCTCGACGTCCTGGGCTTCGGTGAGGGCTGGTACATTCCGTCGATGGACGTAAGCAGTGGATGAATGCTACCGGCTAGTCTTGGGTAGAAGCGAGTGGGTTTCATGAGAGCCATCTTGGGTCCTACTTTCTTCTTCATTCAAACAATTCCATGACTGCGTAGACGGATTCATTTCCCAGATTCGCCCAAATTCCCACGACAAATTCGGTGGTAGATGTGACTATTCATTTCCATGTGACGAGATGGAAGGAGTAGTGTTATCGGAGAGTAATTTATTGCGGAATAGCGAGTAGTAATCTAACAAAGTAGACATTGAACACATCACTTAACGAATATGAACATAGACTGCAGACATGGAATTACAAGTCAAGGTTGCGCTGAAAGTAAATAGGTGCACGATAGTAGACAATTCTGGAAATCTGAGTCAGTGTATGACTCTTTCATTAGAAATAACTAATAATGCCTAGGCAATCCGTGGTCAAGCCAGCTTCAGAATATGAATAGCACAAGCGAGCTGCGGATCCAGACAAATATATATAATTACATGTTAGTACATTTAATCAACAATCGAGGGAGCACATGAATGTCTGCTGTGGAGGATATCCTTCGCACCCTCGAAACCCCAACATCACTACGTTTCTCCCTGATAAGTTTAAAAAGACATGCTACTCCTAGCGGGCAGCTTGAGACCATGTTTGTCCCCTCCAAGCGTTAGGGTTAGGGTATAAGTTAAAGCTTTCCAGCCAACACAAGTGTAGTTCGATTGACACAAAGATTACTGAAAATGAAAGCTTGCAGCACTGGAACTATCTTCGCTGCAGAATGGCGCTCAAAACGCCAAAAAAATGAACCAAGCGGTAGGATGCCCGGCCTTCTTAGGAAAAATTCAAAGCAGAAAAAAATAGATGAAATGTGAGGGGCTGCAGAATTGGGTCAAGGGGGTGCGACTTGTTTCCCCAGTTTACCCCAGTGCCATTTCTTCCCTCGTATCCACCTGTCAGTCGAATCTGTGTGGCTAAGTTTGTTCAGTACCACCTTCGTCTCTCGGAGCCTCACCTTGAAGTCTCTTTTCCACCCATCAAACCTAGTTTTCAGCTTCCGGAGCTCGTCTTCGGGGTTCAAATGCGCCTGAGTCTGACCAGACTTCACTTCTACAAGGAAGTCAATGTCGTCGGTAAACACCTGTTTCCGATGGTCAAATTCTCGGTCAAGTTGCACGACATAGGAATGCCCAGCCGCAACCTCACCCTGGCTTGACCCAAGCTCAGACCCTGCATGCAAGAATTTGTTAGAATTCTGCTCTGAATCCATAGTAACCTTCGCCGATTCCTCATCCAGTTCTTGGGTATCTTTGTGGAACTTTTCTTCCTCGGTGGGAAGCAGAGGCCGGGTGCCACGGCTCAATTTCCCACCTGTAGTCTTCAGGTCCCCAGAATCATCTTCAGGAGAAGTCTGCAATGTGGCACTCTCTTCGGTGGCAATGCTCTTTTTTGCAGCTGGTAAATTTAGGTGCAATGTGGCACTTTCTTCAGTGGCAATGCTCTTTTTTGCAGCTGCTAAACTTAGGTGCAATGTAGACATCTGCTTCTGCCACTTCTCCTCCATAGATGAAATTTTGGCTTCATACTCCGCCCACTGTTTCTCATAATGCTGGATCTTCTGACGCTGTAGAACGATTTCTTCCTCTTTCTCTCGTAATGCTTTCTCCGCAATCACCGCTCTTTGCTGCAGCTCTAAAACGTACGAAGGCCTTACCCTAATGGTTGCTTCGTTCTGTTCCTGCGCTCGTACAGGCACTCAAAATCTGAAAATCAAGTAACCCCGAACGAATTCCACATTCTAGAAATGCACAGGTGATCAGAGAGTTGAATAAACAGAAAACGGAATAGATGTACCTCAGATTCAAAACGTTTCGTCGTAGCCATTTCGTAAATTTCCTTGATACTTTCTTGCTCTTCATCAGCTGAGACGGTCCCATCCGCTTGTCGCGTCAACCTAGCCTCTTCTGACAAGACAGTCTCGAAAGCCACCTTTGCATCGGCTGCTATCTTCTCCTCTGCCTCCTCTACCAACTTTGCCTCAGCCACTCTCTTCTCCTCGGCCAACTTCTCTTCTGCTGCTTTCTTCTCCGCAGCCAGTCTAGCTTCCGCAACCCTCTTCTCCTCGCCTTCTCTCTGGAGGGCGTAAAACTCTCTTTTGGCCAACCACATCCGCGCGACTGCGACGTCCAAAACGATATCATAAGACAAGAAATAAACTAAACAGGATCTATCGATACATATACATAGATATAGATATAAACAAAATTTCCGCAGCAATTCCGAGGCAGCAAGACAATTACAGTATTTTGGAACTTGAGAATTATTTATTAATCGAGTAGTACCTGATTGGACCATGATGACATTCTTCTTCTTAGCTTGATATGCACGACGTGCACTCCACCTACGGACTTGCTTTTGAATAATTCGGGCTGCTCTGTGTGTCTGTTTTATTTTCTCAAAACGTCTCCTTGCTATAGCGGATCTAACCACTACACACGGATAAACAGTCCTTAGACAACACGTTTAAATCATTTGGAATTAAGCTGTGCTCAACAGCGAGTTTACTATTTCAACAATCTGAATGGATCTAAACTCATATCTGCATCAAGATCATTAATAAGAAAGATTATAATGAAATACACATTAAAAATCATCTTGTGAAGGAATAACAGCTCATCCTAGGATATGGAGACCAGCGCACTTTCGTGACTGAACATCTGAACAGTAGAAAACACTCACAGCATTGTAAGAAAATTATCGTCTTGCGCGTCTTTTTGTACGCACGTCGAACCTTGTACCCCTTGTACACTGCTTGGGCTCGATCAATACTGTGAAGAGTTCTTACCCTAACATCCTCCAGCATTCCAATCTGCAGTACACAAAGTTACAAATAGGATTCATAGTCGAACAGAAAGATGCGACAAATAAGCATCCAAAACAACTGCGCATCTGCAGTATGTTAACAGCTCTAACATACAAGGTAAGTTGCATATTGTATGAGCATCTAGAAGCCACCCAGCAGGCGAACTGAACAGCATTGTTAGTTTTTCTGATGCAAAACTTGAAGTAACATCACTTATGGGAAGTACCTGTCCAGCGCGGAAAAACAGTTTAGAGATACCAACTTGATACATTTCTGAAGTGAAGTACTTCTTAAAATGCTCAAGAATAGCCACACATACGCTCAACACGTCCTCTTGTTCAGAGACGTCTCTGGGGAGAAGGAAGGCATATCTGCAGAGGACAAAAATTAATGCTGATTTCTTTTTGCTACCCATTTTCGACAATGCAGATGCACATGTTGAGTTTACTAAATTAAAGACTAGAAACAAAGCAGACCTTAGCAGATCGGATGACTCGGTGGTACACATCTGTGAACTGTCCTACGAAGGAAATATTAAGATAATGTTAACCAGCATACAAAACAACATCTCAAACGTGAAGGCATCACAAGGTTCACGCTTTGAGATAGTACTAACCTGTTCGCAAAATCATTATGTGTATGTCGAGTTGGGTAGCCAGAGCGAGAGATGCGGACCACCTCCAGGACTCCACAACACCGAAGCTGTTGCAGGACCAGTTTCTGATCGATGACATTTGGAAGCTGCTGGGTATTTGGTTTGATGCAGCGTATAAAATGAGGTTCGGTTGCCTCCAACCTTTGCATGAGCTTGTTCAATTGGCCCTGCGGTCACAACAGATGGTGGTAAAAAACATGGTACATTTGCCTATCACAAAAAACACATCATAACGCACAAAACTGTAAAATTATGACATGTGCTGCGATGAGAGAGGCTGCAAACCTTGAACTTGGCTGCAACACTTTGCTTTTGATATTCTGAGCCATTAGATCTTTGAGAACCTTGGCCAGCTAAAAATTGACGCGTCATTGTACAATCACAAGACCTCAAAACCTCCACAAGATCTGCATGTAATAAGTCTCTGTTCTTCTCAAGAAACCCATCTGTTTCATAGAGCACCTGGAAATGTACCACAACATTACAACGTTCAAGAAAATCCACTGAAGTGAACCCGCAAAGGTAGCATACCAGCATCAACTCTAAGCACCCAACACTAGGCTTGCAATCACTGTCAACCTACGTCCTACACGAAAAATGCCAAGACTGCGAAAGAATTCTAAATAACAAAAAGTTGTCTACCTCTCCAGCATAATGGTAAATACGGAACTTCTTGTCCCGCTCTCCTTTAAAAGAAGCATTCCTTTTCAGATGGTCCTTCAACTTATTTGCAAGCGTAACATCAGTTGCTCTTGGAAACATACACTCCTCATCAAGTAAAGACAGTAATCCTACAGGCCTCTGCAAAGTCATGTACCCCGAAATATAAAGATTCAGCTCAGATGCTTAAAATCAAAGGATAGCCTCTAGAAACCCAGAGAGTCGTGCACAGCATGTAAAACGAATTAAAGACAGTAATCCTACAAATCAAGGTAAATATTTAGTGACGAGTCTCTTCACTGAAAAACCATACAATCCGTCGAATGGAACTCCATCTTCAGGAATAATCAAAGATGAAATTTACCTTCTCGATCAGATCAAGACATTCTTGATTGTCTTCAAATTCTATTCTGGTCCAATCAATATCTTCGGAAGTATATTCCTGCATGATCATCAAAGCAACCCGAACAGAATAAGTATTTTGCAAGCTGGTGTAGAATGAATGCCACAAAAACGGAAGGAAACAGCAAGGAGCTAATCTGGGTTCAATTCCAGTATAACATTAATTTAAGGAAAAGATAGCTATATCTATCACTGTATCTAAGCTTTCATAACACATACTTCTTGCTCAAGCTTAAAAAGGTGACGGTTGAAATGTTGCTGCAGCCTCTCATTTGCATAGTTTATACAAAGTTGCTCGAAACTATTTCTCTGCAAAGTCCGAGATAAGAATCGAGACGCGTTAGCTTACAAACTACAATACTATACTGCACCGAACGTAGATTTGCAAAACGAAACGATTCAACAGGTTTCCAACCCAGCGAACGGTAGGAGACTATGGTCCCAACAATAAAAGCATCAATGCCAAAAACAATTGATCAAAATAGTGCATACATCAGAAACAGTGAAGATGAACTACCTGGAAAGATTCAAATCCATAAATATCTAGAATGCTGATTGATCTTCCAGTCAGTGTTTTGCCAACTTCCAAAGACTTGTTGACACGTTGAACCAGCCAATCAAACAAGTAGGAATAAATGGCTTTAGCAAGCGCATCTCTTGAGTCGGTTGCCTGCAACAAAAACCTGTGTAAGAATGACGTATCTCCAAATAGACATTACCTTCCTGCACTTGTAGGTAATCTCAGCTCTATTGAACTAGCATGGACAGTCTCGCTCTAATACACGTTTCCAGCCAAACCCTTAAACACATCCTCATCTGAAATTGGTTCAGCTGAATTTTGAGACTTTAAGTGCAAAAGAAACAGAAATACCTGAGAAAGTGTCAGTCTCTGTACAATAATATCCCCCCCGGCACGAATCCTCCGAGTGGTGAGTGCTATTACAAGCTTACCAGCATCGCAATGCAGCAAGGTTGCCGCCATTTCCACCGCTGCTTTCACATTCATCAAACGGTAGAATTTTGTAAGCTAATGATAAATCATTGGCATCAATATCCACAAATATGATCGGTATAAACCCAACCACCCACAAGATGCAGTAGCAGCAGGATGACCACCATTATAAGAACATGGTAAATGAGGATTCTCTATCCGGCTGAATAATTGTTAAGTAACAATAAAAAGAAAAGCCTATGTAGCTACTCATGCCGATCCATGAACCTGTAACAATGACCAGTCTTTCTTAGAAACTCATCGACTAAAATGGATTCTGATAACCTCAGACATAAAACATCGACTCATCAAATATCGATGATTACAGATCCTCCGGTTTCTTCAAAATGACCTTGAAAACACAACCGCTAATAACATGTGAAGATAGATGAAATGCACTAGCGCAAGTTAACACGGAGTTACAATGAGAATAAAAAATAAAATATAGAATACGTAAGAAGTAGAAGAACCTTCTTTATCTTTAACCACGACATGATTGTCTGGTTCTACAACGCAAAAGGTAATATTTCCAAGCCACAAGACGGCTGAAAGAAGCTCAAAAACTTGCTCCTGCTCTTCCTCACAAATTTGCACCACACTCATAGCATTCTGCAAACAGTAACCCAGTAATACACCTTGATCTGGTCATTTCGAGGATAAGACAAAAAGTGATTAACCAACTAATAGCAGAACAAGTCTATTATTGGACAAAACAACGTCAATTTCTGATGCTATTCAGAACACACAAGGCTCAGCCATAGAATGCACGCACCCTCAAATGTCGGAATTGTTTGGCATCGTCAACATTGTCGATAGACAGACAAGAACTTTGGTTTAAATACCGATACTCCTTGGCGGGTCTCAAACTCAGACGAACTACTCACAGAGGATCAGAAGATCAAGGATGTTAGGATCACAGAGAGTGATGGAATTCAGAATCAGCCAGTAGAAGAAATCACAGAAGCAAGGTTTAATAATGTAATTCTATGCACTACGAGGCTCAAAAAAATTCCTCTAAAGAGACACCTAGACACATAGAGAAAGCCGACATACCTCGTAAAGATTCATCAGCACCAGCACATAATTGATAAAAAACGTGATATGATCTTTCGCCTTCTGCTTGCTGTACAACTCTCGACTGCATATAAAACAACAATAAATAACTAAGCAACCACAGATATAAGATAAGATACGATGAACGACCTCATTTGGTAATACTCTGAATACCAAACCACTAAGTTTTGAAGCCCTGTACCACCCACGAACACACACACACACACACTTCCCAACAGAGTAGCAGCATCCAACTCTGAATTCATTATAAGCGTACAGAAAAAGAAGCCTTACCTTCTCAAGCAAATCTTCATAGCCAGAGATAGTGTACCAGTTCAACAGGATGGCAACAAAACAACCAAGGTTAGAAGCTTCATATAGCACAATAAATATCGAAACAGCTCAGCAACCATTAGGACAAGCTCGGCGTGAGAGAACTAAAAAAGAAATTGAGAAGTCTTACAAGTCTGAATGTTTGCTCCACATATTTTGCCACTTTCACCGAAATGTATGTCGATTAGCTTCCCCTGGAAATTCAAACAACGTTATTAATACTAGACTCTTGCAATTTATGTAACACCTAAATCATCATAACCAAAACTAAGTACAACACTCAGAAAAGACTAGGTAATTAAGAATAGCAGTTGTAATATGCTTACACAATAATATTCATGATCATAGAGGCACTTCGGTTAAGAAACTACACACAGTACGGATTACAGAATGCTACTACTTACGAAGCGACTTGAATTGTCGTTCCTTGAAGTTTTTGCGTTGCCGAAGGCTTCCAAAATGGGATTGGTTTGTAAAATTTCATCTTCTATTCCACTACCTCCTCCTAGAGCAGCCAAATACTGCATAGCAATCTTTGCCGTTTCTGTCTTACCTGCGCCACTCTCACCACTGTACACAGTAATATGAAAACCGTGTACATCATATAGCTATCGAAGAGGACACTGTCTAAATAAATGCACAACGTGGTCGCTGATTGAAAACAAAAGAAGATACTCGTAGTTTGAAAATTAATATAGCACCGAATCAAGGGACATAAACTACCTGATGATAATGGACTGGTTGATCCCCTCTGCACAGAAAAAATAAATAAATAAATAAATAAATAAACCCCAAAATGATTAGCCAGGAAACCCACACAACCAGGTCTCATAAGATATTTATGGTTTGAATATGAGCGCAAGGACCATACGATCTTGGGTGAGACACACTAAAGCATGAAGTGACCCAAAATAAACTTCAACCCTTAAGTTAAGAAAATCGTGAGATGTTATGCACCTTTCATCATCGCACCAAAGGCACTGTCAGCTACCATATAGACATGTGGCTGAGAGCTTGCAGGAGCTGCTTTCTGGTAGGCTTGCACGATGTCCTCCCCATATATTGGAATCTTCTTGAATGGATTGACTGCAATCAATACAGGACCGGCCTTTGTCTACAAGATCCGCAATAAGATCAACATCAGATTGCAGTTGGCAAAGATTGTGCTGAAAAACATTATCAATAAGTTTACTTCTAAAGCATTTATTATCAATGCGATGTAACGTGAAAGAACCTCTGCTTGAGCACAAGAGAAGTTGCTGCAAGAAATCTTCATACTTGGTCCAATAAAAGACACCATCAGCACCGTAGTCAAAAGCTAGCACTTACATAAATCTGATCCTTCGAATATCGGTAGTCCAAGTCATGGAGAACAGAAGGTTCGTTGAGGTAGCTTAATTTTATGAGGTCATCTACTCCCTCCAGAAAGGCAGGGTTTGCAGGCAGCAACTTTGTTGCACTCACTCTAATCTCCTGCAGCAACCACTCCATAAGAAACTCAAAATCTGCAACAACAGATTGCTTTGTCTTGCCATAGAACATCCCAGTAGAAGAGAAACGAGAAGACAATATCCAGGAGATACTCGTACTTGTCGATCAGAGGTTCGCACAACTGCCTCCGTATCCTCGACAGATATAATGACACCAGGAATCCACATGCAATCCGAGGTTAAGCACCATATTCGCAAATTCTGCACAAGGAAAATCACACATAAACGCATTAATTCTGATCCAAAACTACCAATGCGGAGACTGAAACGAACCTTATATGAGTAGAGATGGCCGCTACAATCGCTACAATGTTATGTAAGGAATGCGACAATGAAAATATGATGACACCACATTACGCGCACTTATACAAGTTCCAAATTCAGAAAATAACACATGGTGTTTTATAACTAATGATGTTAGTTGTAATGTCCAAGCTTATTTCATAAAGAAACAGCACTTTGCTCTCTACAAGTTCCTCGCATCGATCCTTAGCGTAATTTAGGAGCCTAAACTGGGCGTGTACCTTCTTTAGCCGTAACACTCCATCATCCTTCCATTTCCTGCTTGGTGCTGGTGAAGAAGGAGAATGTGGTGGCAATGCAGGTTGCTCTGGTACAAGGGCAGATAAATCTGTTCGTCCCAACTCAGTCTCTTCGTCAGCAAGAGATCCGTTTGGCATCCCTCCGAAATCAAATGAAAGGTTCCTAGAATCCAATTCAGCTTCTTCCTCGCTTCCCCCTGGCCTTCCAACCGAGACCACAGCTGGGCAAGTCCATGGAGCTTTACTTTCTTCCAAGTCCGATTTATTCGTGCAGTTTGGAGTATTCAAAGTTGATTCAACAACTGTGTGGCCATTTTGAGGTGCCTGATCGGCATGGGCTTTGGTGGCTGAAAGGTGATCACTAATTCTTTCCCGAAAGCTCTCAGGTTTGGGTACCTGGTCATCGTCTCTATTCAGGCAGTCTATTACAAAAGGCAACGCTTTATCAGCATCCAGAGAATCTGTTGCAAGGTTCTCCTTGGCCACATCAACAGGTATTTTGCTTGCCGGGGCCAGCTTTACTGCAGCTATAACTTGTTGCTTCCTTGCGCGTACAGAAGATGGCAATCGCGCCCGTGATGTTGGCCTCGCAGGGAGAGGTGGTGGCCTAGCCTCCTCTCCATTGTCCTTAGATGTACCCTCCTCTTGTGTGTCGTTCGTTCTAAACAAATCCAACATCTCTTCTAATGTGCTCCGAGGGCCGGAGCTTTTCAAAGGAAACATTGTACCGACAACCTTTTCTTCTTGCCGAATTTTCAATCTTTCGACACCTCCAGGTGCGAGGGAGCATGCCCGCGAGAGCTCTTCTCTAACAAAACGAATGAGGAGCGCGTATTCATCAGCTGATCGGCACACAAGGGAAGATATCCTGTGATTGGTGCAGGGCTTTCCTCACTGGTTTAGACATTGCAAAGGAGTCTGACAGTGCCCCCACGCTGGAAGCAAATCAGTTGCATTCCCAATCATTTCCCAGCCCACGGACAGTCCATAAACGGCATCTTCTTGCTCCAAAATGCACCAGTTCGGTGCCCGTTTCCAGCTCCGTAGTCTAATTCTCCCGGAAGACTCATGCATACTGTCCGACACCTCCTCTCAAGATCTTGCCGTATTAAGAACGCTTAAACCTCACAACCTCGCCCTGATAAATACAACTACCCCTATAGGCTCAAAACTTCGCTCCGCTTCGACATACACCCTCTCCGCAAAAGCTCACAACCGTGCGGTCCCCGACGCAAGCATCCGAATCCAAAAGCCAATGCAACCCTCCTCAGAGCTCCCCGACCTGCCCATCCTGATCCACAGCAGCCGACTTCCGACACCGCCTCCGTCGATTTACCCTAGATCTTGAACTCAACACACCTCCACGAAACTCAACAACGATGTCTCTCAACTCTCATCAACCGCTGTGGCTGACCTGGCCTAGCTTCCACAATCCAAATCCTCACAGCTCTATCGTCCCACGGCCAGAAACCTCGGCGTTCACGATTTAGCTCGAGTGCGCTGGCTCAGTCAACCTGACAAGGTAAGGATTGAAAAATCTGATGTGTAACGAGTGCGACGAACATTAAGCAGCAATCGAGGGATGGAAAATGACGAAAAAACGAAAACAAAAAACAAAAAACTTGAAGAAAATAGAAACATGACGGTGTAGGTAGTAAGTCTATTCTACCTCACCCCTACAGTAACTCCATCACACATCTGTTCCAACGACGAGCCGATCTCATATCCCCTCGTAAGATCATCTGCATTTCCACATGTGATGCCGTTTTCTCCCTTTCCTCCGCGTTTTTCTTCCCTCTATCCCTCCCTTCTCTCCCTTCTCTCTCGCTCTCTCCCAGCATGCTTTTCCTCAGCCTCATGTCATTCACTCACGTCTGCAAACCTTTACCTCACCCAGGGCTAAGTTAGCTTTCTTCGTGCAATGGCATCTTCTTTCTGCACGTTGACTTACAATTCATTGGACTATCCGAAGCGGAGCCTGCCTTGAATGTTCGTTCGGAGAGTGACTCTTCCGCAGACCACTTCCATAATATATACATATAAGAAAATAACCCCCCCGCCCCCTTGGTAATGGAGTTTGTTCCCTCTAGTCCTACCTACTTAATCCATCCGTCGCCCTGTGTGTTCTTTTCACAACCAAAAGCTCCGTCATTCGACGCGAAAGAGCGCTGCCTCGAAGGCCCCACTGCACTTGGAAAACATCGGTGAAGCACGTAAGAATTTGAATCTTTCATTCGTTCACTCTCATCCATGTGTTCCTACGTTCATCGCCCCTTACATTCATTTATCGCTCTCACAAGTTCATCCATCATATCCTACGTTCGTCGCTCCCTGCATTCATCCATTTCATTTGTTTTAAAGGTCGACTTTAAAACGAGCAAAAATTATATTAATTAAAAATACGTCAAATTATGAAATCCATCGTCGTATTTTTTGCAAAAGATATAAAATATAAAAAATCATTTTTAACATAAAAATTTTCCAAAATCAGAAATCAAAATTTGACTGTTGCACATAATTATTAAATATTTTCCATGATTACAGGGTCATTTTTACGGATTTATTTTCACACGTTATGTACATGTATGGATATATACATGTGAACTTTGGGGAAAAACTTCTTTGTTCTTTTATGAATCGCATTGTGTTCTAAAATTAAATGTAATACAAACAGATACTTGAAATATTTGCAAGTATTGAATTGAACAGGCAGTATCTGTAATTATGACACTTTTACCACAACTGTATTAAATGTTTTATTTTTATACGTTATTTCAACGTAAATAGCAATTACAAAGTTGCCCAAATTTTTAGAATCGGCTTTGTAAAAATATTTTGCCTGTATTTGCTGAAGTTTATGTAATTTTTTTAAAAGAAAAAAGAATATATGGGAGCAAGGAGTGGTTTCAACATATTTCCTTCCACAATGTTGTATTGATAATATTTTGATTGTTTTGATTTGTTTTTTAAAATAAAAATAAAAATAGTGTTATTCACCATGTTCAAAATTGAATTTCAATCAATTTACCAAAAAAATATTATTTAATGTAAGTGAGACTTTATATATTACTTCATCTATTTGATGAGACTGTAATGTGGTTATTATTGTACCAAACTAGTTTTTGATGCTCAATGAGAATTCGAAACACCTTCCATTAATAAATTGAGTATTTTTTTGAACTCTAATGTGATTGACTTAAACTAATTAGAAATTATAATGTTGCAATGTGTGAAAATAAATAAATAACTATGTGTGTGTATGTATGATTTTAAATGTTCACATATGTAACTATTTTTTTTTAAATCCTTAATTTTGTTCTCTTTTTTCTCTTTCATGCATAAATAAAATTAAAATGTTAATAAAAGACACAAAGTAGTTCAATAATGTCTTACAAACTTATATTAAAAGTATTTGACAAAATTTCATAAAATAAGTAACAAAGTGACATAAGCTAGGTACAACACTGTATACATTAGTAATTATGAATTTGTTGTGCATTTCCACATCATATGCTTACTATATTTTGCAGTCTAGAGGTAATTGAAGCAATGATGAAGATGCCAATTTCATGATAATTGAGCATGCTTGTTATAGTATCATGTGCTTGAATAGAAGTTTATCAATGATCCTGTATGAGCATGTGACAATACCAAGAATAATTCTACTGTGATAGTGCATTACAGATGTGGCTGTGTACAATTGGTGACAAGACAAAGTTTCATTGCATGTCACAAACCAGAATTGAGTGGTCTATTTCCAATCTACAATGCTCATCTTACCTTAGAGTTGTTGTTACCGCATCACAATGTCATTATTGTAACATGAGTCTCACATCATATCACAATTTGCAGCTACTTGAAAGTGTAAAATAATCATACAATACAATATTTGGGAAATATTAAGTTGACCCCACCTGCTGTTATTTCAACCCCACCATCACATCCAGCAGTGGGTCCGTATTCCCTTGTCCCCTGTTCCCCATTCTGTTCCCAACCCCGTTCCCAGCCTCGATCCCTTGATGTAGGATTAAAAAATATTTAGAAATATATATATATATATATAGATAGATAGATAGTCCTTGATTGTTACAGTAGTAAGTTTGGTGAGCAAATCAGTCAGAATTATAAAAATGAAACTTATAAATTTCAATTTCACTTACAAATACAAAGAATAACCTTTCAATATTTGCACTCATATCCATGTGAAAGTGTGTGTTTTTGAATATGTATATTGACACAAACACACTTGTTGTTTCTTTGTGTTGGTAATGACAAAAAAGCTAACATTGGCATCCAGTTATTCACATCTCTGTACAGGATATTTTAATTCTACATGAAAAACAAATGTATATTTTTTATATTATACTGAACGCTTGAAGAAACAATCATTATTTAATCAAAAGATCAAAATATCTGCATTTCCACAAATGTGGTATCATTTCTTGGAAAACTCAAATTCTAACCTGATATTCTGTAGGATTTGTATTTATGTTTATGTTTATTTTGTAATTTATTTATTTAAAATTTAAACAAGTTCAATAAAGTAACCATCTTTCAAAAACTAAAACCATTCAATGTCTATTATGATATTTAATTTCTATAAATGGATATACTACATGTTACAATTCTTGAGTCTTATTCAATGTAATTGCACATCAGAATGGTTCTATGAACATTCTATTAAAAATCAATATTGATTTCTAAAACTAAATGAAATATGATGAGATACGTTCATTTATGTATTCACCCACATATAATTTCTTAACAATTGTATTCTCTCAATATTTTAGGGGAATGATAAAGCAACCCACCTATCTAAACCATTATTGTACCCTTGTTTCCTATCCCCGTTCCCTCATTCTCAACTCTTCCAATCTCATTCTCATCCATATCCCTCATCTCGACCCCTTCCATGTTTCTAGCGCTAGTTCTACATTCCCTTCATTCTTCCATTCTCAGGGTCTCTTGTTTGTCATCTCTATTTTCAACCCCATCTATTGTCCTGATTTGTTAAATCTAAATAATATTTTATTCCATGGTTTATTCAATTCATCATCATTATTCTATCAACATAAGCAAACACATTCAAAAATTTGTCCATGCTTGAGTTCCGTTGTTGTGTTATGGTTTAGCTACCATGTGAAAATAATGCACATATATATTTGATATATAATTTATTATACAACGTGGTGAGAGCCACATTATTAGATTTTAGTTGGTAACAAAATATGATTAGATTATTACTTTGAAGTAGTTAGTTTAAAAAGACTATTATTAATTTTGATTTTATATTGATAATAGTTTTTATATATTTAGAGCCACCTTTATTACACATTGGTGACTCTTGAAATCTTCTTTGTTTCTTTTATTTGGTATTTAGGACATATACTATACAAAACTTATTAAAAAATGATTAAAGAAAGATTTTTGTGTAAAAAAGAGTAGTTAGGTCAATCATATGGATGAATGGAAATGAATGATAAAAAATTCCATTCTTATTGACTAAAATTCATATCCAATGGACTTTAAGGAGGTTGCTCGAGGCCTTATTAAATATTAAGGTTACTATTTTAAGGGCATTTGAACTTGGGAGGCTATGGTCAAAAAGTTAAGGTCTTTGGCTATGGTTTTAGTGCAAATTTTGAGTGATTTGGAGTTTTTATGAAAGAGTTATAGGCACTCAAAGTTAAGGTGTTGATTTTGTACTTATAGCACTCTTTTGGACATAACATGCATGTACCAAAAGCAATGAAGGATCAACAGCTAATGTCTAAAAAAATATGGTTGGAGGAATACCAACAATTCATAAGTAGTATAGAAGGAGCATAGGGATATTCAATCTAATCGTCCTTAGGGCCAAGACCAATGGTCCAAGTCATGCTTGCTCCATCACTCTAACCCCCAATTTCCAACAACATGCTGTCAACTTTGTGGGATCTCATTTGCACCATATGTCAATGAAGATATTCAAAGTTGGGATGGGGCAAGACAAGATGAGATTGAAGCAGTGACAAATTTTGAGTGTGTCTTCTTATATTAATAGAATAAGGATAATGAACTAAATAAGCCATTGGTTTAAAACATTGTTCAGATTTGATAATTTATGACAACAGAGGGGATTGGGAATAGAGATGGCAAACACAAGATGGAAGGAACAAGGGAATGGGAAACCAATGCTGGGAATGTAGAAGGAGTCAAGATGGAGGATATGGATGGGAATGGGATTGGAGAAGTTGAGAATGAGGGAATGGGGACAAAAGACAAGAGGTATAATGATGGTTTACATATGTGGATCACTTCAGTAAAAATTTAGATTACTTTATCATTCTCCATATTTTATTGTAATATTCAGGTTTTGAATATTTCACTTTTACTACTCCTTGTAGAAAATATACTTATAATATGACTAAAATATCATGACAATAAGTTATGAAGTTTGGGACAAATTTTTGAGTAATCTAACGTATCAAAAGCAGGAAATAAGAAAAAGCCAAACAAAGTAGATGTACAATTACAGATGTGAATGACTTGGAAAGATGCATCTTAAATTCCCCACATTCTACAAGCAGTGGTCTATTATTCCATCTCATTTGTTCCAAATCTTTACATTATTTTCCTAATTGAATGGGAGCCTTTGCACATCGAGGATTAGGATTTAACCACTGTGTCGCCTGGTTCCTGTTCAAACCTCACGGTCACAATATCCTTCCGGAAATTGAATGCCAGCAAGGTGATTGCGCTCTTCCTTACGTTCCTTCGCATCAACATGCTTGAGGAGTGAACCGAGATGTTTTGGTTCCATTTCCTCTAACTTTTCCAACCACACATCTGCATTTCTGGGAGGACTTTGGGGTTTGTCTTATTATTTGCGCTTGTTCGGTTCCAAAAGGGATGATGATGGCACATTTCTCAAGTGTGTTCGGTCTGCAAGAATTGTAGGCACGTAATTGTCTACAGAGCCTCGTAAGAGTGTTCGCAAGGTAATCTGGTTCACAGGGGAAATCTAGCATTCTTGAGAGCTGTGATCTATATGGTTTCTGCCTTTTTTTCACATCAGGGGAGCTTCTAATCCTTAACAGTAGTTGGTTACGAATAAGAAATGGGTGGGAGATAGATTGTCGAGAGCTTCTGTTGTGACAAGTGTTGGAAGCACTTTGGATCGTACGTTGAAGATGTGTAGCCAAGGTATCTCCCTGCTCTGGAATCTGCTTCCGTTCTTTGTCCTCTTACAATCTTGACTCTGGTGTTCTCATGAAACACACCTCAGAAGAGTGGTGCCGAGATTGACAAGCTCTGGAAGTCTCTTCGAAGGTAGTGCGAGTATGGTTCAACCACATGGAAGTTGAGCTTCTTGCCCCCTCTATGCTGAAGATTGAATCCTGAATAGGGATGGTGAGACTGATGGTATTCTGGTACAGTTATGCTCCTCCTCAACAATAAAATGCATCTTGTGCATTTCAGGAAGTCAAATATTTAACTAATATTCCGCCACCATCCTACTTGACGAGACAAAACCCAGAAATTGTGAAAGACACTGACATACTCCCTGCAGAACTCCTTGCTGGGCCTTGCAGGACGATGGTCCTAACAGGATGTTACCAACGCTAATTGGAACATCCTAGACAAGAAGCAGGGGTAATGTATGTATATTCCATTCACTAACTCCTGCGGCTTGTGAACAAGCCTCGTACCTGTAGGAAAATGTTTGCGTGTCCAGCTTATAGATTTCAATGCAGTTAAAGTTTTGCCAACCAGAATGTTGTTCGTAGCTCTTTCTTCATCGCACTGGAAGGAGCTAGCAGACCTTGTGCATAGCCAACATTAGCTCTACATACCTCTGGGTATGTTCGTGTCACAAGAATCTACAATGGTATCATTTTATCTAGCATCCATCATGGTTACTGATTTGAAAGACATGGGGCTCGTTCTTACATTCCAAGAAACAGAATAAAGTGCCAACCGTCTCCATCCGTTAACGACAGCCATTCGGTGTCTGACGTTCGAGTCTCACTCTATCCAAAAATTGTCTCTACTACTTTGTCCAGGCATGGATCAAATTCTCTAATTCTTGCATTTGGAAATCCCACTTGAGACTTGTGGGTTTGAATGTTTCACGGAACGGAGCACTGGCCCCGCTTTGAGGAGCAACCTCCTATGGTAAAGGATGTGGTCCGCTGGAGATGGTAACCAATAATCCAAAAAGATCGGCGCTGATATCCCAACAGCACAGAGTAATTACCAAGAAAGTCTTCGGGAACAGAAACGGACACTCCCTGTCCAGTAGTGAACACGAGCGGATTTGGAAACATGGGAATTCATCAAGAACAAAATGTGAACAATTTCATTACAAAATTTCCTGGTTCAAATGAATCTGGCTTCCGTGCCTTCTATGACAGCTGTACTCTGCACATTCTTTCTCGAATAGTTATATGCTCTTGCACGTTCTTTATTCTTCCTGAATTGGTATGTCAACCAACTTAATACAATTCAGTTCCAGGTCACAGCCAGCCTGTGCCGCAATTTGACCCTTGGTAATTCCGCCGACGGATGGGACGCTGGTTAACCATCTGCAGACTTATGAAAGTGGTCAAATAGTGAGCTACTTGAGTGAGGTATTCTGGTGCTCGGCGTTTACCCATCTATCCATCGACTTTTAATCTGCATTGAATGGAATACGTGACTATGATGGCTACAGTTGGAGAGGATTTCGACATTGCGCATTAAGAAGGGAGGACTGCTCACGTGTCTCAGAAGCTTCAACGATGGTTTAATATTGTCGTTAACTATATGGAAAGTTTGTTACGCGTGATGATACAGAATGGTTGATAGTGTGTTAGCTGTTTAATTTAAATTGTTTTATGGGGATGCACATAAACGATGACGGTGTTAGTAACTGTTTATTTACACCTCTTGGCCTCGACTTTTCTTCATTGAGAGAATCGGTCGATCGGTTCCACTTATGAACACCCCAAAAATAGAAAGGTAGCTGTAGGAGATTTGGTCGTGACATGTGTAAAGCTTGCTCCATTATTACGCGACTTGGACATGTCCGAGATGGCTCATTTGCTCACCGCGGATTCACAATCCACACGACAGTGTAAGCAACTGTCAGTTTGGACGTTAGTGACATTCTTTCTTGTGAATCATTTAAGTGCCATATTCACAAAGCCGACGGATGGCCTTGAGTTGACAGCTTTCGAGAAGGGGTTGAGGGCTTTAGTTCAGGGACAATTGAAGCCGTGCCTCACAATTGAAGTTGAGGGATTACGAGCCGGATGCTCTCTCATGGCGGCCCTGGAGGCAGAGACTGCGGCCGTGAAGGACTTAGCAGCGAGACGGAAAAGTGACAATAGCAGGTTCTCTATTTCACCAGACGCTTGCGCTTACCGATTGCAGGGAGGTCCTTCGCTGCACAAATTTGCTGCGACAATGCATCCGTATTTAAAGCATGTCCTGAAGAGATATGCCACATTTCACAGACATTGTACGGAATACGACAACTTGAGGGACGTATATGACAGCAAGAAGAACCCTCAATGCCGGTATGTTATGTGGAGTTGCACGTTCGGGCTCGGAAACAAGCTCATGTCGCTGCTATCTACGTTACTCTATGCTATCATTTCCCAGCGCGTGTTGCTAATCGAAAGTCCAGGCTGGGAGAGTTTGTTCTGTGAACCATTTCCTGGCTCAAAATTGCAAGTGAGGTTCCTACGCAGCTCGAGTAGCGATTAACTCTATTCCCAAGTGTTGGGCGACCTCAATGTTAACCAAGACTATTTCGTCTTCAGAATCTGTACAGAATGCAGTGAGGGCTCATTCTTCGTAATGAACCATGTTTTCTTCAGTACTTTGACGTCGAAGCACTCAGATGATCGTCGTCCTGGCAGGTTCCAGAAGGCTTTTCTCTTGTCGAGATGTACACATCTCTCTCTTTCGCAGACTTTCGGAAGCTAAACTGTGGGGAATCAACGACAAAAGAACCGCGATGTATCAGGAGTGTGGTAGTGGTTGTCTTCACAGGAGAAAGCAAACGTCAAGATCACAGCTTTCTCGTCTGCCCAACTGCTATGGCAGCAGTTCGAGAAATTCCCTTTCTCCACTTCCGGAACAGCAATCAACACTTCGCGATGGGATTCTTCCTCAATCCCGCCCTTCGCCCGCTCCTTGAGCTCTTGTTCCCAGAACATAACGTCTTCCACATGCTAGCACAATTCTTTTTAAGTCCCAGCGATGCCGTCTGGGTGCAAATAAAAAGCTTCTACGAACGAAACTTGCAACCCGCGTCCCGCAACGTCGGTGTCCAGCTCCGAGAATCTAAAGGCGAATACCGGCAACACTACGACGATGTGGTTCCTCTGTGTATACTGAATAAAGCAGCCTTATGTCCTATCGAGCTAGAAGCGCAGCTTGAGAGGGAGAAGCGAGTCGCACAATCACCATCATCCTCTGAGAGCAACATCTCCCGACCCCTCGTCTCAGTGTACATTTCCTCCTTGGTTGGCGGCCATTACAAGAGCTTGAAGCAGAGTGTCCCGAAACTGGAGCCCAAGATGCTGCAGCGTTTCGTAGTCGTAGCTCAGGTAATAAGCACAGACTCGCACTTCAAGACCTCATTCAGTAAGTTCGCGCTCTTAAGGTGCACCTAAACGTAAGCTTGCATGACTTTCGATTTTTTGGCTCGTCACTTAAACCTTCCATAGTCCGCTAAGGATACTGTAATCCTTCGAAATAACAATTTCAGCTCAAAATTTGTCACCGTTGAGAAGATTACGGCAGACATGCACAATGAGGATGCTTAATGTCGGCCATGCATTGTCGGTTGCATGAAGCGGATGGCGAACAACGCGACGACATAAGACACGCGCAAAAAGCCTTAGTGGATATGTGGCTGTTAAGCTTGAGCGACATCCTTCTCACCAGCCATATGTCGACATTCGGATACAGTGCGCAAGGTTTAGCAGGCATAACACCGTATCATCTAAAGCCCTGGCTCAATAACGCATGTTGGCAGAGCATCTCCAGCGACCCTTGCTTCCATTTTGCACCCCATCAAGTGCATTGCCCTAATGACAACTTCACCCTGCGTGATCCTCTCAAAGAAACACCCTACATTAAGAAATGTCCCGATCTGCCCGAAACAGGATTACAACTCGCAGAATGACAGGTTCACGACGATTAGTGCGACCGACGATATCGACCGACTATTGCGACCTGGACATTCATTTGGTACTGATTAGTGCTGTAAAAACCCTTTGGCCATGAAACAATCAGTCGAGCGATGTAACATTCGTGCTTGAACATGAATCTGCAAGACAATACTACTAGGGTACGTTCTCAAGCCCTTTAAACCCTAATTGCAGAACAATCCGAGCAACCACTTACAAGCTTAACCATGCTCTTCATGGCAAATTCGAACATTGTAAGGTAGCCGACCCATTTCGTGTAAATTAAGCATTTCAGCATCTATGTAGTAAGTGTAAAAATGAAAGAAAAATATCCCAAAGTATTTCAGATGTTTTTACACAATTTGGCTCATAAATGGAATTTATATAAATATTTTAGGAGAAAATTTTAGTTTGAACCAAATTTGTCATATAGGTCAACCTAATTCCAGTAATTCCAATAAGTGGTGTGTTATAAAATTGAAAATTCTCCTTTATCATAATTGAGAAGTGCGGCACCTAATTATGCTATCAAGTTTCATCTAATTCCATGCTACCTATGGCTGTTAATGTGTGGATGAGGTAACTGGAATTCAACCAACTCCTACTAAACTTGAATTCTACCCCAACCAATCTACAATTGTCACCTAAATTGGAATACACCCATTCTATCTTGCGACACTTTCTCTGTGATCAGAATCATTCTAAACTTAACAAGCATTAGATCTATTTTCAACCAAAACTAGCTATAAATAGGATACCAGACATGTCAAAATATCCCACCTTATAGGTTGAAAATAGGGGGGTGGTTATGAATGAGTCAACTACCTTAATTGTTCAACATTTAGAATATAATATTATCATTGGAATAGAATGTTAGCATTGGAATTGATGATGAACGTTTATTTTGAAGTCATGTGCATAATATAATGAACGATGGGAAAATCAATCAAGACTTTATTGAGACATCAAGATTGATGTGTAGTCTTGTAAATAGAGTTTGTTGCTTATCATTTGATCAGGAGGTCTTTACATCTAGAACCTCATTTCGAAAAGTCATTGTAAAAACAACTCACCCAAAATTTGTTGTCAACAAAGATTTTTTATTTTTTATTTTTTTTGAGACTTTGACTTTTGGAGATGGTATGACAAGTGTATAAAACACACATAATTCTTTGATTTGATTTAATTTTTGTTTTTTGATATATTTAATAAAAATTAAAAATTGTAACTATATTATTGTAAATAAATATCTTAAATTGTAACTATATTATTGTAAATTAATAAATTATAACTGTAAATATTTAATAAAAATTAACATATTAATTCACGTCTTGATTTAGAAAAAATAAAAAATAAAAATAAAAATTATACATTTAAGTAGATATTTATCTTCTTATTTTTAAATTAATTAAAAAAATTATAGTAATTTTTAAGATTGGATTTATAAATTTAAAAAACTAAGTTAAAATTATTAGAAAATAATAGTAATCATTGCACATAAATTAGAATAAATTTTACTTTGTCATTTTCTTACATAACTTCTTAATTTGCTTTTCTAATAACAAAATTGGCCAAATAATGTATGTCGATTTCAACTCATTATATGCTTTGGCAATCATGGGCTTTTATCTTTTATCCTAAAAATAAAGATCTATTTATTCTAATTATCAAAAAATATTAAAATTATTATTATTAAATATTTTAAAAATTAAAATATTATTAGTATAAATAAAAATATATTTATAAATAAGTTAAGATTATGTTATAAATATATATAAATTATACTTTAGCTTCATTTTTCTACTCAAGTTTGTCTTTATATGTCATATGTGTAAGTAGAGATGAAATTTGATAATTTTTTTTAATAAAGACCCAATAATAATTGTCAAGTTAAAAAAAAAAAAAAAAAAAAAAAAAAATAGACATCTCTTATTGTTTTTGAAACCTTCCAATCCATGCTAATTTAGGCTTTTTAAGGATCCATCATAAAATCATCATTTAAAATAGTATATCCTAATAAATCATCTTGAGATGTATGAAATGCACACTCTTCTATCTTCTCATATAATCCTTTATTTTGAAGTTTTTGTAATGTAAAATAAATATATAATTTATGATCTTTTGTATTCTTAGAGTAGATTAAAATCTTGTCTAAATAAATAAATAAATAAATAAAATTATCTAAAACTCTAAAAAAAATATTATATATTAGATGTTAAAAAATAATTGGCATATTTGTGAATCCAAATGGCATGATATTGTATTGAAAATGCCCATATTTGATTCAAAATATAGTCTTTTACTTATCTTCTTTTTAATAATGTATCAAATTGTATGCTCATTATAGATTTAATTTTATAAAGATCTTAGCTTAATTTAATAGATCAAAACGTCTTGATATTAAAAATAGAAGATAATTATTCTTAATGATAAACTTATTGAGTCCTTGATAATCCACACACATCCAAAGTGATTTATTGTTTTTCTTTACAAATAATATGGAAGCTTTGAGTGGAGATTTTCAATGGTATATAAAGTTATTGGCCAAGCTTTCATCAATATATTCCTTGAGTGCATCCAACTTATTTTGTAATAAGCTATAAATTTGTCCATGTGGCAGTTGAATTCTTTCTTAAAAATCAATTGAGCAATCATATGAATAATGCTTTAGAAAAATATTTGTATTTTTTTTTTTTAATTCTTAAAAATACTTTTTCAAGAATTAAAAAGTTGAACTTCTCCCATTTCTTCTCATTGAATGCTTTGTACTTCTACATCTTACTTAGGAAATGTGATTTACAAACAATAGTATATTGTATTATATATAGAGAGATGTTAATATGAAAATAAAAAATAAACCTATGAAATAAAAAAGTAATATCAATACCAATATATAGACAGAGTTCACAAAGACTTAGGATTTTATATTGATTGAAGCAAACTGCTATAACTTTGCTGTAGCACCATCAGCATCACACGTACCCATGATTGATTGAAATTATCTTTATAATTATTTAAATGCATTAATAGATTTAAGATAGAAAATTTAAAAAGATGTGCATAGTAACAAATCAAAATAATGAAATCCGATGGGGTTGCGAGGAGACTCATCGTCGTTGCTGCCGAGGTCCTTTTTTAAATCCAATTGTCAATTTCCAGAATTTTTTTAATGCTGATGGTGAGAAGAACCCATAGACAATCTTGGAAGAGTTGCCCATTTCAACGACGATTGCAGAGTTTAAGCACTTCCAGAAACGATGATAACATTGAGCAACGATGAGCTGAAAGCCGGGGACGAAACTGCCCCTGTGGCGGAAGCACAAGGTAGCAAGTTCTCTCAATTCCTAACTTCGGGTCACAGTGGCTTACTTAAAAGGATTTGCAGAAGAGCATCGAATTTCCTTGAAAGGGGGCCTTTCCTGCAGTCGGCAGTTTAAATTTTGACAAGAAAACACGTAATCCGTTCCAATCTCTCATTTGTGTTTTTTACATAATAATAACACTCATAAATCATTCACACTAGTGTTGAAGGATTAACATGCGAAGTTCGAAGAGGCCAAGATTTTATCATGAGCCATACAACTATATTTCCTTTGCCGCTTCTGACATTGTGAAATCATTATTTTCTCTCATATCTGATAACTTGCTGAAGGACTTAAACATGGTTGATCAAAATTGACTACGTAACAATCGGACACTTTTCCCTACATCAACCACATTGCAAAGGGCTTCATAGTTTGGGAGATACAAACGCAATGCAACGATGACGTCGTGTACAAAACATGGTTGTCAATTCAATCACCCATCACACCAGACAAGCATGAAAATCGAACTGAGAAGGACTCCTGAACTACAGTAAGATGACAGCGCAATGAAGAATTATGAAATCCAAAAACCTATAACCAAAAAAGAAAGCATGCACAATAAACGCAAATAAACCAAATATGTATGCTTTCTACAAGATAAAGAGGCGAAAGAGGCCTCCTAGGAAACTTACAAACAGCACAACAGTCCATAGCATGACCTAAGTGAAACCTTAATCAGTAGGTCATACAAGTCTAATCTTCCTCGTCCTCTTCCAATCAAAACTCCAGAAACGGTAGTTAGACAGAGGCAACGGACTCTCACACCTCGGTTCTTAACGGTAAGACTTCTGGAAACGAGAACGAGCACCGCGACCTCCGAACTTCTTCGGCTCGCACCGACGAGGGTCGGCCACCAGCAAGGTCCTGTCGTACCTCAACAACACATCCTTGATCTCCTTCTTCGACTGCTCGTCCACGTACTTCTGGAAGTACGCCACCAATGCCTTGGCGATGCTCTGCCGGATGGCGTAAATCTGCGACGTGTGACCTCCGCCCTTCACACGGATGCGCATGTCCACGCCCGCGAACTTGTGCCGCCCGAGCAGAAGCACGGGCTCGAAGGCCTTGTAACGCAGAATCTCGGGCTCCACCAGCTCGATTGGGCAGCCATTGATTTTGATCAGACCAAGGCCCTTCTTACAGTAAGTCACGGCTACGGCGGTCTTCTTGCGACCGAAGCACTGCACTGACTCGACTGCCGCCATGGCTCGTCGACCGCCACCACGATGCAGGCAGCTTGATAAGAGGGGCCTTGAAGATTCAACCGAGTCTCTTACTAGGGCTTCCAACACCAATACCGCCACCACCACCACGTTCCAATGGTCACGTTCCCTGTCCCTGGCCGTTCTCACCCAGAGGATGAAAGTCGTGCATCCTACGAGTGGATGATAGTATATTGTTGGCATTCATCCGTGGACCCCAGTTAGGGGAGAAAAATCTTGACGAATCTTTCTCCATGCCAGGGTAAATGTTCATTTTAACTTTAATGTTACTGTCATGATTTTTTACGAAATTATATATTTTCGTTAAATAATTTTAGATATACAAGTTTTTTTTTTTTTGTATTTTATAAATTGTATTACATGATAGAAACTCATGTGTGCTAATGTAAGATTGTATTCGTACGAAAAAATTACTGTTGAATGTAGCAATTAAATTAAGTGTGGTAATTTTATTGGAGAGGTGGAATTTATGAACGGAAATTATTTGAAGCTAATTAATTTGACTTTGACATTCTATTGATTTGTGTGTGTGTGTGTGTGTGAATATATATATATATATACATATATATAAGATATCTTTATAGTGAACATTGTTACACTACAAATCATGTTTTTTAATTCATGATTTTATGATGTGTATAGATTATTTAAACTATTAAATGACTTCTTAGGTTTTCATTTATATATATATATATATATATATATTTATTGTCATTGTTTCTGTGTATTTTTACAGGTTTCGGTACTAAGCGATTTCATGTCAAACAGAAGTATAACGGAAAATAAAATTGTAATGATTTGAAAATTTTAAAGAAGAGATGTAAAATGAATTACCTAAATTGTAGCAATTTGATTTTTTTCTTGAACAGAAGTAAATAGATAAATAATACAATATCACACTACTATTTATACTTTGAATGACATTGTACTAATTAATAAAAAATTAAAATTATAATATAATATGCATTGGAAATTTTGCACACCATATAAATACATTTTATTATTTAGTTTACACAAGTTTACTTGCTGTCCAAGCAAATTTCTTTGCCCCTACCAATGCCAGCTCGGACAGACTGACTGCGCCGAAGCTTCTGGGTGTCTCTTGAAGCTCACGCGATCATGTCAAGGAAGCACTCCAGTCGACTGCCTCATCAGCCGAAACTCGGTATATAGCATGTTGCCTCGATTCCTCGATGACTGTTTGTTTGCTTCCGTTATGGCAATTCGCTTCCGGTTCTTCTCGTCTAAGGCGTTTGATAATGTCCCTGTGTCTGGTGATTACATGTCCCTCCTGGAGTTGAAAGATGCAATTGCCGAGCGTGTCTCTCCCGGGATTTTGCGAGGGAAGGGGCATGTGAAGGAGGCGTTCGATTTTAGCATCTACGATGCTGATTCTGGAGAGGAGATTGTAGGTTCTAATTGCAAGGTTTACAAGTATTCGTGCGTTTTGGTGAAGCGAGTTCCTGCGTATGTTTTATCTCAGCAGCGGGCTGTTGCGCGGGAGAATCGCGGTGAAGAAATTGAGGAGCGTTCAAAGCCAGTAGCAGGGTTTGATGATGATTTCGGCGAAGTCTACTCATCGCCGATCAGTGACCAGATTAGATGTTCAAGTTGGGACACGGCGACAAGCTGCGTTACGGGAGCGGATTCTAGGGTTAATTTAGCGGCGAACAAGACCGCTAGAGAGAGTGTAGGCAGGTTTAGGAGAGGAGGGTTTCAGAGTGCCAAAATGCCTGGCACGAAATTGCAGACTGTAAAGGCGCCTTGCAAGGTCGACATCCGTACTGAGCCTTTCAAGATGCCTTGCAGCATGGAGATTCCACCAGAGTTGTTGTGTTCATTGTGTTTCAGTGTTATGAAAGATCCAGTTCTGATACGTTGTTGTTGCAGCAGTTTTTGTTCCAATTGCATAAAGGCTGTTCTTGCTGATCAGAGAAAATGTCCAAATTGCGAGTCCACTAAATGCACAGGTTCTGATTTGCTACCTAATCGTCACCTCTTCTCGATGATTCAACTATTTCAAAAGAACGATGTAAGTGCGTCAAGCAGGTCTGGATCAAATGGTTCAAGCATCTCTGTGCAGTCGAACAACGTTAATACTCACCCAATATCCACTCCATTCAACGCAAAAGTGTACGCACATACGCCACAACAGACGCTGGACAGTAATTGTGTCCGTCAGAAGCTACCATGTGCATCATCATCTTCCAGCAAATTGACTGATCCCAAGGCGGATTCACTAGCGGTTTCAGGAAGCAGCCAGTGCTTGGAAAGAAAGCCCCTCTTGATCACGCTGAGCGGTGCTAAAAGATTGAAAACTTGACCTGGTGACAAAACTAGATTTCTCTTTTCTGGTGTACATTGGTGTGTTCCGATTCTTTGGTTGCGTCGATTCGAGGAAATCATTAGAGGCGGATGAGCAAGTACTTGGAGGGAACACGACTAGCAACCTCCACAGCTGTTCGAATCACAAGTTTACATGCGGATTTGAGTGAGGGCTTTGAGATTTCTATTACGACAGTAGGAGATTAGACAGAATTCGCCTAATCACATATTTATGCTAAGCATGCATTTTCTTGCTGTACATAGCTAGCATGCACAACTTAGTTCTTACTAGATTCCAAGAACACGAGCGAATAATTTTTTGCGGCAGTTCTGTTGTGTAATATACTTTAATGAAAATTGAAACCATAATTTAATTGAAATATGCTTCTTCAACAAATATTGTTCATGGAATATTGAATGGTGTGGTTCTGATCTTAAATTCATAAATAAGAATTTGTTTCTGGATATGTCTTCTGTTCAAGTAATATTTCAGTGCTGTTGAATGTTTTGGGTGACACTTGCTGCTAGTATTATTTTGTTTTGTGATTTAAAAAATAAAATTCCTGGAGAGTTTCGTCCACGGTTTCCCACTCAGTTTTATTGCCGCATCCACGACCGCATTTTACACGTTCAAATTTCTTTAATTCTTGTTTGTTTAAGCACTAGAAGATGCGACCTCGTTGTATTGTTTAACATTGCTCATCTCTAAGCCATGCTGTCGTTTCTTTCAAGGTTACGCCAACATCTATCATCAGGCATTGCTCTAAGATATCTCTGGTTGGGTCTCGGTATGCTCAATCCCGTTCCAGTCACATGCGTCTGCGTCCATCACATCATTGTAAAAATGACTTCATTTCGATGTGCCACTCCGGAGTACTCGATTTCCTTCGTTTTTTTGTCTGGATTTAGAACGTTAGTGAAGAAATCTCTTCAATCTTCAGCTTCTGATATGGATTCCGATTTCTTACCTTGTTTAACGATCATTTCATTCTTAAGATTGCTCACTTTCTACCACATGATATGTTAAATGGTATGAAATGAGAAGATTTCAGTGTTCGTATGTATTTTTAAGTTCACGTTAAGACTGTTGCAATTATCAGCTGCAGTCAAAATCTCGTTTTTTCTTTTGTTCAATTTGCATTTGTAATTAGAGGAAGGAATGGCTTGTATTATGGGTATGAGAAAATGGGAATGTTTGGTATCCATCTCCATCCTTTGAGGTTCTGAAGGCCTATAGCCCTCGGAACCCTTCGCACAGAGTATGAATTCGGGAAAGCGATCAAGTACATGTTTAGACGAAGTCAAAACCAGTATGATTAAAGACATTTTTCTTACGTGCGAGTACATTTCGCAACCTAGGGCCTGATCGTTATTAGTGCACAAACTGCAGAGACCACGACTAAGCTCTATTAAAAATATGTGTAAATGGACAGATGCAACAGTTCCAACACTGAGTAACGTCCCTGATTCCAAGAACGATCGAATTCAAGACCAAGAAGTTCACTTAATAAATTGCGTCACGATGTAAATTAAGTTCTGTGGCGTGCTGACGTGCACAAAATCCCTGCCTCATACTTGCGTAAACTCGTGGATCCTCATCATTTTGTTTCTTAGTGCATTTCTTGTAATTGGAGATAAAACTGACTCCGGTTAAAACATCAGCATACATACAAAAGTTACAACAAGCTGAATTGTACATGCAGAGCATCGTTCGCATTGCATTGCTCATATTCGGAAAGTGTCCACAAAGTGACCTGATCCACACCATTTGTAACTCAAGATGATAAGCTGTCCGATTCACTTTAACAGAAGTGTCTCCTGAAGAAATGCAAAGTATAGTTTCTTTATGATCGATTTCTATGGAAATGAGTTCACATCTGCCCTTTTAACCTTCACTTCAAGGTGTTCTGAATTATGCACCTGACGCCGTAGGTCCACATGTGTCAGAAAATAGAAAATCTGAGAATATTTTAAGTTCTGGTTCCTAATTTATTCAAGAATGAAGATAGCCACCAAGGAATCCCCGGCAAACAAAAAATCCTCCACAGACGTTTGAATAAGCCCTACTTCGACACAACTTAGGTCCCTGCTGAAACTTGCATCTCAGTACAGCACACCGCTTCAGTTCGTAAAATTTTATTACTTCCGCACAGTTAAAAACTACAAGATCGCAAGGTGGCCGTTCGAGTTGCTTCCATCGTCCTTAAACACATCAAAAGCAGCTACATACAAACTCAGGTTTCGGCGCCCCAGACGGCATCCCGTTAGAAGTGAGAGAATTAGCTGGTTTAGACATTAAATCGTGCACAATCGACAAGCCAAATACGAATGAAGCTGCATTAGGTTGCAGTGACACATGCGAAGAGCAGAACAGAATCGCTTCATTCCACTGCAAGAGCTCCCAGACGCGAAGAAGAATTTGCACAAATATCACTTCATACGCAGCAAATGAAGATGGCGACAATTTAAGAATGAGGTGAGGCAATGCAAAAGAGGGAGACTATCTGATAGGTGCTAACCTCGAGGAATAGGGCATACGACAAATTCCAGGACTGCCATCGGATGAAGGAAACGCATTGAGTATTGCCATTGCTTTCCTTTGTCTCCTCCGTCGTAGGCCGCTTATGACGGAGATAGGCTCCGCTGCGGTTGTTCGTGGTTGTGAACATGTGAATACATTCGGTAACTTTTTCATTATTGGTTTGAAATTAGTGACAGAAAGTAGGAAATGACGAACTCGGTTGGCTCGTTCGAACCTGGTGATCGTCGACAGTCTATCTTTGGTGCAATTTCATCCCCTTGGTGCCACACCAACTGATTCTAATGTATAGAAAACAAAGAACACCACACACGCAAGCTATAACTTCGGTTAGTTGTGCATGTTGATTAATGTTTCATTTTATTTCTAATATCACTATAAAACTTGAAATTCGAAAATAAGGTTGCTCAGCTGAAGTGAAATCAACAGCATTGCCTTTTGTATCCCTGTTCCCCAGGATCTCGTTCCTCGAACTAGTAAACTTTCCTACACATTATGATTCGGGAAAGAGTGCGGATTCAATCAGATACAAAATAGACAAAGCTTGCAGAGAACTCAACAATCCTTACAGGAAAAAAGATTTATTATAGATGCTATGCAGTTATCATGTTGCAAGGTTGATGGAACAATGGAACCTATGCATCATCGGAATACATTATTCTAAAGCACTGCAGAGATTCACACACTGTATCCTCTGGACGTTGATACATCCAAGAAAGCACCAAAAAAAAGAACTTTCGTGGGTCATTAATAATGGCATGTAGAGTATGGTCTCCTACACAATATTTTGCAAGGCTTTTTTCCTTTCTTTATATTTTATTTTATCAATGACATACCATAAAATAAATGAAGTAGTATATATGAACAGAACTCTAGGCTGGTAACTGGGTAATTTAAGAGAGGGATTATTGTCTCCCAGCCAGTAATGGAATCATCTAGAAGTACTTGTGAAACATTTAAACCTGGGGAGATGTAAAATTACGTTGAATTCCAAGTCAATGCGGCACTACCCTCCGAAACTAACAGTTGAAGCTCAATCATACAACGCCGAAGTAGGAGTAGCCCACAATGAAAGTGACAAAAAAGTGAGCAGGGGCCGAGCCTTTACATTTTTGCAGTAATTAATTTATGTGGAGGAGCAGTGATAGGGGCGAATGAGGTTATACTGTGCGAAGGAAAGGGAGAGAGACAGGGGAGACCTTCGGTACTACGGGCTACGCCTACGAAGGGGGCCCCCGGTGACTCCGACTAAATTTGAGTTTACTTTTCAATTTGAAAGACGCCGGCTCTATTCCCGACGGTACAGCGTCACTCCCATGGCAGAGTCCAGGGCCGGTGCAGGACGATTGCCATTGCTGCTGGCTCCCGTTTCCAACAGTCTCTGCGCCTCTGGTGGACGGATCCGCCACCGCGCTTTCAGTTGGTAGCGTGTGCGCATTCAAGTGCTCTTCGTGACGGAAGGATGGGGGTGAGTGACTAGGATCGGTGCGTGTGATCGAGGGCAAATTCGAACAACATTGAGCTCTTGCGCGGCTCTGATGGGAGGATGATGGACAGGGAGAGTCTGTGTGAGAGAGTGAGGGAGTGGGGTTGTTGTTATTGAACGCTAACCAGAGAGAGTTTGGTTCGCCATCAGTTTTCGTACTCTGCTGCGTTGGTGAGTTCGGGATTAGAATGTTCTCTCTGCTGCATTTGAATACTAGTCCCCCTGTTCTTGCTTAGATTCAGGAAGGCGAGTTTGTCACCTTAATGATGGGGTTGTTTGTCTTTGGCGGTGAAGTCTGCCCGTCGGGCGTATTGCACCATCCTTTTGTTTTGCCGAAGTGCTCCTACTGAGCACATTTTTCTTCTTGGGCGTGTTCTGTGGTTGTGAAATAATTCGACTAGTATACTTATTCTTCCAGGTTGTTTTGTGTTTTGTGCTTTATTTATTTATTTATTTATTTGTCCCTGAGGACTGCCGCTGAGTACTGTTGTGAACGATGTTTATGCAGCGTTCGGTTTGAAGCAGCATCCTAATGTTGTGATTCTTTTTATTTTGGTTTTGTGGATCTAGAAACGCCTCGATTAGTGTGAGGCGACAATGGCTTCTGGTGAAGGTGCAGAGACCGGGAGTACGCATAAGCCCCGACGTACTTCGCGGGCGTCTGCAGTTGGAGGGGTTACAGAATCATTCGACAGTGAGGTGGTACCGTCTTCGTTGGCGGCCATCGCTCCAATCTTGCGAGTTGCCAATGAGATCGAGTCTTCCACTCCCAGGGTTGCATATCTATGTATGTGTGACTTTGATGCCACACGAGTTCGAGCTTGGGAGTTGAAATGTGTATCTAGATTTTTCTAGGGATAGTTTGGTTCTTAACTATCGTCTGCATGTTTTTTTCGTGAGTATTTATCTGTTACCTGCTGTAGGTTGTCCTCAATTAGTCAATTCTTTGGTTTTACTTTAGCGTGTCAACGTAGAATGACTCGGAGAATGATTGGTATAAAGTGCGAAATCGCTCCGTGCCTGATGTGACAGGTCGTTACCACGCTTTTGAAAAAGCACACCGAATTGATCCGAAATCAAGTGGTCGTGGGGTTCGACAATTTAAAACGGCTCTGCTACAGAGGCTTGAGAGGGTATGTCCTAATTATTTTGCGTTCAACCTCATTTGGAGACTCATTTTCTTGCCTCAAGGCAATAACGGTGCTTTTGAGGAGAATCTTACTAGGAATGTACTTGATCGAGCTCTTGGAACTGAGTTTATAAATTAGCACATTCTGTGAATCGAGCATTGCAACAATGAGTGAACCGAGATCTTTAGAAAAGGGATTAGCGCCGTTTCCTGCACGATAGAATGTCACATACTAATTTTTGATTCTTTGACGTCAATGTTCCAGGATAATGAGCCAACTCTTGCCCTAAGGCATCGACGGAGTGATGCTAGAGAAATTCAAAGCTACTATCAACAGTATTACAATGATTATGTGAAGGCTCTTGATGGAGCTGAGCACTCAGATAGGTGTGTTGCACAGCTGAAATCATGATATGTCTATCAAAGTACTCTTTCGATGTGGCCTAGACGGTCTCATACTTTTTCGGTTTTAACTTTTGAAATCATGGTTTTCGAGAAACCCTACAGCTGATAATTGTTACTGGTGATGTTTTAGCCTGTGGGTTCCATTGCGTCATTTTTTTTTTATTTCCTGTCTGCAGGGCGCAGTTAGCAAAAGCGTATCAAACCGCATCCGTGCTTTTTGAGGTTTTGAAGGCTGTGAATCGAGATAAGACTGAAGAACCACCACCTGAGGTCTTTACAGTTGAACCCGAAATTTCTCATGTGTTTACAACGAATTCGTCCGTAATGTAGGTAGAAGTTATAGGCACACGAAATTTCACGGTTGTATTCGCGCCTGCATGTTGCTCGAAGTTGCTGCTCTGAACGTTATTTGTTATTTCTACATCCGAAGAGTTTGGCTTTCTTTGCAGATCATTGCTGCCGCTGCAGATGTTGAGCAGAAAAAGGAGATTTATGTCTCCTACAATGTTCTTCCTCTTGATGCTGCTGGTGCCTCCCAGGCTATTATGCAACTTGACGAGGTAATTTCCAGTTCAGTGTATGCATTTCTCCTCGGCATACACATGGTCGAAACATAGCTCCAACTTCTGTGTGGCTGCCACAGGTAAGGGCTGCAGTTGAATCGCTACGAAATGTGCGTGGATTGCCGTGGCAAACTGAGAAAGAATCGCACCCGAGAGCAGGAGACCTTGATTGCCTTGACTGGCTTCAGGACATGTTTGGATTTCAGGTATGGTTTCTTGTTCGTATTTGCACAGATATTTTTCATTCTGATAATAGCATGATATCAGTTATCGCTTGAAGGCCCCATTCACTAATCATATCATCGTGCTTGGAAGATGCAGGTGTCTTTGATTCTATGCTAGGCACTTTCTGTGTGTGAGAATGTATATAGTTGTACTGAGATCTTAGTGGAGTGTGGTATGGAGCATTTTCTGAACTTAAGTCATGAAGCCTATGATCTCGCACACGAAAGCGTGAATCATCATTGAATTTTTCTGAGTATCTGACGTTTGTTTGCGTGGGTTGGTGATTTTCGTGTACACAGAAAGACAATGTGGCAAACCAGCGGGAACATTTAATTCTAATGCTCGCAAACGTGCATAATCGGTTGCTTCCACGCCCCGAACCAATGCACAAGGTAGTGTCGTTACTTTCATGTGCATCCGGACATGCTTTGAGGTTTCAAAGTTGGTTCAAAGTAGGAAAATAGCGTATTCCTCTTTTTCAAAATTACATTACACATGAGTAGAACAAATTCATGCATATTTCTGCAAATTCGGACACAGATTGACAGGTTTTACGTGTTTTTGACTTATTTCTTGGACTTCAGCTTGATGACCGAGCTCTGAATGCAGTCATGAACAAACTGTTCAAAAATTACAAGAGTTGGTGCAAATTTCTTGGTCGCAAGCATAAACTCTGGTGAAGTTTCCGTTTTGCTTTGTTGTTTCTTCTGTAAATCAAGACATCAATGTGTAACATAGTGCTCCTTATCTTCTAGCATATTTTTACATAATTTTTTTCGAGATTTATCATCAGTAGGATCACAGTCTATTCCCTTATCTTAGCATGTTAGGTTTGGCAGTTCTTAGGGCTGATACATTTTTCTTTCTTAGAAACATCCTGCTCCCATTGCCATTTAGTTTTGTTTCTTAATTAATCTGATGTCTTTTCCAGAGCGCGTGCTAATTGATATGGCGCTCCTTATCGTTTGCAGGTTACCGCGTATACATCAAGAAGAACGACAACGGAAAATCTTATACATGGGTCTGTATCTTCTTATATGGGGAGAAGCTGCCAATCTTCGATTCATGCCGGAATGCCTCTGTTACATTTACCACCATGTAAGTTGAGAGTGATGACCATTTTTGATGAAGTTGACATTTATGTTTTTTCTAAGTTCAGTCCCTACAATGAACAGCTAACGAAGTTTTGTTTTGTAACTCTGCTGTTGCGTGTAGTGAGATTATTATTTTTGAAGCGAAAGTTTCTTTCACCTACTTTTGTGCGAGGGCCTTTGCAATGATTGTTATCAGATTGTTCATCGTGGTTTTGAGTTATGCTCAACTTCCACCGAATTCAGGGCAAATAGTTAGCTAACTTCGCGACATCGTTACGTATTAAATGCGAGAATGGCTCACGTTATTGGATCCTCGTATATTTCGATGAAACTTAAAGATTTTAACTTCGGCACAGCTGTTAGCGACTTTTCCTGTTTGTTTTACTGTAGTTGCAAACATTTGCTTGATCCAGTCGTGGGCAAGATTGGAACGATAAGTTCTTCCATAGTTCTAGTACTTCTATCTACTTTTTTCTCCTCACTGAGTGTCCGTGATTGATTGACGTGTTTCACTTTTGTAGATGGCCTCTGAGCTGCATGGGATGCTTGCCGGTAACGTGAGTATGGTGACTGGGGACAATATGAAGCCAGCCTATGGTGGGAAGGCAGAATCTTTTCTGACGTTGGTCGTCACCCCTATCTATGACGTCATCTCCAGGGTTAGTATCTATGAAGCCATCTGTAGCTTTTAATTTATTGCATTGATTCATCACATTTTGCATACCCTACGAATAGCCATATTTACCCTGCTGAGCTTGTTTCTGTCCAACCCAGAGCATGGTCTTTAATTTTTGTTATTGATGTCAGTACAGAGTGGGATTTCTTATCTGTAATTGTATTTTTCCGCGGTGCTCGGTTGTGCAGGAGACCTTGAAGAACAAGAATGGGACTGCACCCCATTCGGCTTGGCGAAACTACGACGACCTGAATGAATACTTCTGGTAGATTAATTTTTCATTATTTCTTTTGGCTGGAACACGTGAGATTGAGAGTTTTTGAGAGGGATAAAGTTCTCAAGAGGTTTAATTTACTCTTTTTTGTGAATCGTTCTCCAGGAAAGTGGACTGCTTTTGTTTGGGATGGCCAATGAGAACTGATGCCGATTTCTTTGTTCCTACTCAACGTTCTTCACAAAGGGTATGCTCGACGGATCCTGCATTTCTTTGACTTTTTTCTATTTCTTCGTATTTACATGCAACTATGGTGACAGTTTAAGTTAGATGAAGTTTGGGCATGCCAGTAGTAGTAGCCTTTGGGGTTTATATTTGCTAGCTCTGCCAGCGAAGCTGCCAATTGACATGAAAGAAGTTCTGCTGGATAGAGCCAGTGTGAGCCCTATATTATTTTATCAGGAATGAGGATTGGAACTGCGGTTCTTGAGGGAATACAAGTGACTCTACTTCTGACTTATTTTTTACCGTCTTGTTTGACGTCATGAGAGTCTTGTCCGTGGCCTGTTCATCCCACGTAACACTCTAATTATGCATGCAGTCAGAGGATAGTAACGGGAAGTTCTTTCAATCAACAAGCAAGTCTTTTTTTGTTGAGATAAGGACGTTTTGGCACCTTTTCCGAAGCTTCGATCGCTTGTGGGCCTTCTATATCCTCGGCCTTCAGGTCTTTTCTTAGTCCTACTTTTCACAATTCGTTGATATTGATTCTTCAACTAATTCTAGTACTTAGTTATGTCTTGCGATTCAAACTTCTACTTGATGGAAACTAAGATGTGTTTCATGCTGAAATGCTTTATGTTCGAACAGGCCATGATAGTCCTTGCTTGGAATGTTGGACCCAACCTTCAATATGCTTTCAATGGGACAGTGATCAAGCAGGTTCTGAGCATTTTCATAACTGCTTCCATTCTACGACTTATTCAAGGCAAGTTTTATTTCCTTCAACCTTGGTCCTCTCACTTATATGAGAACCTCATAAGCACAGCTTTATCTATTTACTTATCAGAACTAACTACATTCTGGTTTTTTTCTTTTCTTCATTGTATTTGAAGAGTTGGTGTGAAGTGTTGATGTGCAACTAATGAGGTTGGTCAAATATTTTGTTGGTTGTACGCAGCATTTTTGGACCTTTTTATGGGCTACCATGCTTTTAGCAGTATAAAGCTCCTTGGTGTACTTCGACTTATCTTGAAACTTCTCGTTTCAGCAGCTTGGGTCATTGTCTTGACTGTCTGTTACGTTCGTACTTGGAAAAACCCTCAGGGGTTAGTAGGTGTAATTCAGAAGTGGTTTGGGAGTGGTTGGGAAAGTTCCTACCTGTATATTGCAGCGGTCGTGGTGTACCTGGTGCCGAACATAATAGGTGCTTGTTTCTTTATGTTTCCTATGATTCGTCGGTGGATAGAGAGTTCCAACTGGCCTATTGTGCGTGTCTTACTATGGTGGTCACAGGTGCCGTCTCTTTCCTTGCATTTTGCTGTCTTTTTTTCGTCAACTGCGTTCATAGCCTTTATTTCTGTTGACTTAGATTGTTATTTTTCTGTATTTGGGGATTAAGTAGCTCTGAGATTTACTTGGATTGATTACAGCCGCGTCTGTATATTGGACGAGGAATGCATGAAAGCCAGTTTGCTCTAATTGGGTAAGGCGATTTCTTTTGTCGATAGTCTGTACTGTTCTTCGTATGTCATATTCCAATTACATGTTAGACGTCAAGTTCTAATGATATCTCCTGAATCAGAACTGTTCCAGTGATTCTTTTTTCACTTGTTTTTGTTTTGTTTGCGGCATTTTTGCATCTTTAGTCTATTTTTTCTATTCTCGCTTTCTTATATCAGGACATTAGCTACTATATATTTCATGCCTTGTGATTCAATAGAAATCGTTTTTCAGTGTTAAGTTGAAATTGTCTATTTTTATTTCCGGCAGAAGAATCCACGTGCCTTGTGAACGTGCTTGAATACTTTTTTTCAGTTCAATGCTTTCCTCAAGATTGCTCATGAACGTATTTTACTTCGCAATCGTGCCAGATACACTTTCTTTTGGGTCCTATTGATCGCTAGCAAGTTTGCGTTCAGTTATTTTATCCAGGTACTTTCTCAATAACTTTACATTCCTGTGCGTACATCGGTAGGACACCCCCACACGAAAAAAAGTGTATAATAAATGTACAGGGTTTCATTTTTCAAGCTCTGCTGTGCCCTCGCTCAAATCCAGTTTAATGTTTGTGATTATTGCCAAGTCAATTACGCTAGCTGTATCTCAGATTCCAAAGTTTATGCAACATATTTCTCTAGAGTTGTTGTCAAGTGATTAAAATTTACATCATCCTGCAGAGTTTTCTGCCTGCCTTTTAGATGCATCTGTTAAATCTTTTCGGGTTTCTCATGCAGATCGAGCCTCTTGTAGCTCCTACTAAAGCAATCATGCAGCAGACCAATGTATCGTACACGTGGCATGAGTTTTTCCCAAAAGGTACTGTTCTACCCTTACAAGTTATCTGTGTATGGGTTCGGAAACAAAGTTCATCTTTGAACACGGACTAAAGTACTGCTGTGTGGATGTGATGTAGCCCGTAATAATCCTGGAGCACTCCTTTCTCTTTGGGCTCCTGTTATATTGGTGAGACAATAACTTGTTTGATTGGAAAGTTCCTGAAGTTTTTTAACTATCTGGTTTCTGACCTGATGTTTAGTGCTTCATTATTGTTAATGTTTAATGTTATTGTCTTCTGATTATTTTGCCTAAAATATCCTGGGTTTTCAGGTATATTTCATGGATTCTCAAATTTGGTATGCTGTTTATTCAACTATTTTTGGTGGGATTTCGGGTTCTTTTCGCCGACTCGGTGAGGTATGATAGCAATTTCACGATATTCATTGGTATTAGTGCTCACATTAATGATTGAATCACGCCTTTTTAGCAGTTGCCTATTTAATAAACTGTTGAAGTTAACCATATCGGTAACAAACGTTTATACGCTCCAGTACGTATTTGAAATTGTAACACACCGTTCTTTGTATTTGAATAGATTACGAAATGATTGATACTATTGTTATGTTGTACAGATACGGACTCTAGGTATGCTGCGGTCTCGTTTCAGTTCATTGCCCGGAGCCTTCAATGAAAGCCTTGTTCCTGATGAGGATAATCGGGCTCGCAAGGGGTTCTCCTTTTCTCGAGATTTTGAAAAGGTAATGTCTTTGTAGTTGCAGCACTCTCCTTTATTAGGCTTATGTGCTCAATACGAGTTATTTTGCTACTGTTAAGAATGGGTTATGAAGTGGAGAACGACTTTTGGAGTGAAGGTTGATCTCAGATTTCGAATCTGTTGCTACTGGCCTTAATACTTGTTTGGCGGTTGTTGAAATTTTATTGTAACATCAGGTTGCCCCACCAACCAACAGATCGAAAGCTGCTAGATTTTCTCAGCTATGGAATGAAGTTATCACTAGTTTTCGAGAAGAAGACCTTATAAGTAACAGGCAAGATGTCTAAGCCAGCAGCAGTTTTGGTTCAACAACAAGTAGTTTTGTTGGAGATTAGGCATTTGTAATTTAAAATTGAGCGTGTCAGGATGCGTCATACTGGGTTGTCGTCCCTGAGAGCGCTACCGATCAGAGTTGTTTTTCTGACGATCGACGCTCAGAATGGTCCTTCTAATTGAACCACTCCAACACCGCTAGTAATTAGAGTGTTCTGATCTTGAGAGCTTCAAATACATATGTAGAGTTAAGATTTTGTTATGTCATGTTCTGAGTAATTGGTGTCTTGCAAGTAATAGTCAAGTCCAGTTTGGGGAGCTTGGGTCCCTACACAAGACACAATTTAAATTTTGATTTGATGTTGAGCGTCCAATTTCATTGAAAAGTAAAGTCTAGTAGTTTTAGACTTATTGTGAGTTCTAACTGGACACAGGGAAAGAGACTTGATGCTGGTTCCCTACTCGTCAGATCCTGATCTCAAATTGGTCCAATGGCCTCCGTTTTTACTTGCTAGCAAGGTATGGCCAAGTTTCTGTAAATGAAATACTAGTTAGCTTAAGGAATTGTATTTTAGCTTTTATTTTGGTTGTTTAATTTTTTATTAATATGAATACGACGCAACATTTCTTGCCTTTTGAACACAGTCGTTTGCCTTGTTTTTTCTGTTTTATTTGTTATAGGCTGTTATAGTTTTCTAAAAATCTGATCTCTTGCAGGTTCCAATCGCTTTACAAATGGCTAAGCAGGCAGCCGAGACTGGCAGAGCTGCTGACCTTTTAAGAAAGATCAAGAATGATGAGTACATGAAATGTGCTGTTGTTGAATGCTATGAATCCTTTAAGCGGGTGTTAAAAAGGCTTATTGTTGGAGAAGTTGAGATTAGGTACGAGTCGAAGAAATCCATCTTAATGCAGTGTGCTTCCTTTTCTAAAAGCTTTTGTAATCAATAAGGAAGTCTTGAATTTACGGATTTATGAGTCATTTTTTTATAGAACAGTGATTTTTTGATTCTCTAGCAGGGAATAACTAATACTAATCATCCATCTGGATTCTATGAGTGTAGGGTGATTGAAGGTTTATTGGCCGTGGTGGATGAGAATGTGGAGAAAGAGACACTTCTTGATAACTTCAATCTGGGGGATTTACCATTGTTGAGTGTGAAGTTTATCGAGCTTCTTGAGTTACTTGTAGGTTCTTTACTCCTGATTTCCTTAAGTAGGTTGGTGTAATATTCATCTTAGATTTACTTGATATCCCAACCTTTAGCTGATGCCTTTCACTCAATGCAGGAGAAGGACTACGCAGGTCAAGAAGCAATTGACAATGCACGTGATCTTGTCGTTCTCAAACTTCAGGATATGTATGAAGTCGTCACTCGCGACATGATGAGTGAGACGATGAGGTATCGTTTGTTTCTTTGTATCTACATTTCAGCTTACTGTTCAGTATTTTCTGTAAAGCATGAAGCGTTGGGTCGGACAACTTCTAAGTCTGCACCATAGCAGGTTTACTCATTGTGAATTCAATTATTTCTTTTATACATGGTCAGAGAGAGCTGGGATACAAGTCATGGAGCTTTGGCTGGTGGCCAGGGAAGAAAGTCGGAACTCTTTTCGTCGAAGGGTGATGAACCTGCTAAAGTGTTGTTTCCTCCTCCTCGAAAGGAGGCTTGGATTGAGCAGGTTAGTATTGTTTCCAATTCTGTTATCTGTTTTATATTTGGTGCGGTTGTCAGTCAATTATTCTGAAATGGATTGTTTTCGCTATTCTATGTGTGTCTGGTGACTTCAACTCCTTTGGTTTTGGTTACAGATCAAGCGGCTCCACCTTCTTTTGACTGAAAGAGAATCTGCGATGGATGTGCCCGAAAACCTGGAAGCCCGACGACGAATTGCCTTTTTTACCAACTCTTTATTTATGAACATGCCCAGAGCGCCCAAGGTTAGAAACATGTTGTCTTTCAGGTAAATGGAGACCCTTTTTCCTAAACATGGACACCTTCGTTTTGTATCTCTACAGTCCTAAATTGTAATTCGAAAATTTTAGGCGGATTGAATCTTGAATATACAACTAGAGTTCCTTTAAATTTACAAAATAATGGATCTTGATGTTGAAGTGTTAGAAATCTATACCCGAGACTGATTTATCGTCGTAGCTCTTATACTTGGTGTATGTGCGCTGGCTAGAGAATGGTTATTGCAATTTGGAATTCGTTCTCTTCATCACTGACTGCAATCATCATCTGTAATGGACTTTAAATCATCGTTTTCGAATGTGTCTACTGTGCTTATGGAGTTGACTTTGCTTTCGACTTGTTGCAGTGTTCTAACTCCCTATTATAAGGAAGATGTGGTGTACTCGAAGGAGAACTTAATGAAGGAGAATGAAGATGGGATATCTGTTCTGTTCTATCTACAGAAGATTTATCCAGGTTCGACTCATTAAACGAAGGGTACTTAGAATAGCTTGCTGTTTCTAGTGAATGATTTGTACTAATAGTGTGAGAATCTAGGCTTTGCAGCAACAGGAATAATTATCTTTGCAAGGGTTTGTATTTTTAAAATTCTGATCTTATACTTGAAACTCGGATTGTTACTTGCCCATTATACTTAGAATGGAATCGTTTGGACAGATGAATGGAATAACTTTCTTCAGCGCCTTGGTCTTGAGAACTCTGATGACCCTGAGGCTCAAATTTTTAGTAGCAACGATTTGGAAGACAAACTACGAGAGTGGGCCTCTTTCCGTGGACAGACTCTTTCACGTACAGGTGTGTTACACTTCCTTTATACTCTTTTTTGCGATGTTGCTATTTTTGTTCTGGAATTGACGTTTTGAGCATTTACAGTACGATAGCAATTGTTTGGGACCCCAGCTATTTGTGCCGTTTGTCAGATTTATACCTGCTTACAAGTTTAAGGCACGTTCTCACTGGTCTAACTGGTTCGGCTTTTTCAGTGCGTGGTATGATGTATTACAGAAGAGCTTTGGAGCTGCAGGCTTTCTTGGATATGGCAACTGATGATGGTACTAATTAATTTCTCTAGCAAATAGGTCTAGCATAATGTATCGTGCCTTTTTTTTACAATGGAACTAGGTATTACGAACACCTTCAATATAGTATCCGTAATTGGTCGAATGAATACGTCCGAATCGTAGTTCGGATTTTCTAATTTGTTTTGAGGGATGTGCAGAGCTGGAGGATGGGTACAAAATCCTTACAGATGCCACTCCTGAACAAAAGAAAAGTCAGCGCTCCACATGGTCACAATTGCAAGCTATAGCCGATATGAAGTTCACCTATGTTGCTGCATGTCAAATGTATGGTGATCAAAAGCGTCAAGGTCACCATAGTGCCACCGAAATATTGAAACTCATGCTCAAGTAGGTTTTGGTTTTCAACTTATTCTTTCCTATTGTATGTCTTTGTGAATGTTCAACTTTTACTGTAAAATCCAACTTTCACGAGAATGAGTGCACCACCTCAAGCCTGTGTTCATTTTTGGTAATTATCTCTTTGCTTTGCGAACTTCGTTTTGACACGAGCAATTTTGGGGCAGCAATCCATCGCTTCGGGTCGCATATATTGACGAGGTGGAAGAACGGCAGAATGAGAAAACTAGCAAGGTGTATTACTCCGTTTTGGTTAAGGCTGTGAATGGATTGGATCAAGAGATTTATCGGATCAAGTTGCCTGGTACAGTAAGACTTGGAGAAGGAAAGCCTGAGAACCAGAACCATGCAGTTATTTTTACTCGCGGTGAAGGCTTACAAACAATTGATATGAATCAGGTTAATTTTCTTTTTCTGCACCTATGATCAATTTGTTAATTTCGTGTGAACTCACTCCTTGTATTTCCTGCTCGAAGTTCTATACTTGTGTAATGAACCATGTTCTTACGTATCTTGTCTTCCGTGCGGGCGTGACTGTTGATTTACTTCGGATATACGTAAACGAGACGTTCTGACCCGAGATGACTTTGTCGTTGGTTTAGTAGAACTTATCACTTCAAGTGTATCTGGCAGGATAATTATCTTGAAGAAGCGTTTAAAATGCGGAATCTCCTGCAGGAGTTTCATGAACCTCATGGTGTCCGACCACCTACGATTCTAGGTGTTCGTGAGCACATCTTTACTGGCAGGTATTGTCGAGTTATTGCGTCTGGTTCATTTGTATGGTACGATTGATTCATGAATATTTAGCAATGATCTCAAGCTCATTTTGTTGATTCTTAACTATGGTTTACATTCACCTCTGCTCCCAAATTGATGACACTCAAGTGTCCGAACAGAAACTTTTGAAATATATAATACTCTCAGGGCCATTAAACTATTGAGTATTTCTTATGCTATTTTATTCTATGATCACCTAATTCTCCAGCAATCTAGCGCAGTTGATATTGATCAAAGTTAATGCCTGTAAATGTGCAGTGTGTCTTCTCTTGCATGGTTCATGTCAAATCAAGAAACAAGTTTTGTTACTATAGGTCAACGAGTTCTCGCTAGCCCACTCAAGTAAGTGACTATGTACTTCATTCGACACTAGCGAAATATCGATGTATTTTTAATCAATAGTTTTATAGTTTTGCCTGTTTTTTGTATGTGCTCACCTAATCAGTGTACGAGTCTTTAATCATTTCACCGCCATGTTTGGGTATGTTTTGTAGTAAACGTAAGATACTTATGTGTGCCCTGTGTGTTTTAAATATCTCACATTCAAATGTATATGTGCTGTTGGGTTGACTTCTGCTTTGATTCTTATTTTTATTTGCAAGCTGGGAACTCACGACTTGCACTTTCAATTGTCTCTTCCAGGGTGCGATTCCATTATGGGCACCCTGATGTGTTTGATAGGCTTTTTCACATAACGAGGGGAGGGATGAGCAAGGCATCCCGTGTGATCAACTTGAGTGAAGACATTTTCGCAGGTTTGCAGATACCCTGATATTGCGATGTCTTCATCCAGCTCTAGCGTTTTAGATTGGTAATGAAAATATCAGGAGCAGTCCGTCTATCGCATTTCATCAATTGCGTAGAGTGTATCGAGTCGTATTAAGCTAATACTTTCTGATACAGAAATTTTCTATTGTGGAATGTGAGCAGGTTTTAATTCCATCTTACGTCGTGGTAATGTAACCCATCATGAGTACATCCAAGTTGGCAAAGGGCGAGATGTAGGCTTGAACCAGATTTCATTGTTTGAGGCCAAAATTGCTTGTGGGAATGGCGAGCAAGCTCTCAGTAGAGATATCTATCGCTTGGGGCATCGATTCGATTTCTTCCGTATGCTGTCATGCTATTTTACTACTGTTGGTTACTACTTCAGTACCATGGTGATACTTCTAACCACGACTACTCGTACCAATGTTTTTGAAGTCGGGACATAGGGAAAGGAAGGTGTTGTGCTGAATTTTTTTTCTTTTAATTACAAATTGCTCTCTAAACTAGTACTCCCGGATTTTCGATGCAAGGTACTCAACTAGTTGATTTCAAATGAAAGTGCAGAATCAAGCCGTATTCCTCTTTTGAATTTATATGACTAGAAATGACATCACTGCAAAGATGACGTATTACATACAATGTGCGGATTGAAATTAAGTAACAGTACTAAAACTTGGTGTCTCCTTTCTCCAGATTGTAGTACTTACAGTGTACATCTTCCTGTACGGCCGAATCTATCTCGCTCTGAGCGGAGTGGACGACTCTCTTGTTCATACTGCAAATAATAAAGCCCTCACTGCAGCGTTGGCTTCGCAATCCCTTGTCCAGCTTGGGCTGCTTATGGCTTTGCCAATGGTGATGGAGATAGGTCTGGAAAGGGGATTTCGCACTGCATTGAGCGATTTTCTCACCATGCAACTCCAGCTTGCATCCGTATTCTTTACATTTTCTTTGGGAACAAAAACTCATTACTTTGGTCGCACAATTCTGCATGGTGGTGCAAAGTACCGCGCTACTGGGCGAGGATTTGTCGTAAGACATGAGCGGTTTGCTGACAACTACCGACTATATTCTCGATCGCATTTTACGAAAGCAATCGAGCTTTTCCTGCTACTCATTGTGTACACGTTATATGTTACCAAATCTGCGAAAGGGGCTGTAACTTATATATTGATCACGGTTTCTATGTGGTTTTTAGTCGCAAGTTGGCTGTTCGCGCCATTTCTGTTCAATCCATCAGGATTCGAGTGGCAGAAGATTGTGGAGGATTGGGATGATTGGAACAAATGGATGAGTAACAGGTTTGTAGATACCAGTGCCTTTATTGTCTTTGTAGCTCCTGTTTTTCTTTGTGATACTTCATGTTTTAAAGAGCCCTGGAACTGTTTGATTGTTAATTTTTCTTTGGCTTAGCAGAGGTGGTATTGGAGTGGAAGGCAGCAAGAGTTGGGAGTCTTGGTGGGATGAGGAACAAGAACACCTGAATTATACTGGGTTTTTTGGCCGTTTGGTTGAGAGCATACTATCCTTCCGGTTCTTTTTATATCAATATGGGATCGTCTACCATCTGAACATAGCCCGGTCTTCAAACAACCTAAGCATAAGTGTACTCTTCTTGTATCCCTCCTCCCATTTGAACATACAGTAATTTTTTTGTCATATTATCTAAATTCCGTGTTACATTGGGTTCCCTGCCAGAGATTTACTTTTTGTTTTGTTTTTTCTCTAGGTGTATGGCCTCTCATGGCTTGTCATTGTGGCGGTTCTAGCCATACTTAAGGTTTGGGCGACTTTTATACCATTCAGTACTGATGCATTTGAATCATTTCCTATGCCTAGAATAGATCTTTTTAAAGTTGACTGCCTTGATTTTGTGCCGAGGGTTAATAAAGACTTCAATGTGCTCTACATAAATTGACACTGGTATGTCCGTTTATTTACATTCTATGCCCTATTGTCTACAGATCGTCTCAATGGGAAGAGATAAGTTTAGTGCAGACTTCCAGCTTATGTTTCGACTTCTGAAGGCTTTGGTCTTCATTGGATCTGTATCAGTCATTGCCATTCTACACGTGAAAAATCTCACTGTTGGTGACCTTTTCGCCAGCATTTTAGCATTCATACCCACTGGTTGGGCTCTGATACAGGTGATCTACTAATTTTTTGGTGGTAAAATTCAGGCTTTTGTTGGGTGTCACTTTCTGCCTCACGCTATTCACTTAAGCTTCTATAGATCTTGCTATAAAGAACTGACGCCTGAAGGATATGGATTTAGTATGCTTGGTTTCCAAACCTCCTTTCCATTTGTTTTTGGTTGAATGAATCCCTGTGAAATGAATCCTCCATTTTATACTGAATCTTTATTCCTGACCTAGTTTTGTGCTTTCTCCATCCCGTCTGTGATGTCTTTGAACTCCCTAGAACCTCGCAATTTAATGTGAAACGTTGATAAAGATTGATTTACTCATGTCGTGAAAACTGAGCTAACCTAAAATTCTTTTCTTTGTTTCGTGTCGTACAGATTGCGGTAGCATGCAAGCCAGTGGTGATCAATTTAGGGTTCTGGAAGTCGGTGAAGTCGCTTGCTCGCGGCTACGAGTACATGATGGGGATCTTGTTGTTCACACCCATTGCTGTTCTTTCATGGTTTCCATTTGTGTCGGAATTCCAGACACGGCTACTTTTCAATCAAGCTTTCAGTCGAGGACTTCAAATTTCGAGAATTCTAGCTGGCAGGAAGAAGCTGTAACTCTGAACTTTTTTGTGACTTAATATGTAGCGAACTACAGTTAAGTTACTGAGAGGAGACCAGATTGTCTCGATTGAAGTAATGCTCAGATACTTGGGATCGAGTTACTCGTACTTGTATAAATTACTTAGGCTATACGCGAGGGTAAATTTGTTCAACAGGATGCAAATACTTTGAGCACATTCCAATTTTGCGAGAATGTGTTCTGATACTTCCTCGTTTGAGGTGGGATAATTTGATCTCAATTTTGTATGAAATTCGTACCTAGGTATGCCATTGAGATTTTCGTTCTTCGTATTGCAAGGGTAGAGCTGCTTGATTACTTTGGCTTGAACCGTGTTTATTCTTCCAAATATTTCGGTTGAATGTTTACACTTGTGTTAGATACTTGTGGTAAAACAGATCAAATCATTTATGATTTATGTCATGTAGGGTAAAAGTACATCTTATCTCAACTTTGCTTTTCACAATACTTAAGTTGATTTTGATTTAAATTATGAAAGCAACCTGGTGACAACTCCTGATTTTAGACTCACAAATTTTGGTAATTGTAATCTCTCATTTTCTGCTCAATTTGAATTATAAATAACTGGCTCCATTTGTGTGTAGACCTCTTTGAACCACTAGTTGATATCCTCTTGTGATGCCAACAAGGTATGACGTGTACTGAACCACATATTTCACCATCCTTGAAGAATCAGGCACAATAATTTCTACAGATCTGGCATTATTTAAAAACCCATGCTCACCAAGTCGTCAAGCCCTCAACAACTTCATTGACCTGCCCACTGCTGGTGTCTGTAAAGTCTCCCACAAAGTGATGTGGGGATCTGTCATAAAACAAACTGATATTATCCGTCAGGCATCAGCAGTTCCAAAATATGAGACTCAACACCCTGATTAAATTCCCTAAGCAGAAAAGACATCTCATTGGAAGACACTACATATTGATTGCCCTTTCTTAATGGGTTGCAGTAACTTGCATTGTCCTTTGTGATATACACTCGCATTCAAAACTATAGGGGGTTTCAAACGTGGCTTTTTCGGGTGATATCTCACCGGTGATACTCACAAACAAAAACATGATAATTTAATTTTAATTACAAGTCCATCTATGGCAACAAAGGAGAAAAAATATTTGTTCAAAGCACATATAGTATTTTGCTTGTTAGGAGATGTAGAAAAGTGTTACTGTTCATTTTTTGTTTTGTTTTGTTTTTTTTTCTTCTTCTTTTACATATTGTAAATATAGATGTAATATCAAGATTTTTTCAAAAAAATTCTAAATTTTTTCATACTGTTGATCTTATTAAAATTAATGATAAAAACATTCCAAAATACCAAAAACATAACACATATAATAAAATTTACCAAACATTTAGGAATACATAGTTTTGACATACTTGTTGCATATTTTATATTATTTATTTCATGGTTAATTAAGTATACAAAAAATATCAATCATTTGGAGAAGTATGGATTAAAAAGTCTTCTACATTTAATAAAAATTGCCAACATGACATTGATGTAATAAAAGGGTAGTTTAGTGATGCTTCAAAATTTGGTATTAGAAATTTTGTCATTATTTATGAATAGTTCGGAGTTTATGAGATGGGCATTTTTGTAAACCCTAGTCTTTTTTTGTGTAAGTTATGCATGGTGATAAATATATACATTAAGAATTTTTTGGAACACTTTATAAGATTTTAGGATTTTCAAAGAACCTTTTATAATTTTTTAGAATCTTTTATTATCCTCCTTAACCATTTAAGACCTTCTTTAATCTTTCATTATTTTTCATAAACTATAGCTTAGACTTCTAGCATATTCTATAGGTCTTAGAACCTCTTCTGGAAGCTAATATTAAATGTAGTTGCCATATTATAAATAAAATAAGAAGACAAGTGGCACCTCAATCTTGTAATGCAAAGATTTTAAGAAATCAAAGAATTGATTTGTTTCTGGTCTTTTATCTAATTTTTTTTAAAAATATTATCTTACTTTCTTTTTACTACTTAATATTTTAGTCCCTTGTCTAGGTATCATTGACATATAGATTATAATTATTATTTTAGATTTTTTTTCTTATTTAAGTTAAATTAAATTCTTAAACTTATCAAGCCCTAATGGAGATGGCAGATTTTTATATTGCAACATGTCTTTTTTATGAAATATAATTTTAAAGGTTGCATCAAGAAAATATTATTCAAAATTAATAATGTTAATAGCTACATAATAAATTTCAAATAATAATCTAGTATAACAATTGTTTTTATAACAATCCTCTATTATATTGTACCTTCATATGTAAGAATTATATACTATGTATGTTGGTGCATTCTCAATTGAGTGCCTTAAATTTTGCTACAACTTAAAAAATGATTACTTGTAAGAAAATAATGATAGACTTTTGTATCTTTTTTATTTGACAAATTATTCTCACTTTTATAAAAACAAAAGAAGTATCATTGGCACTTTTTTATAATTCCAACTCTTGTATAAATACCATGTTTACTAATTCAACTTCTATTTAATTACCTCTAATTAAAGTAACACCCATAACATAAACGTTTGTAATAATTTGTATAGTTATGTTTTTATTTAGTTATTTATTTATTTATTTATTTATTTGCATGGTGTTTACTTCCATGCTCATGCTTCATATACCTTTGAAATGGTAACCAAATACGTGAAGTGATTTATTTATTTTTATGCTTTAGGTTTAAGCACAATGCAATAGCCTTGTGTGAGCATCAATTGATGCATAGCTTGTAACTTTCAATAAACTGTGAAATTACTTGATGTCCATGGGACAAGTCCATAGGCCCTATTGATTATAGACCTTTCAATATGACTGGCTTTGAGAAGATGGTGACAAGTTGCAATATTGCAACAATTTTATGGTAAATGGATACTCTTGTTTGTCTGTGCTTGTTGAACTCACATCACAGAGCAGACGTGCACTCTGGTGGGGATTTTGATGCAGTCCTTAGTTGAAACATTAACATACAAATGAAGACACTGCCTCACAGCTACTGTGGTTAATCTTTCTTCTACAAAAGATAGAGTGATAGTTTGTGGGTATTCACTACAGACTTCTCAAACACTTGAATCGGATGATGTTTGTGATGTTTTTGTGATGGAACCAAGGTTTAATGTATTAATTATGGAACATGTTTATTAAACTTGTCAAGAGCTTTTTGGGGAAAGAGAGGATAGATCTATCCGTGGCTGGTAATGTGTCGGTAAGGTGTCGAAAATTCTGCCTTTTGATGTGGATGGTTACGGATTCAGTTCAACAATCTAGAGGTAGCATGTATTAATGTGCATCTTCGTGAGACTGGATCTGTGAATGGAGGTTGAGTTCTGACCAAATACTATGGCTGAGCACAAACATGTTTGGTCGAATTCAACTGCAACTCATTCAACTTATTCAACGGTACTCAGTTGTTGCTACCCATGTATGAATGGCTCATGTGACAATCTCACGAGTTGAAAGATCCTTTTTCCCACAACATTTCCCAGAACATGTACTAAGTTTTAGGCAACGCTCTGAAATCCTGTTGTGAGGGACCTTATTGTTTTGCCAGCTCCACAAAGCGCTAAGAGCAATTCGATTGAATACGTTGCAGTTCTGTAGCAGTTGTTCTCTATTCCTGATAGCCTTCTTGTGTTGGATACTGCTCATGCAATGCATGCGGTTGATATTCTTTCGAAGATCAGATGCGCATCATAGAAACGCTTGCAGATACCTCAGCGGTCTCTATCTCTTGCGGTGGTGATATTCTCTTTCAGTAACAGATTCTACGTGAGTATGCAACTGTTGTTAAGATTATTCGCGTCGCGGACAATACTTTCAGCGGAAACCCTTAATCTAAACTGTGTATTAGACAAGGTCATGAAAATGTTTCTGCTAGTGTTCGGCTGATCATTATTTAATGTTCTGCTTGCTCGATTGGTTTTGAACTGAAATGTACTGCAAAACCTTAAGCACTACTCCTCCAGAAGCGGGTGCCGCGTACTCCTGCTTTGATGACCTCCGAATTAGGATCAGAACCTCTGGGATGGTTGGCAGGATTGAGGAGGTCAGCATGGTGCGAAAGTGAGCTGACAAGTGGAAGGAAAAAGCCGGAGAAAGAGAGGCAGCCAAGTGCATGAGGCCCCGAACCACTTTCTAGTTTCGAAGAAAAAATTGCAAGTACTTTTTCAACACCTGTTGTTCTCTGCGAGAACACAAAGGTGATCGAATCCAGCATATGGGTAACGCTGCACTGCCAAAGAAAGATCCGGAATGTAGACCGGGTTATATTTGGTCCGAAACCTTAATATAGCTTTTGACACCGTATTGAAAACTTTCACAGGTGCATGGTTCATTGTTCCAGGCACAGGTCAGCATAGTCGTCAAAGAAAAGACTTGCACCAACCAGCTAATTTGTGTTTGTGGACAGCCGAGGTCCACATCCACTAGGTTGAATCTACACAATTCCATTTCACAATTCTTTGTTGTGAACACCATACACTGTGATCCGACAACGGGAATATTCCTCGAGCTCTGTAACTCGATGCTAACTTACAAACACACTCTGTATTCTCTGTAAGCGACGGATTGAACGTTACAATCTGCTGACGAGCCACAGATTTTACGGAGAACATTGAACTCGTCCTAATTGCACTGATAATGAGAAGGGCTTTGTTCAGTATTTAGCCAAGGGACACGCATTTGCAGAGAAAGAGGAAAATTGTGACGGTGTAGGAGGCTTCAATGAAATCCTAGGGCTATGAACCAAAGTAGTGATGACGGGGTGTCCACATATGCTTTTGCTGTGGTGGATGGGGGATTGATATTTTTATCTTACTTCCCAGTGTACCCACTTGGCTCGCTCTCCATGGTCAAGGAAGAGAGTGTCATCTATCGCATTTTGTCCCTCTATTGAAATCATCTGGTTGTGGTGTGATTGGGTGGGAGGACGAGCAGCGCACTGGTACACTGTTGGGTCTAACGAGCGTGAGACCTGTGGAATCATTGACAGGCTGATTATGTTGTGGCGTGACTGTAAGGATTTCAGTCGGTTTACATCCAATTGCTTTTGCAGTGCACATGCGATAGTATTGAAAAGAGCTCACTCTTGCATCTGAGCTCATACGTTCTGCGGCATTGTTTGGAACCGGAATTCGGGCTTCGCACAGGATAATTTGGAACATTATGGCATTATCGACGCTTAGTTTGAACTAGTCATCCTGGTTTATTATATAATCTGGACCGTAGTCCGTAGTGATTGCGAATTGCAAATTAGATTTTCCGTCCAGTTTGATTGCTGCGGATCACAACTTCTTTTGGGAGTCGGGAGCTTGGTTATTATGCCAGCAATTGAAATTAATTTTTTGCTTCAAATCCTCGTTACCATTTGAGCAGCAGCTTCGAGAAGGGGTGATGGGTAAGCAAGAGTCGCTTGTTTCGGAGCTTGAGCACCAAATTTTGTAGAGTGAGCTTTTTAATTTAATCCATTGAGCCCACCATGGCGACGATTGAAGCCATGTTAGGGGCACCCACGTTACTCAGCATACACAGACGATCTTCGGTGGTCACACACAGCCCCAAGAGATCCCTACGTCCATCTTTGGTCATCAATCCTGCCCTCTGGGTAACACTTCCCAGGCCCTTCGGACGACAGATTCGTCGAATTACCTGCCAAATTTCAAAGTCTTCGGGGAAGGGAGACCCTTGGCAGCAGACAGTCTCGCAGCCAGATACATTTACCAAATACTCTGGGTACATTGCCGAGGCCGCCATCGAGGAAGCTGATCAATTGGACGAGTATAATGCGGATAAGATTGCTGCTGTTTTCAATCGCCGGCCATTTCTGCTAGCAAGAAGGTTGATTCAAATTGCAGGGACTCTAGGGTGGTGGGTTGCAGTTCGATATGGTGACACTTTCTTTGGAAAGAAGGACCAAAACTTCAAGGTATGTTCTAGAGTCTGTGAAGACCAGCGTCGTTGTAATTGCTGAATACAAATTACAAAACTTTGAGACGTGAAGGATCAAACGCAGTACCAGATATATGTATTGGAATTTCTTATATCTCATCCCTCACCTGTATTCCACACCTGCTTGAAATTTTTTTGTTCCTAAGATCGCTTGTGATCATTGGCTATCCTCAAGTTGCTGTATTATAATTATATTGTCGAAGTGATGCTTTCATGAGAGGTAATAATATTGCCACTTATTGATCCAATTCAGAGGTTTAAGTTTTTTTCAACGTAATTAATTGAAACTTTAATGTTTAGATCCTAAATATGTTCCTCAGTATGGGAATGTAATGTGATGGGTGGATGGGTGGATGGATTATGCTTGTGCAGAAACGGGCGGCACAATTACGACAATCTCTTGTTCAACTCGGTCCTGTATGTAATAACTATCCAATCTGAAATATGAAATATATTATTAGAACTTTTTAAAGTTAGAGATAGTTGGCATATTTGGTTTTTACTGAAACCCAGCCTTGGCAATTTTATGTACCTTGACACGTACCCTATACATAAGCTTCTTGGCTTTCAATGTTACAATTCTGACCTTTTTTGCCTGATCATGTGACAGGCATTTGTGAAGATTGCTCAAGCGGTTTCTTCACGCCCTGTAAGTATTACGTTTTTTATGGTCTTTATTTGCAAAACATGGAAGGATGTACAGCTTTCTGAGTGGTTTTGAAGAAAAATGTGAGAATTTGAATAAATACGGCATTCGCAACAAGAATGAACATAATTATTACATTGTTCTGGTTGCTGAAATCCCTCAACATTGGACCTTGCATGATAGGATGTTATTTCGCCAGAGTATTTGGAAGAGCTTGCTCTGTTACAGGACCGTATTGCTCCCTTCTCGACAGAACTTGCGCTACAAATCATTGAGCAAGAGCTAGGAGTTACTGTTGACCAGCTTTTTTCTGAAATCTCTCCACAGCCAGTTGCTGCTGCTTCTCTTGGACAGGTGCTATTACAATTGCTTATGAAATCTCGCTTTTTCGGTTGATCCTTCCACTAATTTCTGATACGCAGTCTAGTGATGCGTTAGTAGGTCTTTGGTAGATTCAGTAAAGCTTTTCTGCAGCTGTACTATATTCTCAACAACTCTGCACCACGTTAATTATTCTTTCATATCAGCAAGCTTTTTTGTCCTGAACACTCTAAGAAATGATAAGTTTTTGTGATGGAACCAAGTTTAATATAACAATTATGGAACATGTTTATACTTTTGGTTTCAGGTTTACCAAGCACGGTTGCGTCCAAATGGTGAGGCAGTAGCTGTGAAGGTGCAACGACCGGGGGTTCGAGCAGCCATGGCACTCGACCTTTATATCTTGCGCAAACTGGCAAAATTTGCAGGGTCATTGCTGAAACTCAACACAGATCTTCCAGTTAAATGCCCTATCCCTTCTCGACTTGCTTTTGGTGCTAAAAGTTTTGAGTTTTTTTGAACTGCCTTCGAGATACCCTTTAGTACCAGGTCATAATTGTGAAGTTGTACTTGCAAGGGCAAATTACTAGTACCGTGAAAGCTTTCTTACTGTACAAGCCCCATATTAATAGGTTTCTGTTAAGAGTCTGGTACAATTTGCAATTTGACCTCTCAACTCGCGAGAAATCGGTTTGGTGTAGCTATTGGTAATTTAGCGAAGTTGCATGTTTGTTTGCAAGGTGATGTTGGCCGCAAATATGAATACAAAAGTGGTAGACTCTACTGTTTGATTCGTGAGTTTGACATGTTTTATGTGGCTTTTGCAGGGTGTTGTTGACGAATGGGCTTCAAGTTTGTTCAAGGTATGTGCACTCACTGCCGTGGTCTTATTGATTAACAAACACCTTCCAAAACGTTAATCATTGGTACTAATACTGAAATGTTTGATTCGACAGGAAATGGATTATCAGGCAGAGGCTCGTAATGGTTTACGATTTCGGTTAGAAACCCTTCCTTGCACCTGACCTTAAACTTCCTGTCGATTCTTCATGCGCTTGACACTAGTGGTATTATTAGTGGTCATTGTTTGAGGGAGTCTGCGACACATATGCACAATTAAGATTTTGTAATCATTTACAACTGAATCCTAAGCTGTTGTGTATAATGTCTCAACCTACTAAATCCTACTTTTAGTTTGGTCTTTATTTCTTGAATATGGTCTTAAAATTGAAGATAAAAATAGTTCCAGACTAAAGTTGATATCTATGACAGGAAAATGTTTGGAACTCTACCTGACGTGATAGTACCGAAGATGTATTCAGAGTTGACGAGTCGCCGGGTTCTTGTTATGGAATGGGTTGAGGTATGTCCTTTTCTTTCCTCATGTAACGATTGTTGATTTTTGTTCCTTCTGAACAATAGATATGTGTGGCGATGACTTAATTTATTCTCATTTTTATTATGTACAACAAATTATGATGCGTTCATACTAAGCAGAATATAAAAATGCGCTAATACTTCAAGATTGCTGTCCTGCAGGGACAACGATTGTCTGAAGTCAGTGACCTTCGCTTAGTTGAGGTGGTGTAGTTTCACCTGTCAAAATCCTGTCTTTGCAGTTCATTGACAAGTCATTGAAGTTCATGTGAATCTACTATGTTTGAATGATATTGGGATAAACATAGGAGCACTTGATATCATTGCTATTATGACTTTGATTGAGTGAAAGTTAACTTTGTTTGATATTTTTTTATGAGTTTTTGGTCAATCAGGTAGGAGTTTTCTGCTCCTTGACACAGTTATTGGATAATGGTTTTTATCATGCGGATCCACATCCTGGCAACTTACTGCGCACTCCAGATGGCAAATTAGCCTATCTAGGTACTGCTTCAATTTCCGATTAGAGAAAGTTTTTGATCTGAAATAACGATTGACTTGCAATTCAATTTATGAAACAAGACCGTTCATTTTCAACCACGAGATTTTTCTATTTAAAAATTTGATTCCTAATTGACATTTTAAGATGATCAAGTACTTGCAAGCTTTTACTGGAATAGAATATTTGAGTTACCTACTCTTCATCTCTAAGTAAATATAACTACTAACTTCTAGTCTGTATTATATTTTGCCACTCGACAATTTGCATATATTGGCTCCTTATATGACGTGTTGAAATGTCCAGATTTTGGAATGATGGGTGAAATGAGGGAAGATCTCAGAGACGGGTTGATTGAAGCGTCGGTACACCTTGTCAATCGTGAATATGAACTTCTTGCTGGCGATTTTGTCACTTTGGGGTAAATATTGATTTCACTATTTTACTTTTAAGTTGGAGACCTTTTGGATTCTGATTGTCGAAATGCTTCACTTGATAGACTGCAAAATTTCCACTAATGGATGGTTGACAAAATTACCTGTATAGATGCGGGAAAAAAGGGGAGAAGTTTGTTTTAAAATGTGTCTTAATGTTGATTTTTCCTTGCAGGCTTGTACCACCCACTGCAGAAATGGGCGAATTTTCGAAGGCGCTTACAGGTACGAGAAAGTTTCCTATAATGTTGTTTATGCCAAGAATTGTAACGGAAGATTAGTTGCCTATTCCTGCTTGGCATGTTCTGGTCATGATGTTGAAGCAAGCTTTTGTTGTTGTTGTAGTTGTTCCGTTCAGCATACCATATAATTATTCGCTTGAATTTTAATATGTGAAACGATGCAGGCGTATTTCAAGAAGCCGTGAGCAAAGGCGTTCGGAATATAAGTTTTGGAGATTTGTCAGGAAAACTAGGTGTCACCATGTACGCACGCCTGCACTCCATGAACCTCTATAATCTTTCCAAGTCATAGTCAATTAACGTGTCGAAATGACATCATCTGTCAAAGTTTTATTTAATGTCTTGAACTGATCACAGATTCATTTCTTCTTGTGTTGGCAACAAATCCGAAACATTCGCTTAACGATATCTTGTCTGGATATTAACTAAGCCCCTCCTCTTGTCTATTTTTGAAAATGAATAGTTCAATATGTTAACCAAAAACATGATTAAATATTTTGTCATTGATTGATGGAGCTCCTCTTTTTCTGCAGGTATAAATTCAAATTCCGCATTCCTTCCTACTTTTCGCTGGTTATCCGTAGGTAATTTGTCGTCTTCGTTTCTTTCCTTACGCTGTAGGGTCTTAAAGAATCCCAAGCCTTCAGCATAAGCTTTCAGTATCTATTTAATAACTTCATTCTCTTGCTCTTTTGATATGATTGAGGTATCTTTTTTTTTAAGTTTGTTGGATAGTTGGATGTTAAATATTTCGTATCACACTTACTCAGCTCGACATATTGCATCACACCTTAAATCTTTTTATCCTGCAGTTTAACAGTACTTGAAGGCATTGCCCTTAGTAGTGATCCCAACTATAAAGTACTGAGTAGTTCATATCCATGGATAGCGCGGAAGGTCCTCACTGACAAATCACCAAAGCTTCGGTCCACTCTTCAGGAAATAGTATACAAAGTACTTGCTACATATCCCTTCCTCTCGTGTAATTTTAAGCTGATGGGTCGATTCTCGAGTCTTTTTTTGTTTTTTGTATAAGTTTTGCTTGTATTATACCTGTCGTGACTTAGGTTGCTGTCGTTGGAGAAAAATATGTACTGAATCAAAAGCTCAGGCTGATAACAGTTGTCATTTCTAATGTTTAGTCCTTTGTTGTGTTTTATCTGAAGTAATACCATGCCCTAGTGGATTTTTTTTTGTAATACAAAATTGTAATCACAATCCTAATAATCTCGAGGGATATACGTTATCAGGACGGTGCTTTTAGAATCGATCGCCTGGAATCATTGTTAACAGAGGTGAGTGCTTCCATTGTTCTACTTTAGCTACCTATGTTGAACTTAACAGGTTGTGTTATACACGTGATTGAGTAGGAACTCACGATTAGGTTTGTTATTGCATACAAGGCCCTTGAGATTAAACTGTTTTGTGCACAATTCTGAGAAGATCGTTGGTATTAGAGATAAGCCTAACCAGAGGCTTGTTTACAACCCCAGAAGGCTTGCATGGAAATATCTTCATATCTTTGGTCGTCCTTTTTGCTCACGAAATGGTCCATCTAGGATTTATATGGAAAAATATTAGGAATTTACAATTAGCTTGGTCTTTTTTTTGCCTGTGATATGAATTACTATTACGTATAGGATATAGTTAGCAGCCGCTTTGTTCGTCAGAGCTTTTTTCTTTTTTGGTTAATAAATCATTGTGGCATGTGTTTGACAATTCCAGTCAATGCGACAACCATTGGAAGATCCGGCAGTGGTAGAAAATAAACCAGCTGAGAAGCGAGAAGGAAAAACAGAAAGGGACACTAGGAATCTTGTGAAACGCCTTCTCACCTTTGCACTGACAGATCAGGTATTAGTCTTGTCTTCTGTCTGTCTCCTCCCTCCTGTCTAAAAAACATTTCCGGTTAGTGGAAGAACTTGTGAACGTTCTATAATGTCTTTGAATGATTTCTAAGCAAGTATAATTCCTCATGTCAATAATATTTTTGTAGACTTCAAATGCAATTAATGATAAATTTCCATAATTTCAATTATGGGTTGGTCTGGGCATTTGGGTTCAAAGGTATCATGCATGCCAATGTAAAAGAAATCTATTCAATTTGATGTTTTATAGTTATTTATGAAGTTCTGCATGACAGGGCGATTTTGTACGAGAATTGGTATTGGATGAACTTGCCAAGGTACATTTCACGCCCTTCTCTTTGCTCTTGGGTTTGGTGATATGAATTGTCTGGGTGGTGACATGTAATATACGTTTCTTGGATGATATGGCTTTCTGGGTACCTCTTCAATGAAATACATTAGTCTAGTACTCCAAGCAGATTTGAAGTTTGCTGATTTAAAAATTTTAAATCTTTGTGATCTGCATACATTGTAATATCAGCTTCTGAAAAGCCGTGTTATCGTTTTACAATGAATATTTACATATGAATCTGCAATCTCCGGTACTGCAGGGTATAGATGCGTTCAATCGAATAGCGTTTGACGCTGTTGCTCACAACATACAAATACGTTCTCCTATAGCTCTTCCAGTGATTGCACCTGTAACTGAAGATGAGGATCGTAAGAACTTGGAAAATCTTCAGCAAATTCTGAACATATTCATGAATTCCGAAAGTGGTTTAGGAGTTAGGACTTTGGCAGGTATGACGGGTGGTCGCGGAGGTGTAAATGGAGCTACTAACAGAGCAACTCGTTCAACAGCGAACCCTCGTTCTATCACTCAGGTACTACCACAACTGGTGTAATGTTCTCTATTTCTAAACTTGGCTCTACAAGCATCTCCTCACCTTTTTCACGTAAATGTATGCATCTTTCAATATGTCTATGAGTAAGGCTATTACACCTTAAATCCAAAATCTTATGTCGTCTGAACTTGTTCAGTCTACCAAGGTTGAGAGGGTTGGAAGCCAGAATGGAGCAGCAATGAGAACAACTCTTGCGGAGAGTAACGATGGGAAGGATCTTATACAGAGAACTGAAGTGATGAACCGAGACAACAGCTTCAGTGACAATAGGGTGCCGAAGACAACGGTTATTCAGGGTTCCGGTAACGACCTAGTGGAGAGGACCCAGTTTGTGAAACCAGAGTCAAACGGAAACAACAGTAAGGAAAATGGGCGAGTGATGAAGACGCAGATTGTCAGCGGCGCGAACAGTAACGACCTGGTGGAGAGGACCCAGTTTGTTGATGACAACAATTCGGAGACATCCCTTTCAATGGACGACATCACTGATATGTTACAAAGTCTCAGTGGCTTGACACAGCATTTACCACTACTGTCTGTTGTTCCTGAGGTGTACTTCTTAAACCTGTTATTTTATTTATAAAGGCTAGAACTCCACTTGGGTACTCCATTTTCAAGTAATAATCGTTGACTGTTGTATATGTATGGTGTTTTTCCTGACAAATATTTTCTACTTTTATTATACATGAGGAAAAAAAGCGTGACTTAACACATAGTATTTCTCAGCTTCCCTTTCGAGCTCGTCAGCAAGCGGTGTTCCTACCCGCTGAACTCGCTGGAAGGGTAGCATCGCGTGTCGCCGCGCGCACCATTAGGAGAGCCCTTCCTCGCAATGGTAGCAGTCGGTACTCTTACAAGGTACTCCGCCTCCTCCACAATCTGCAGTTGTCTTAAAAGCATGGGGTATGTTAACTAGCCTTATAAAGAAGTCAGTTAGGATATATTTTATGTGCCGGTTCTTTTCCAGAAAATTGATGGTTAAATTGGCAGCGGAAGAGCATCGGAGAATTCATCAGTGTATAGTATTATGTAACCTGCATAATTTCTGACGTCCTGGTCCGATTCGGTGGCGTGTTTCAGGATCAGAACTAGGAGAGATCACAAGCTGATACATGCAGACCTAGATTATTGGAAGGTTCTTGGTGTGCATAGTACGATATGTTTTTTTCTTAGGCTTAATTGCTTCTTAGACTTCCAATTGCATACCACAATTGCACACATGTACTATTATGTTAATTTGGCTTCGATTGAACAATAACATTGTGTTTTATTGTAATTCGTATAATGCTACTACACAAGTGCATTGAGCTTGAGCATCGTGCTTCAGAACCTGTTCTTCAGCATATTAGTATCATTCACGTAGATTCTCTGGTCTGAAATCCAAGTTAGTGACATATTTCAAGCTACTGATGTTTGAAGCAGCACTGGTATGCCGCACACAAATGGATTCTCCGATGACTCAAGTACCCGCGGTCAGCTTCACTGAATACATCTCTCGGGTTGATTAGAAATCGTTTGCCAAATTAATGAACAAAACTAGACTCAAAGAAATTCAACAAAGCACTTTCGTCCATGTGACGAATATTGTAGTCAAGCAATCTTGCATGTATTTTTAGTAACTGTTTGAAGCCTCAGATTCTTCGAACATGCGCAAATACATCGTAGTGAGTTGATACAATGTAAGCAAATGTTGCGGTTCTATCTCCGAACCTATTGAAGTAATCCAGACGGTGTCAGAGTGCAGAGTAGCCTGAGAGTCGGGCAATGACTTGCTTGCGGGAATTCATAGCTGTAGGCTGTCGATTTTCTATCCCCCTCAATTTCACTTTACATGTAGCGCGTCGGAGGATTTTTCCGCTGGAACGCTGTCCACAAATTAGGGTAGTATGGAAAAGTAGGGGTTGCAATTGGAAGCGGGCATCTCTGGTGGTAGGATTACAATCGAACAGGTGGCGATGGCAGAAAACGGAAAAGCACGCGAAGATGGTTGTTGACACCAATTACGATCGCACACGAAGCTTCTACTAAAGATTAAGAACCATGCCGAGTATTCCAAAATTTTATTCCGCAGATGCACTTTGCTAGCGCGCGACGGCATTCCCTGATCACCTTTTTTCGGGACTTCGGAAAATTACAGGGAGCTTCGTCGCTTTGAATGATGCGGAGTTGAAGCAAGTTTGCGGAGTGGCAGGGTGGTGAAGGAATTAGCAGAAGAATTGTTGTCTTGGATTGAGCGATGGCGTGCACATTTGGGCTCGCCGTAGGGCTGCACCATTTCATAAGCCTCTCTAATCCTGTCTTTCTCAGGCAGTCTATCGACAACGTGCGTCGTCGCCACGTTGCAGTCGCTGCTAAGCCTCAACGAGTGTCTGGACTTGAGCAGAAGTTACCGAACCTGCCTCTTCTTAATACACTAGCTTGGCCGCGTAGTCGATCACTGTCGCTTAAAGCTCAGGTTGATGAGGAGGAATCTGTTGTCGCTCCTGATACCGGTAGGTGTTGATGTCCTTGAGTTCTTACAATCCTTCACACTTTTGCACGTTTCATAGGTTTAGGAAATTTTCGAGATAGAAAATATGAATAAAATGGCATATTACCATGTTTTGAGGTTCGAGACCTTCCTATTCTTTAACCGGTAACATAGAGCTTCTGAATTAGTAACTTTATGAGCCTGCCGAATTAGGAGGAAATGCGCAGCTGCAATAGCAAAGTGATACAGTTGAAAATAGGTTTAAGACAGATTATTTTCACAAGGAGATCATGCTGAGTATTCGTAAAGGGATTCATGGTTTTATGTTCTTTCGCGCTCATAGTGTACTCTAAGAATGAACTGATTATGGCATGCTCAGGTATTTCAAATCAATCCAGCAATGATCGTGCTCTGGAAGCAGCGTTAGCGCCTGTCGAGTCCGAAAGCTCCTGGTTGCCTGCCTTTCCACATGTTTTGACTGCAGCCATGGCCAATTTTATGTTCGGCTATCATATCGGGTGAGCACAGTGATTTCTCTCTGCGGGTCCGAGGTTAGATATTCCAGAAATTACTCAAATGCTCACAATTTTCTCATCGCCCACCTACCGATGCTGGATTAAAGGAGGAACTTTTCCATCAGCCCCGCTTTTTCGATAAATATTAAGTGTCCATGTGCGTACGGAATGAATAAAATGAAGTGATTTGAGCTTTTTTCACGCGTATTTTTAATTGTAACGAGTGATGCTTTGCAGAGTTATGAATGGCCCCTTGGAGTCCATAGCGCGGGAATTGAAGTTTGAAGGAGATACTATAATGGAAGGCTTTGTAGTCAGTATATTTATCGTTGGTGCTTTCTTAGGAAGCGTTATTGGAGGTGTTCTTGCTGACAAGCTTGGGCGGCGAAGTACGTTCCAACTTGATGCAATCCCTCTAGTTCTCGGAGCTGCCTTAAGGTGCTGCTCAAATTTTGATGGCATCTCGGTCGACATAGTAATCATCTCAGAAAGTTTGACTTGTTCAGTAACTCGTGCAATTATATTTCGCTTTTCCAACAGAGGTTGTGTTCCTTTGAGCTCTTTCACTCATTGGCTTCAATGTGGTATTGTGTAGTGCGAGTGCGCAATCTGTTAATCTCATGATTTTAGGGCGATTTTTGGTTGGAATTGGCATCGGCGTCAACACTGGTTTGGTTCCTATGTACATCTCAGAGGTGCTGGCAACTCCTCATCCGAAGCTCTTTCTTGGAAACTTAAAGATTCATATGCATCGTTGGTAGTAGTTGCAACCTTGCCTTCCAATGCACTTTTGCATGGTATATTTTCAACCTGCATGGTGTACTCAGGTAGCCCCTACAAAATTTAGAGGAGCGTTAGGGAGCATGTGTCAGATCGGGACATGCATCGGTATAATTTCAGCTCTTCTCATCGGTCTTCCTGCTGAGACAGATCCACATTGGTAAGGTTTAAAACACTCATTGTTGAATTTAATTTCATTTTGATTTGTTTTAAACTATTTTTAATCCAGAAATGTTTCCTGTTAATATGGTACTGGGTTTCATAGAGGGAGGTATCTAGAGTTGCAGTGAACTTTAATAAGATGATTTTGATACAGTAGTGAACAGACCATGATTACAGGATTTCTTTCGCGCTGAAAGTTTGAACGTTGGGCGGCAGGTGGCGAACTATGCTATGGTTAGCCACAATACCTGGAGTAGCTCTAATGGTCGGCATGCAATTTGCAGCAGAGAGTCCGCGGTGGCTGGGCCAAGTACGCGGTCGTTTTTTCAATCTCTTGCTGAAGCAGTGTATTACTTGCTGAAAATCTCAGGCGTTGTGTACTACTGACAATACATTATGTCTTCATTCAGATGGGAAGATGGGACGAGGCTGAAAATGTAATTAAAAATCTCTGGGGTGAAGGAGAAGTAGAAGTTGCAATGGAAGAGCTGCGAGCTGCGAGTTCCAATGAAGGAGAGGATGAGGATATAACCTGGTCAGAGCTTATACAGGCACCATATTTCAAAGGTCGTACCCTTTTTTATTTGGAAATGCTTGCTAGCATTATTGAAATCACCTTGAGGTCACTGATCTGGTCCACTTTGAGTTCTACAAGGAAATTTAAAAAATTGCGGAGCTGACTGTTCGAAGTGATGATGCGGGGCTTTTGTGCAGTAGCTGCAATTGGAAGCGCACTTTTTGCTCTGCAACAATTCGCTGGAATCAATGGAGTCCTTTACTTTTCCTCTTTGACCTTCCGAGATGCTGGTATTACAAACAGCGTGGCGGCAAGCGCTGCTGTCGGCCTCGCTAACCTTATAGGTCAGTAGGCTCTTGCCTTGACGTTTTTTAATAGGTACTCTTAAGCATGCCCCTCTTCTTGATAAAGCAGTGCCTCAGGGAATGAATTATAGCTAATAAACAGTTCATCGCTTTTGAATACCAGGGGCTGTAGTAGCATTATCATTGATGGACAATCAAGGTCGGCGGAAGCTTCTGATGGGCAGCTACGCAGGAATGGTAATAAACGCGATGTCAGTCGTGATATATTCAGTATGATGCATCTTGATTAGACTTTTGTGACCCCATATATCATGTTTTCTTGGTCCATTCTCTGATTCCCTATGAGCTGCCAGGAGATGGGAAGGAAATGAAATACATGGGAGGCATCTGACGCGTGTCTTTTGGCAGGCATTTTCAATGGCTCTGCTAGTAGCAGCACTAGAAATGCCCGGAAATTCGGATTTCGCACATATTCTTTCTGTCGGGGGAACCCTTTTGTACGATTTTACCCCTTCCACCTTTAGGAATGCCAATCTTTTATTACTTTGAATCCAGTATCATAATGTAAAAATTTCTGATGCCTGTTTCATTGTGGCTTGTTGCTCACATGTATTCCAATATGATCAGATTACTATCTTCAACTGGTCCGCGTATCTTATAATTTCAAACATTGGACTAGGTTTATGCGGTCACTTTTGTAACATAGAACTGAAACTTGCGCCGTAGTGGTCAGTTTTATTCCTTAGATTCCGATGTTCGTTATATGTCTTGAATCCACTAGTTCTGACCCCCATTATCCCTACAGTTATGTCTTTACCTTCGCCTTAGGAGCAGGACCAGTCACGGCATTGATCATTCCGGAGCTGTGCACAACGAGATTACGGTCTAAGACGATGGCCGTTAGCCTTTGCACACATTGGGTAAGCTTCAAACTATCTTGGCTCGGTTACATGTCTACTCATGAAATCAATTTGTGAAAAGATTGACCGCGGCTTGGTAGTATATTTAAGGAGGTAGTAATCTTGAATTTTTTCCTGAGCCATTCCCCCACCCTTCTCTTTATGAGTGGTTATTTTGCTTATTCTGCAACGCCTCATTTGATTAACATCTTAACGCATACTCATCATATTTAATGAACGTTGGTAGGTTTTCAACTTTGGAATTGGACTCTTTTTCCTAGAGGCGGTTCAGCGTTTTGGACTTCCGGCAGTGTACTCAACCTTCGGCGTCACTTCATTGCTGGCCATAGCGTTTGCAAACGGTTTCATTATTGAAACAAAAGGTCGATCACTGGAAGAAATTGAGATGCTCATGAATCCAGAGAAATGAGCAAATCATTTAATTGGGTTGATTTTGTATTTGTATACTTTGAAGCGATGAATGCTCGTACAGGAAACGTTTCCGACATTCATGTTAGCAAAGATTCTTCAGCTGGAGAAATACCATGTATGGACTTCAGCCTCCTCAAGGGCTTTTATACCAATATAGTTTTTCCAAATAATTGCCTCTTAATGTGCATGCAGTGTGGATTGTGTAAAGGTGGTATTACCTTGTAATGTCGCTGATGTCAACATTGTGGCTTGTATACTAAACCACTCTAAAATTGATTCATACATCTGTAAATGGTACATCACCACCAAAACTTGTTAGATGGACTATTGTGGACATGTAACCAGTGTAAAATTTATAAGGAACAAATATTCATGTATTCTTGTGCCATTCGTGTTAAACTCTTCATGGAAGTTGTGCTTTGTTGGAAAAAGAAAAGCCATTATAATCAGTGCAAATTGATGTGATGTGTATATGCCCTATTGGTAACAATTTTTTTATCCAAATATTAATTTAAATTAGATCTCTTGTTTATATGTGATGTATTCATTATTATTATTATTATTATTATCATTTTTTCTATTTGTTTCAAAACTGAAAATCTTGAGACAGGATAATGACTTTATTTTTAACACTCAGATGACTTTATGAAAAGGCAACTGTGAATTCAACCTAATAGGATGTGTTACAACCATTTTGTGACACTATTGTGTTTGAAATAGTTGAAAAATTACAAGTCTTAAATATTAGAATTATTTCTTTATATGGTTTGTACTAATTGTGAATAGAACACAATAAAAAAAATTAACAATTTTTTAATTATTTAAACTATTACTTTATTACCATAAATTTGTTTAATAAGTCTAAAATCTTAGTAGTGGTTATTAAGTACCAATTTAAAAATATATTACACTTATAAAGTTAGTATTATTTATTTGTTTTTAAACTTACTTCTACCAAATCCAAAACATCACATAATATATAAGCTAGCTTAGTTAAGACTAAAAACAATATTCAAGTTGGTCAAAGACCTAATAACAACACCACTTCATTGTTGTCTAATTATTCAATCACTACTTGGAAATGAATTTCTTTTCTATCTCTAAAATAATATTGCAACTTTAATTAAATTGCTATCCTGTCATGCACAAGCAACATCTTAAAATACACCACTTTTGATATATTGTTCAAATTATCTAACCTTTTCATAACCATTAATAAGTTGAAATAATCTAATATGCTTTAGTTCTTCAAAAACCTCAAACAATATTGTTCCAATGCGAATTAATGTTAAAAGACTTTTATGATTAACTATTGATATGCTTTGTAAGACCAAAAAAAAGTGTGTTATCATTTCTTGTAGTGATTTATGTACAATTCGCAATTCTCTCTTGTTTTCTTTCTTTTTTGTTTCTTTCCTCTCTTGTTTTTCTTTCTATTATACATTTTTTGTATTTATGTTATTTCATTTTATTTGTGAATATTGATTATATTCTAAAGACATGTATATATATATATATATATATATTATCTACTTAATCTTTAAAAAAATATTTATATCTCAAAATTAGTCTATAATCTTCATATTTATATATCTTTAAGAAACAAATATTTTTTTAAAAAAAATCTTCTTATTAGACAGACTTTGTTTATAACACAAAGACAAAGGTATTTTTTTATGTTTACAATTTTTTTTCAAATAATGCCAAAATTTTTCAATGGGCAAATATAATCTTAGAGTGATTTACCTCAAATGTACAAAATAAGAACACTTGAGTGAACTCTACATAGATGTAAAGTACAGATTGTAAGATCTTGGAACTCAACTATTGAAATTTAATCCACAAAAAATTAGGGTTGACGGTTGTAGAGTTTTTGATTAAACCCAAAATCTCCAAACTTAGTGAAATCAGAAAAACATTTCTTTCTCTTTATGATGAGTTTTGATCTTTTCCACTTGTGGGTGCCTGACAAAAACACACCTCCAACTACACATTTATATATATATATATATATATTACAAATACGCCACCACACAACTACAGATAATTCCCAAAGTCTGCCCTCAAGGACATAGCACACAACGAGAGGATGATCTAGAATATTTGCATGAACAAGTGAGCACCATGATCATCCCTATGAAGGTAGTGCTCAAACAATCAGAGACTAGCTGGTTTATCTCTAGAAGGAATGAAGTCGGTGCCCGAACAGATTCTAAAGAAACTGAATCGTAAGGACTACAATCAACCGATTGAAGTTCAGATAGAACTAGTTGCTAGTTTTTCAGCTGTGTAGAGAGAAGGAAGGGCTGATCATCTGCCCATAGCCGCACGAGGGGAGGTGAGGTACTCATTTCAGCGACGATGACTTGAATGTTTAAGTCACAGATGGGCTGCGTCTGAGGCGGTAAAATTACACGCTGCCTAGCGAAAATTGTGCACACATGCACAGCAGTTGGCAGCTATGAAAGCTTCCAAGACCCAAAGGCAACACACTCTAGAATTCTGCGAATGGCAGATCAGATGAATTACGGGCCGAATCTATCGAGGACTTGGCGGCATGATTCCGCAGGGCTGCTGTTTAGAAGTTATGGTACATATAATTCTCCTTCGAATCCGTCTGAAGGATGGGAAAAAGTCCCGTACTGAGGATGCTGCCTCCGACTGGGATGATTTCTAACAGTCGACGAAGCCTCCCACTCAAACTTATTCCAGTCTGCAACCGCGCTGCTAAACTTGGCAGCCACATCTTTCATTTTCGGACGATATCGGTGCTCCGTCTGCACGCACTGTAAAGCCAGGCGAATGATCGGGTGGATAGAGTCTACCCGCTGGGATGGCTCCAAGCTGGAGTCTAAGATTAACGCCACATCTTGCTCACACATCTCAGCAGCCCAGCTCGTGATGTTCCTTCTCTCGTGGACCACTTTCCGCCCACTAAATTTTTTCAAAAGCACGACCCCAAAGCTGTAGACATCACTCTTCGGCGTGAAAGAACCAAGGGAAGAGTACTCTGGGTCGAAATACCCCGGAGTTCCCCCCATGCGCGAAGCCCACAGCATTGACACATTCTGATCGTGGCTGGAGAGAGACAGCCCGAAGTCCGCGATGTGGGCCTCCAGCTTCTCGTCTAACAAGATGTTGGCTGGCTTCACATCACCGTGGATGATCATGGTAGTGGCGTATTCGTGCAAATACTCTAGACCTTTAGAAGCACCTGCGGCGATTTTCAGCCTCTCTTTCCAGCTTAAAGCCCTCTCCAGGCGGTTCTTGTGGAGGCAGTCTTCCAGAGTGCCATTCTGCATGTATTCGAACACAAGCACACGCTCATCTTCGCAGTAGCCGATAAGACGCACCAGGCACGTGTGGTTCAACTTGGACAGCAGGTCCAGTTCCTTGTCAAATGTAGACTTGGCAACGTCTTCACTCGTGTCAGGTCTTTTGATCGCCCGAATCACGCCATGTAGCCTTCCCTTGTAGACACTGCCACAGGTGCCTTTACCTAGGAGCGCTTCCTTTGACCAGTTGTTGGTTGCTTCCTCGAGCTCCTCCATTGTGAAACACGCCACGTCTCTGCCGACGGATTGATTTCTAACAGGCCAAGCCGCAGCTTTAGAACTTTTTCGCCTTCTGCACATGATTGGCACATGTATCGAAAATGTGAGCATGGAAAAAAGACAACTCAAAAATCATGAGCTGAGAACTTACGAAACTTTCAAAACTGTCCGACCTTGTAATCCCCTTAAGAGGTAATCAAACCTAGACCAACATGCACCTTGCAGCATAAAGGACCCTTTAAAATTTAACTCCCAATCGTATAAAGTAACGTATTTCTTTCGTACCGTGAAGAAGAATCAGAGACAACTGAGTTGGGCCGGGGTTCAGAAAACCTAGATGTGCTCCCTTTCAAAAGTTTTCCACCCTGAAAATATGCAGTTAGGGTTTTCTCCGAGCTTGAAGCGTTGGTCGCTACAACAGAGACCTGTTTTTCTATCTTCCGAGCCTTGGACCTACGCCTGAAGCAATACACAACTAAAAAACCAGCGGCTAGTAGGGCAAGAGCACCACCTCCGCTTGCTGCGCCAGCGATCACAGCTACTGATATTAAGGCCTTGGAGTCGCTACTCTGTGGAGCTTTGCATGTGGGAGGACAATTACAAACACTTTCTTCAACTGAAACGCCGCTGGTGTCATTAGAGACGCATAGAGGATTAGCAGGAGCTACAACAGTGGAGCACGTGTTCAAGGTCGATAACTGCACCTGCAAGAATCCTCCACAAGAAATGGACGTTCAAAATTTATCATTGCAATGTAGGAGGGTCCTGAAATACTGCAACCAAGAGAAACACAGCTATGACCATTCTTATAATGTAAATGAAGCAGCCAGGTTTAGAGGAGTCATGTGAGACTTACATTGCGAGGGAGGGGTTCAGGAGTAACAGAGATGGAATCATCAGTGGGTCGTCCAACCAATGCAGAAGAAAAGCCAGCAGTGGCCATGGAGCCCAACTCGTTTATGATAACATCGGAACCAACTACCCCAATAAGTGTGTAGTTATCTGGCGCAAAGACGGGGTAAGCAACAGTTATAACGTCTTCGAGGCTACCACTATCTCTATAGGGCTTAATCCAGTAAGGCCTGTAGGCAACAGCCTTCAAGCGCCATTGAGCTATGATTCCAAAGTAAGACCTCAGGGTCCAAAGAGGATTCTGGACCGTATTTTCATTGCGCTCGTATACGCCACTCACATTGCAAGCTATACTGGATAAAACAGCCTTGGCAGGATCACTGCGATCGAAGCTGTAGAACAATGACAAAACGTTTTGTGACCTCAATTGTTGAAGGGCTGGGCTTAACTCAGGCAGTATGGTTTCATCAGCAAACCGCCCGTCTGTAATGACGAACATGATTTTAAGAACTTGAGATCTGGGTCTGCGAGAATAGGTTTCATTGACTCTTAGAATCCGTGATAAAAGATCGGGAACCCCTTGCCTGGCATTCACAGACAATCTATCTAGCTCGTCTTTCAAGGGCTGTGAGTAGGAAGGCATACCATTGGCCACCATCTGCGATCCATTCGAGGATATCAGCACACAATGCAAAGCTTCCACTCATTTTTATCTACAATACAGTTTTATCTTATTGAGTCCACATCTTTTCCCATCAGAACTGAGAATGCAGGATAAGAAAAAACAGCAAACATCAATAACAACAAAAACAAGATACGTAAACCCTTGAGCCTGCTTGTTTAACCTCAGCACACTTACTGTCTTGTACACCAAGTCGCGCTTGCGTGAGAATGAAAGAACTGATACACGATCACCATACGTCAGGGCATCCAGATGATCCTTGACGATGTTTACAGCTGCATTAAACTTTGTGACATCTCTAGAAATTAAAATATCACCAGGTAAAGCACCGCCCATCGAGTTTCCTTTATCTAAAAGAATGACAAGATCCTTCGTTACGGCTGTTGCACCCATGTACCTGTAAACACACGAACGCCATGATAGATCAAAAAATATGACCTATGTAGGACAACCGGAACAGTGATGACCCTGATTCTCTTAACAAAACGTTCTACGGGAAACCTATCAGACTCACCACGGACGCTTTCTGGGCTCAAATGTGCAACTCGTCCGTGACACATCCTGCAACACGATCAAAAATCACATCCGAACTAATACGGTCATTATTGTCAAAGTTATAACATACTACAACATGCTTTCGTTGACAGTGTGTTCACCTCCTTAAAAACGGGATAGTTTACATCGTTTCATTCTTTGTCACTGACTTTTTGGTTAAATGCTCCAGTCAAAAACAAATCGAACAAGCACCCAAATGCTAGGTTTTCTAAAATTCTTTTGTAGTAAGGGCAAGCTCACAGCTTACTCGACCAGGAAATGAACGCTGCAACCCTTCTACTGATCCAAGGTAGAACCACGAAGTGAGGTTGCTTGCGTTGTTATTTTTTGAAATTTCCATAAAAAGGGGATCGAGCATCCTCTGACTGCAGATTGTGTGTTGGCTGCAGTTGTCAGAGTTACATTGAGTGGAGTGGGAACTCTGTCAGTTACAAGTTACAAGTCAGGTCACACTAGCCAAGTTTCTGAAATCTGCATAATGCTGAGAAAATTATAAATCCCTACACTTTTTTTTTTGGGTATATTCAAGCTGTGTCTAAGTGCATAAAGAACTTATTCTGCAGTAATGGCTCTGAGAACCAAACCCTCATTCCAGACTTGTTCGAGCCCATTGACACTGATGGATCGGTAAAATACCTCACGTAACTCTTAGAGAGAGTAACTCGCAGCTGTGAACATCCACGATTGCCTTTGAAATCAATACAAGTTGGATTGAGCGCAACATTTTTGCACGTCAACAAGTCGAGGTCCCCTTCCAATGGTTCGCACGACTGTCTTGAGCAGCTCTCTCCACAGGAAGCCACCAAGCCTGCAACACATGCATTCAGACTTTTTTTTCATGATTCTTTTACTAGTGGTGGCTACTAGTAGAAAACTTCTTCAAATGAAACAATCCCGACGGATACAACCTGCTAGAATTTGCAAAGCAATCCCACTGGTTAACAGTTGACAGGCACTAGAGAAGTAGCGATGCAAACCTGCTTGATTTTATTTTAGTGAAAGCTAAAAATAAAAACTGAAACTGAAAACACTTAAGCTAACGTTGAGGTGTGTGATTTCAACTATTAAAGGAATCTAAAACAAACGAAGGGAACTATTCAATGTAGCATAGAAGGAGATTGTGCCAGCTGAGGGCAAAATAATAGTGGAAAAATTAGTTTTTTGCTTCATCACAATCTTGGATCACAAAAGCACGACTGTCCAGATGGGTGAGAAATATACCACAAGTGTTGGCAAAATTTTCGGTGGCTTTTGCGGCAACTCTCATGACCTCTTTCTCAGCATTATCTAAGTATGCGACGGCATCGTTGAAGCTCTGTGCCAAACACACATTGAATGATGCTGCAGCTAGCAATGCCACAACGAGTAACAAAAGCCTGTTCAATCTGCATTCGCACTGTCTCCTCTCCTTCCAAGAGGAGCTTGCTTGCACATCTCTTCCTGGCACCCCTTTCCTACCAATACTAGTGGAGTGCATGTCCGCCATTTCTAACATGACCCCAATGCACGGTCGACTTTCTCTGCCTCGGGCTACGAAACTTCCACTGCGAATTACATGACCCTGCCCTGTTTAAAGCATTCCACCCGACCCTTGTCCCATGGCGCATTCCTGATCTATTCTTTTACGGAGAATTGGACCTGCACAAGTAGGTCTGCTCCTCCAATTATCCAGACGATCCAGAAACAATAGCTTCAATCTACATTGGCACGTCGATCCTGCTTTCCAAAGACCATTAGTGGCACCTGATGAGACATAGAGTTAGTAAGCGGACTACACAATTAACATACTACACCACCTGCTCATAAATGCCATGAAGCCAATTTGTTTGGTACAGTTGTAGGAGCGCTGCAAGTTGTAGACGTGAAAGTTTATGCTTGTAAAGTGTGCAACTAATATAAGTTGCACACTTATATTGAGAGGAAGACTAGGAAGAATGAGTAGTGACCACGGCGCTTTAAATCACCTAACCAGGAGTAGATATCAAACTAAACTTGACCTGGATGGCCTATTAATCGCTCACATGCAACAAGCGCAACTATTTGAATACAAACACACTATGGATACACCGACGCCGCAACTTCTCATCAGGTTTGGGCGAGTGGGTGAAATTTCCGAAGTCGGCAACGAGATTGTCGGCATTCACAATCCACCTAAATCTAAACCTGGTGGTCACGATTTCCGCTACACCCAAGCTAAGCAAATCGAACTCTAAGCTCATGTTTCCACTGTTATCCCACTGTCGCTGCAAGCAACCGGACACGACAGTCGACAGACCCGAACAACCAACTTTGGACTTCCGAACTCTCAAAACAGCTCAATGACGCAAGTCGTGTATCAACAGACTCGTCCGCAGCACCGTACCTGCTTGGACCTACATCAGGTTCTCACCTTCGCCTGATCGACTACTCACCTGCAACCATTCTAGCTTAGTCTAGCAAACCAATCGGGTCTCTAGAAGAATAACGACAGGAGGTTGTTTCAATGTCGACAGGACGAAAAAAATCCGAAGAGTCGTATCAGACGACCTCAATTCAGTGTACCTAGCTGTGAAGGCCGAGATGGTAGATACAGTTGTACATACTGGACGATGCTAGACGGCCCCAAAAGGGAACCGATCGCTGCGCCATTTGGATAGCATCTGCAGAGTTAGAAATGAACGCAAACGACGTACGGATCCTAATATTGCACCGAGCGACCTCCCGAAAGTATTGGAACTGGGCGCGCAGGCGAACAAGCGTCTGTGGTGAGACGCATTCAGACAAAAGTCTGCAAACCTTTGGGGCCCAAATTTTTCGGCACCTGCAAGTTCCATGCACTAACTGGCATAACGGGTCAACCCTTTTACCCCTGCTCGGTGAATCTAGATAAATGCTTACGGGGGGGAGGAAATTTACTACTGTCACCGCAGAGATGAAGAAGGGATGTTCGACTTGGTTTTGATTCCCAAGTGAAGTGTTCGCTCCACATCGTTGACAGATAACGTCGCAAGCAATCTCCTCATCTTGAACGGAATTTCCAGTAGCACTCGAAGTGGAAGTCGGCGTTCGTGCAAGGTGGCAGTGCCATTGTAAGACTGTCCGTTAGAAGGAATCGAGTTGATTAGTTAGATCTGAAGTTCCAACATCAGATCTGAGCTCCTAGTTATGGTGACAAGAATTTGTAATCGTTATAAAATCACACAGGAATTTCGATATGATGACGCTTCTTGATCTATGCAGATGCGTATTGCAACTCTGGCAAGGTGGATTGTCCGATTGGAGTCGATCCAACTTCTTTAATTGTTCATGAATCATGGTATGAAAAAGAAAATGCAAGAGATCCAGTGAAGAATGATATTTACCTCTTGATTTCCTCTGGAGACAACCTTCAATGCTTTCATTTCTTAAAAAAAGTGTTAAATGACAAGCTGACTCGACAAGGGTTCCAATTAAAAGTGTGCAACATCTCAGTGCTCTAACATTCCTACTCGCTCGAAGGAAAATAGAACTTGGTATTCAGTGCTTATTGACCATCTCCTCCAAGCCAACAGCATGCGTTTTATTGAAAAATATGTGCACTACAACATTTTCAGGTAATACAACATCCAATTGTACAACATGAAATTTCTGAACAAGTGGGACACAACTATGCATCTGCAAAAAAACTACAGAAAATGGTGATATATTTCTCTCAATTGGTCTCACTCGGTATAGGGTTCGCCATCTCAAAAGGCTTCCTCATATTGACACGTGTACATTATCACAATAAAGCTTACCGTGCTTTTCCTCCGGGAAGCAAGCACCTGAAATACATAACAGATAGTAGTACGAGATGTCCTACATAATGGTATCGACAGATCACACTTGACTAAGCGCTTGATGACCAGGCGATCCTCCACTGACTTCACTGAGGACGAAAAAGCTTTGCACAATGGGGAATCTATATATGTCCCAGATTGAGAGTTGGTTCGCAGAAGGAAATCAATACGTAATTCACATCTTCTTTCTCACGAGGCCTTTCAGGAAGTCAAAACTGCAAGAAGTTGCAAAGAAATATTTAAGCTTCAAAAGCTCAAGAAAGCCCCACGGGTCACCAACCATTGTCAAAACATACCTATTAACAAAGAACACTCAGAGCAAAAGAAGTCTGAAATGCTGAAGAACGAACTCCAAAATTCTTTCACGTGGTTCTAATTCGTGTGCCCTTTTACCTGTTTCCGTCTGGATGAAGTTCATATGTCTCTGATGCATCATCTACAGCTCGCAAGTAGCCTGCTGGTGTCAACCCCTGAAAACAAGAATAGAGAATGAAGATATTTATAACTAGACCAAATCAAACAAAAAAGAATTCCAAATCACCATCAACATTCAATCTGTAAGATACACATGCAAGTGCTTACCTGAATTTTAAGAGGGACATGTGATACTTCAGAACTGCCTTCCTCAATCTCCTCGAGCACTACAGTTTGACCGCTGTGGCAAGAAAGCATTTAAAAGTAAGATATCATGAGCGAAAATTACCCATACAAATTTCATCTCATTGTGCAACTATGGATGGAAGGTTAAACCGAGCGTCACACCTGTGCAGCCATCGCTTGTAGTATTCGCTTTCTAGAGCATAAAAGCCTGCAAAGTTGTGAGTTAGATAAGTTAACAGAAAATTCAAAGTCCATGGCTTACCGCACTTGGTTTGACGGATCAATTGAAAATCTCTAGAAATAATAACCCTTGAATCGATACACATGTTACAGACAATAAAATCGAAACTCGTTCATTATAATGAGCTTAGATGAAATGACTTTTTAAAGCTTAACACATCATTAATTTGCAATCTAGTATTTTTTAAATCAAAGCTAAACAATGGTTGAAAAAAAAATTGATTATCAATGTGAAAGGATGTTCTTAGTAGATTTTTGCTTTGGACAGCTATGTAACGCCTTGCACTACAACAGCCTCAGCAGATATTGGGATAAATGTTTCAGATCACCTTTAGAGAGGAATACATCAAAAAGATCCTCAAACTTGCTGATGATAGCAGCCAGCAACTCATCTCTTGGCAAGGAAGGTGCTTCCTCGTTAATTTCTTCTAGCAAAGCATTCAAACAAGTCGTAGGCTGTTTGTTGCCCACATTCAATCCTACTCCTAAACTCTCGTTCGAAAAATTGCACAGGAACGAGCCAGCATATTAGAGATGATTCATTGTAATTATTGAGCCACATCTTTTAAATACCGCTACATACAAAGAGATAACATTTTCACGAACAAACGTGATAAATCGCAATTCTCAGTGTTTCCATGCTTGGGTTCTCGTAATCACAAAGTTCTTTCGTACCCTGTCTTGTACATTTCTGACTCCTTCAGGAACATCAAATACCAAGAAAAGATCCGATATCATGCTTACCAACCACAATATTGAACTTTTTTGAGCTGTAAGTTGACGTACAAAGGACTCCGCCAACTTTAAGCCCTTTAGCATACAGGTCATTTGGCCACTTAATTCTCACTTCCGGTGCATTAAAACCCTGCGAAAAGGAAGCAAATTACTGACCGAGTCTCCATGTTCCATCTTTAGACAAGGTTTGCAATTACATGCGCGAGACTATTGTGTGCAGCTACCTGGAAGATACTGATGTTCCTTCGTGTTTAGCGGTGTGACAACATCCTTGAAAATTAGTCCTTACAGAAATCGGTTCAAACCATGATATTACGGAGCTTTACCATTCAGAAGACTTACTTTAAATAATCAAGTCATGTCCAAGCTTAATGACAACTAATTTTCAAATTCAAATAAGCAAAGAGTGAACGACAATTATGACATAAGAACCGCAAGGAGATGTACACGTACTTTGCTTATGCAGAGGCTTTCGATACCCTGGATAACCGCGAGCGATACCACATATTGCAAAAACGGAACTGCACGTCCGTCTGTCATCTGAACAGTGAAGGAGAACATGAGGCAGCCCTTGGGGGACTCCCATGAATTGCCAGCACGACCTGTAGATGCGCCAATTCAACACGTCCCATATGTTAAGCTAAGAGGTTAGCTAGAGCTAAGTTTATATATATAAATATATATAGATGAACAAAACATAAGCAACAAAATAACTCTACGGTTCTACGTCTCACCTTTTCCCTGAAATTGAATATCAGCAACACTTACTGTCCCCACAGGCAGTGTTTTAAAGTTCCTGTCAACCACCATGAATACTTGTGAGGCCCGTCTCGGGCAGGAGCATTGTAGGCCAACGACCGTGATTCACAACAGTTTGATGGATGACACCATCAATCATATGATTCTCAATGAAAACAGCAAAGACACTCGTACTTGGCAGCAAACTCTTGAGTCATTGAACAGTGAATTTAAAGCTTCAATTCCGTAGGCATGCACAACGAAATAGTCCTGCGCGGAAACGTACTGAGACAGCAGTGTATGAGTAGAGGGCAGTTGGCGAGCATAAAGTAGAAACATTCCAAAACGACGAGTCATAAGCTGGTCCATAAAGACATCCACTCGAAATCCATCTTCATTTGATTCACCCTTCTCGTATACTACTAAAGTAGATCCTTCGGGGAGCTTCAAGCATCCGGCAGTACCAGTAAGATTTTCTGCATAACTGAACCCCATATCTGATTTCCCAGCAACAGCAATTACATACTGCTTGGAATCTGATCACAACCACATCGCATATCAAAAATTAATATAATGAATGGAGTAGCTTGATCATTCAGTAAAGCATTATTATTAGCATAGTGCACAAATCAGGACCGGGAGCACTTCTAGACACCGGTAAAAGCGAAGAACTTACTATCATCTGTGCTAGAAATCTTCTCCGTAGTTTGATTCTGAATTTTATTCCCCGCTTTCCCAACCTCGTAGCCAGGATTCTTCTCAGAAGCTTTCCCAACGCTGCTTCCTTCATCTTTCCCAACGAATTTATGAGAAGCCTTTTCAATCCCGCCCTCTTCAACTTTACCTCCTTTTCCAGAGACCTTACCCACATCTTCGCCTTTACCTATTGCTTTTCCAGTTACCTTGCCCACATCTCCTTCAGCTTTCCCTACAACATTTCCAGTTACCTTGCCCATATCTCCTTCAACTTTCCCTACAACCTTTCCTGTTACCTTGCCCACATCTCCTTCAGCTTTCCCTACAACCTTTCCTGTCTCAATACTCTTATCAAGCTTCCCCACATTGTCATTCTCAGTTTTTCCAATGGTTTCACCTTTAGTCGCCTCTGTCTTACCTACACCCTTTCCTTCAAATTTGCCAGCCAAAGTGCCCATCTTCTCCGTCTTGCCCACTGCGTCCTCATCGGCATTGCCTACCGATTTCCCAACACCCTCGACCTTCCCTGTACTTTTTTCGAAATCGCTTACACTTGCATACGTTCCCTTTTCTTTGCCATCCTTGTCCGAATGTGCTTCAATCATATTTACTGTTTTGTAAGGCCCTTCCATCGCATTCTTGTTAAACTCTTCTTTGTAGGCTGAAATAGCTGCATCACAGACAGAGTACTCCTCATTAGTTTGCTTCAGTTCACTAGAAACATCTTCCGTACCAACAGGTCCTTCTAGTACCCTCGAATTTCCTCGATCATCTCCAGTATTCACCACAAAGAGTCCATTTGTGTTCCCACCAACTGTTGTTGGCAACGTAGGAGACCCTCTAGATACCATTAAAACTCGAGGAATGTTTGCTGACAAAGGAATGACCCTTGGAGGCGTCACATTGACCGCTTGTCGCCTATGAATAATAACAAAAGGAGGCGTTCGGATGGAATGTGCGTGAACTTCTACGGATTCACTGAAGACTGTCCGGTAGACTGTGAGCCTCTTCATGAATCCAGAGTTCATAGCCCTTTAAGCCTCAACACCGAACCCTAATGACCACACCATGTAATATCGTCAGAAGCTGGAAATCAGTGACAATTATTCTTGAAAGCACTGCCCGCATACCCGGTCCTCGTCCTCAACACATCCGGTAAACAGTTAAATACGACCTTCCCGCGCAAAAGAGTCTGGCGCACCACGGGCTCCAAGATCCCAAAATCGAGCTTATTTACCACTAAAACCCAACGCCGGCAATGCTATCGCGATCTACTACTACAGAAAACTGACGGGTAGAGTGCCTCACAGTGGTCAATTACAACACACCGGAATGTATTAGCCTAAATTTAAACTCAAATCTCCATTCATACTAGGCTCCTAAAATGCGACACACAATTCCATACTTACCTGAGCAAGTTTGTATGCAAGGCAACCTCCAATATACTTCTTGCAAGAAAAATCCCGCAATATTTTCCTACTTTAGATGGAAAGAATTGAACCTGTGATACACCACCAAAATCAAACTCGTGTTAGATTTAGACGTTTCCGACTGCCGTCCGCACTACCTCAAACACTACACATCAGGTGCACAATTGTGAAAAACACAGACTCAACCACAGCCATCATCACCTCACGTCCAACCGCGAATAACCTCTATCATGATTCACTTCTAATCTCCTTCGCCTCCTTCTTCAAGAACGTACCCTAGAGTTGCTCAAATATATTACTATATTCAAAGACGTCTCAACTTCCGACTTGAGGCATGTCTGAGACGCAACGAACGCACCGATAAAAGGCAGTGAAAAAGTTACCAATTATGTCATTCGACAGAGCCAAAACTGAGGGTGCCAATGGAGCATACCAGCAGACAAAAACACGCTCGGGATTGTTAATCCCCCTCTATCACCATCATCCAAACTTGTATCGAAAAACTGTCGTGAGCGTCAAATCCGATAGCTCAGCTCCGAGATAGGCCTCGCGTCCACACGACAAAGGAACTGAAAAAGCACTGCAGTGGATGGAGCAAGTGCGGATTGTGCGCAGTGATAACTACAAAATAACAAGATAGCTACAAAACAACAAGACCCTCAGCTCGGCGTTGGCGACATATCAGATAGGACAAGGACAGAAGAGAAGAAGCCGCCGACGGAAATGGTTTCTCCTCCAATTCTCGTTCGTCCATGCTCCAACGAGGAATCGCGGAAGTGCCCGTGTGAACGGCACCCACTGGTCGGAGCTTATGAGGAATGTTAAACTTGAAAAAGCGCTTAATTCAGACTTTTTGGCGCCACTTTTTGCAATAGAAGTCTCGCTAATACGACATGTGTTGGAGCTGCTCTCAAGGCCTTTTCATGCTTCAAAATTTAAAGTCTATAAAGTAAAATATACATACATGGCGTTTACAGGTGAAAATGTGAAGTATTTGTTCTTTATTCAACTGTTACTATTGGGATTATTTTTGGAACCGTGTTGATATTAACTTCTTTGAACTCAAATGTTGTGTTGATTTCATATTTTCTCAGTTTTTTTTTTATATATATTTATATATGCATATATATAGTTTCTTTATAATATTATTGTAAATTTGTAAACCTTAAGAATCCAATACACTTTTTTATGCTCAAAATAAATGCTTAGCTAAGTTTTGCTCTAAAATTGCTACTACCCAAAATATAACTTAATATTCCAATTGTTAACATCCATTGTCATCTTATTTGAAGCATGTTACTCTATACATATACAAATATATAGGTCTTTACATGCTGGTATTTTAGTATATAGATAAAAAAAATAATAATAATAATAAAAAATTTGATGGTATTACCACCCCACAATTTATTTATCAAGTGAGTATTGTGGTCTTAATTAATTAAATTGTGTTTTCTTTAGTGTAACAATAGTGTTTTGATTTTGATTTTTTTTTATTTTTAATGGAATTATTCAATGCCAATTAGTCTTTAAAGAAGATCTATCTAAACATAATTTTTCTACAAATTATTATGATCTTAAGAAGCTAAATAGGCTCTTAATTTTTAAACATTATTATAGTGGTTTGTCAAAAGAATTTTAAAAGACACTATTTAATCTACAAAAGATTATTAAATTAATTTAGATTCTTTTATATTTTTTCATAATATACACACACACACACACACACACACATATATATATATATATATATATATATATATTTATTTAAATCTAAACTCTTGCAATTCTCTTACCTATACTAGTAAAAACCACTAATGATATGTTTAAAGAACAATAAGATTATTTGTATGATAAATAACTAAAAATAAAAAATATTGTAATTAAAATACATCAATAGACATTGTTATTATTATAATATAATTATCTATACAATATTATCATTATTATCTATATATATTATAAATGATTAAAACACAATTATTTTTTTGTTCCAACTTATCATGAAGAAATTATATATATATATATATATATATATTTAATAGCTCCAACATACTTATACTACTTGATTTTGATTAGACACTGTTATTTTTGGTTTTTTCTTTTTTTTTTCTTTTTTTAATCCTTAAGAAAAACGACCTCTAACTTTTAATATTTATATAAACACAAGCTATAAATTTTATCTTTGTGTTTATTTATTTATCTATTTATTTATTGAAATAATAAAATTTTGAAACATAACTGTCATTTTTTTTTTGTGTGCAAAATATTGTAGATATCTCAAAAATAAATATAAATATTTTTATAAGAACTATATTTAATTGAGATTTATTTAGTATGCTTTGTATGCATATTTAGATATATATTATTATCTTTTGAATACTAATAACAATTTATATATTTTATGTAATTATTATAATTATTATATAACTTATTTTATTAATCATTTTATATGAATGTACTTGTAAATTGGCTTTTATTTAATGTGTTTATGATTTTATGTATGTGTCTATGCATATATATATATATATATATATATATATATATAATAGATCTTATTTTTAATTTATCATTGATGAATAATATATTTTGCTTTAGTTTTTAATAAATTTTTTAATAAAATAAAAAACTTTAAAATTAATAACATAACAACTTTAAAATTTAGAAAAAAATACTTGAAACCAAAACATGTCTATTTTTATATTTATCTATCCGTCTATCTATGTCACATGTTTTGGCATACTACACATACTTTATATTTTATTTATTTATATATCTTAGATCAAAAGTTCCAAAAGCGGTTTTTCTTTTATTTCGTTTTTATTTTTATTTATTATTTTACTCAAGTTTTCAATTTTTATTTCCGAATATACACACACATGCAGGTACAAGCGAAATTAGCAAGTGAGAGAGGTCCGACTCTGCTTGCTTGTCACCACTCCACCAGTAGAGTCTTCTTCTTCGCTCGCTCTCATTCCAATCTTGTCTTGTCTTGTCTGTTCCAAATTCATTTGCATCTCCACATTGTCTCCGCACTTTCGTTCTTCTCCATCGGCACCACTTCGCACTCAACTTCTCTCACTCAATTGTGAATCCGTATTTCTAGTGCTTCCATCATGGTACGTGCAATCGGTTTCTTCTGTGAGGGAGCTTGCTCATGGTGTTAATTTTTGGTAGACGGGCAGTCTGCTTGCTCTGGGGATTGGAGGCTTGAATTGTGTACACTTTGGTTTCTAGCTGTCTCTCTTTTAAGTTTGGCTCGTTTGCGAAGATATTTTTGGTGTGTGAGGAGATTTTTGATGAGGCCGCGGAGAGTGTCGGAGTAAAGAATGGAGGGGAGGCGGGGAAGCTACCGGGAATGGAATATTAGGTCTCTGTGCTGCATCCGGGATGTGTGTATTGAATCGGGGATTGACTATCATTCCCTAGCGAAAGTTAATCGGTGGCTTGAATTGGTCGTTCATTTTGTTGATTTATCATGAATTTGCAGACGCAGAGGCACACGATTATCTTATTGCAGCCTACTCAAAATCGGGCCACACGCACCTTCATAGATTACCAGTCTGTCCCAGATGCTATGGATGGTACTTAATTTCTCTCCCACTGTTCTTTCCTCCTGCAAGATCTGTCGAGGCAGATCTGATCTTTGTTTGTCAGTTCAGTGTATGCCTAGATTGCAAGCAAATTGGTATTACACATAGCTTTGAACGGAATTCTACAAGGATTGGCGTCGCTTAGAAATTTTTTTTGTTCTTTGTTTCTTTTGCAATATTCACTGTATCTTTTTGTTGAGCAGGTATTTGTGGATTGTTTGAGAAGAGATTGAAAGATGCAAATCCCAACCTACGGAACATCACATATGATATCTCGGACTTGTACAAATATATTGATGCTCTCACTGACATGAGTGCTCTCGTGTAAGCTGCGCTGTCTTCTCCTCCCTGCACTTGCTGAGGCGTGATGCATGAATTACAAGGATTCAATTCAATCTTTCTTGTCATGCAAGACTTTCAAGAAAACCGGTGCATCGAACTGTCTTTGGTGTTTTCTGAATCATCGTGCCCGAACCGGAACTTAGAACAAGTTCATGTTTACCACTGCCAGCAGCTCTAAAACGTGTTACATGTGTAGGTGAAAAATGTCTGTTCTCATTTCGGAAGTTGATCGGCTTATGCTTTTTGTGTTGATGTAGGTTCAATCCAACTATCCTAGCTTATGCACCTTTTGATCGATCCTGGATCAAGCAGCAGGCCTTCGAACGGCTGAAGGCGTTGGCCAGGGATTAGAACCAGCAGACTTCTTTGCTCATTTTGTGGAATGGATGCGAATACAGGAAAGTCGTGAAGCCTGCTGTGGCCATGACGATTAGGTGACATACGTGACACATGCGATGATTATGGTGGAGTGAACCGTTGGTTTTAATTAGTTTCCTGATTCTCAACACGTACCACTGCGAAGATTGCCTGATTTCAATATGTTCCAGATCGGTACAGGAGTGAGGCGAGGAAGACCTGTGTCTTAATCTGACTCTGATGTGTCTTAGCGTTGGTTTTCTATATTTTTGAGCCAGTATGATTCCGTGAACAAATGCCTTCATGGTTCATAAACAAATCATTTGTTTTCGATTCAAATTAACTTTGTAAAGTCAATTTGTGTGAGCAAGTGTTTGGATCCCCACGCAAACACCAGGAAACACAAAAACACTGCGCAACACGTCAAGGAACTCTGAACCAGTGAGGAAAAAAGATAGATTTTATGTACATTACATACAAGCTTAGCTTAAGATGTTGCAGGATAGTAGAATATCCTCCGCACATCTAAACAAAGGTAAGCTTACAAACTTGGAACAACACATTTAATCACGAGTCCCAAGGCATATATCGAAGCGCGTATCTTACCCTAATCAAAACAATTAAGCTACAAAGTATTTTCTGGATAGCGTAACATCCAGATTATGCTAGAATAGTGCTTACACCAAGTTAATGTAGATTTTTGGGCATGTTCCGTGCCACCAATAAATCAATGTTTAATCATTTTCAGTTCTAACTCCACTGTTTTCAGTTGATTCAGCAAATTTGGTAGAAACGAATTGTGAATGAATAACCGCTTCGATTGATCTTTATGAGAAGCAGAATCCAGTCGTATGTGTATGTATATGTAATAATCTGGCTTGGCACATTATGTGCCAGAACTGCCACTACCAGATACATTTGATAGTATCACATATGCGGTGATCACAGATGATGAAAAGAGAGAAACCCATGCTCCACTGGGAATCATCTCCATTGCTGCTGTCACTGGAGACTTTTCTCGCCCTTCTGCCCAGAGGCGCAACCGCTCTGCTTCTGCCGCATACACTGCTCTTCCCTGTTACAGTCGGCATGTGAGTCAGGGATTAGACACATTATTCAACTTGACGCTTTCATATGAAGAGTGGTGTGTATTTTTACCTTCGGAGACCTTCAAATTTTAAAAGTAGAGTGTATATTTTAAGATAAATAGGGTTAAAGCGAATCTACGAAGTTCAAAGATGTACGCACCTCTTTATCAAACCAACGACCCCGTCTGAACCAAGCATTGAGGATGGCCAGGATTATTCGTGGAGGGGTTAAATAATTAACGGCTTTGCCAGTGCCTTTCACAGTCCTCAAGCCTGGCACCAACGCTTGGGCTACGGTCTCGGGCTGCTCACAAATTATATTGAATACTTGCTTGTTTTGAAGGGAGGCGCCGCTGCACAACAATCAATATCTCTTCGTTCAAAATACTAAAGGCCAAAAAACAACAGCTCAGATCACAAAGTGCATCAAAAATAATTCATTTCCATCGTCAGAGAATCATTTCCATCAAATTAGCCCCGCAAAGAATACAAAGGATAATGTACCTCAGGAGCAGCTCGGTGAGAACCATGCCCGGAGAAGCAGTGTGAATCCCCACTCGAGTACCCTTGCATTCTTGCAATAGGGAAGCTGAAAGTTGCCGTAATCCACATTTTGTTGCTCCATACCTGATATTTAAAGGACATTCAAGTTAGATATGTAGAAATAAACAGTTCAAATAACATGGAAAATAGTGTGATGCTTTACCATACCACATAATCATGCAGAAATTAAAGAACATCGACAACTGCCAATATTTGCAACAGATGAAGGTCAATTAATTACGCTGCTGTCAATGGAGTGCTTGTGCCTCCAGAACCAGCTCCATCCATATTAAAAATGTGTCCTCCTTTGGGTTGTTTCTTCATAACACGAATAGCTTCACGAGTGCATATCAAAGAGCCCGTCAAGTTTGTAGACACAATCTGATAAACAACTTCTGAGTGAGTTTTTCCAAGTAGATAATAGATGTATTTGAGCAGAGTGCCTTCCCTGCCCTCATAAGAAGTTAAAAGTTCTTGCAAGAACTGCTTAAATTCATTTCAAGATGAACGTAGTACGCAATATGTGTAAAATTGAAGGGCACGGATGAAATCAAAACCTGTGTGATTTCTTCATCCGAAAATTCGACTAGAGGTCTGAAACCCTTATTCATTCCAGCATTGTTAATCTGTAATCACAAAACTGAAAGATTATAATGCGTATAGGTACGTAGAGCCATTTGTTTCGCACTCCCATTACATATCCACATCTCAACTTCACTATCTATACAAAAAAAAATTGCAAAGAATGAAATCAATTTCAATTGAATGAAAAAATTGCTTCATGTTAAGTACCTACCCAGATATCAATGTTCCCAAACTCTTGCACAACCCTTTCTGATAGCGCTCGCACATCCTCACTCTTGGAAACATCACAAGGCATTCCTACGACATTCGGCCAATTCTTCCTAATCCTTGTGTTTGCTGCATCCACTTGCGAATCCTCTTCCAAAAGGAAATTGCGATACATCTCATCAACCTCTCGCTGAAGTTCCAACACTGTGCTATCCACACCTTCGGGGCTGTTCTCCACCATCATCAACAGAATACATAGAAAAATACGCTGTTAATTGATCAGTTTGCCAAGGGATCGGCTCTATTGCATCTGGGGAGCTATGTAGCCCCATTGTAAGCCTGCATACTAAGCTCTCCAGAAGCGCTATAAAAAGTCGCCCGAAAGTCATAAATGACTAATAAGATACAAAATCAAAAACAAGAAAATCAGACTATCACCTTCGAGACGTAATGAAGACGTTATCACCAGCTCGCAGAAATTCGCGAGCAAGAGCCTTACCAAGACCTCGAGTGCTGCACAAAGAAGGGAGAAAACCATGGTAAGAAGAAACGTAATCTTCGAAACACTAGATCTTATATTCCATCCTTGAATATTACTAAATTTAGGAGCGGCGAGCGCATGCATATCTTTCAGCTTGAAGGGTTATCGGAAAAACGTCATCCTTTAACCATCGTGCTTCGATAGCAACAATGCCAGGCGCGCATGGGCAGAACAAACGTAAAAAAAAGTGGACCTAATGACTAACCCCCTTGAGATTAATTCGTGAGGATTATTTTGAAAATTATATTCTAAAAGTACTTTGCGAAAACTAATCCAATGAACCATAATCGACAACGTAATGGCTCTACTTCAGCCACATCAACCTTAAAAACTAACACGTTAAAGACAGCCGCCAGTAGCGTGGACAAAACTACTGTAGATAAAACTGTACGGTATTTAGAAAACAAGTGCAGCAGAAATTTCAAGGCATATGCGCTTTCAATAAACACCTCAAGACATCACCCCCTTTATCTTAGCTCTAGTCCTTTAAAATTATGGGTCTCCCTCTGAAGACAAAACTGTCACATACCTTCCTGTGATAACTACATTGCGCCGACCTCGTCTAGCATGACCCTCCAAAACTTGCCCTGCTCCGATCATTGAACCAAGAACTATTCCAGCAAGCCAACTAAACCAAAGTACTCCTTCCTGATGAGGTTCTCCTCCTGAAAATGAGGGTACGCTTGGTAAATATATCATGAGCAACGATAACATCCATTTCTAATTATCAGGATTTTTAGTCTTTTTAATCACATTTCTTATGTGATTAGAGAAAACCTTCAAAAAAACAAACATTGAATAGTGCCAATAAATGTATAAACCTCACGTGACAGTATGAGCATCCTCGACATAACAATGACCATGATGAAGATAGTACATCGAGATACATCTGGCTGAGGTCATTTTGATTGTCTTTACCCAGCAATAGCCACATGTTATGACACTCATAAAATCCGCTAAACTAACATGTGATAGCCAAAACTCGACGTACCAGACAGCTGAAAACCTGTGGCAAGAATGGCACCAGTTGCAGCCATGACGAAAGTATACTTGCCGAGCTGGCTTGTAAACTGGTAACATGCACAAATCAAGATATGTTAGTTAATTAGGAATCCTTATACACCTCAAAAAAAGAAAACGAAAAAGAAAAACAACATCAAGACCAAAACGCATTTAAGGCAGGTTGGTGTATCCAATTCCTTAGCGAAAAAATGCCCCATGCTACGTACCGCGAAGAAGTCATCCTCAGCTCTACGGAGACCATCAAAAACTCTAGTTCTCAACTTCTTAGTTGCCGAAGGAGTGGAGCCGTTCAGAAATCCAAGCGGATTCCACCGAATCTTGTTTTGCTTGACAGAACTTGGCAACTCAAGCAGGGCATCCTCTTTCTCTTTAAGTCCACTTAATGCCCGAACAAGTTTCCTCACAAATTTTACCATCGCCGGTTGTTGCCTAGTACTTTGATGCACCACATCCGTTTCCAATTCAATAGCACCAAAAGAGGAAGCCGAGTTGCCTCTAAATCCGGACGGCCGCGAGTTTTCAACCTCCTCGATAATCAGATTATCATGACCATCCTCGACAGCTGAATTTCCAGCTTCAATCCCCAAACTCATGTTCAACTTCTCCTCAAAAATTTCCCCCGAACCTACTTCCTCCACTTCTCCCAAATCATCCGTACCCCCCGCATGCACAACAAACGATGTCTTGCCACCCCTGATTACCGTACGTCCAAACATCACTGGCCTCCTCTGCACTGTCATCCTCTGCGAGAGCAAAGCAGACCGGTGCGACCACGAAACTCTCCCTTTCGCCTCCCGCCTTACACAAATCTGCACTCTGCTCCCTCGCAACGCTAACCCAGACGGCCACACACGTAGCGACACATGCACCACTCCATCACTCCTACAATTTCCAAAAACCACGTCCGGTCGCACAAGCATGGCGGACGGCGACGCAGCCATGCTGTGAATCTTTACAATTACTCCAACAACTTCACCTCTCTTGCAAACTCACGATCTCTCCACTATGCTTACAAATCCTCGACCACACCTCGAAACGAACACAAATTGTCAATCGATCCTGGCACTTAAAACGTTAGACTTATCACACCCCCGAATACCTTACACAACACAGAAATGGCGATTGATGCTCCACTGCTGCGTGTGGGGAAAGGCAAGCAACGTGAAGGTGACAGTTAACTGGTTTATCGGATGCGTGCTTGACATCATAATCGCAATTAACTACGCAAGGAGGAGATGAGAAACTGACGAATGAGAGAAAGCGGAGACGAAAGAGTGAAGGGGTGGGAAAGGCCTTGCGCTCGTGGCAGCCTCATGGTTCCACGTCCAAAAGATATCAAAGTCTGCCTCGCATTACTCTACTACTCTTTCCCCTACTTTCCTAAAAACTATCTCCACGACATGCACTTCACTTGCTCCATCCTACATCAAAAAAAAAAAAAAAAAAAAAAAAAAAACTACAGAAAACTACAAAAGCGATGTTACTCGCTCAGTTAACTTTGCACTGGGCGGTGCAATGCCATGCCTGCTATTGTGATTGACGCTACAGTTAAACTCATAAAAAGAGCGTCGTAGATTCAGGCAAAAACACGACATCGCCATAGGGGATCTATCTATCTATCAAATAAAGGTTGCGTGCAAAACCCTCGGTGCCGCCGCGATCTGGCGCTCGTCCGGAACTCAACAGCAACAACAACCATCTTATTACGCGGAAGAGAAGAGATCCTTTTTTGGTCGCCACAGAATGGACAAACAGTGAAGTATATATTGCCCGGTTTCTCGTGCATTCTATTTCATTTGATACCCGCCAAGCTTACCGTAGATGGATATCAATCCGAGCTGTGTGTGCTCGTGTCAGTTATAGAATGTGGCGAATTGCAGTGAACTTCAATGAGTGGGTCTTGAGGAAATATTAAAAATAATAGTAACAATAGAGGTTTCTTAAATGGAAATTATGAAGGGATTTGTTTCCCTAAAGAAGTGAACATTATAGAAGCTTCTAATTGTTGATATTGTTGGTTTTGAAGATATATACCTATATTTATAAGTAAAATTGTTTAACGATGGTTTTTTTTTTAATTTTTTATATATAAACAAATTTTAATAAAAAAAATAATATATGTTTTAAATTATATGTGTGTGTATAGATATTATTATCGTAGGAGACCATGATATTTTCTTAGAAAGGAATATATTATTTTAATAATAAATAATATCACATCTATTATATAAAACAACTTGGATATAAGACAAAAAAACCTTTTCATTGGTTGTGAAGAAGGGAACGCAAGGAATGCAGGGAAGGTGAGAACTTGGGAACATAAGAACTTGTAAAATGCAAGGTTTTTGGAGGCCATTAGTTTGAACAGACCACTCCCAAAAGCTTTTACAACTCTTTCATGTCCAATATCACAAGTTTTTGCTAATCTTTTATAATATGATTTAACTTAAATGAACACAAATGTACCATGCATTGTAATATAAGAATAATTATTTCTATCTATCTATATATTTATTTATTTATCTTCCAATCTTCATTGAATTGAATAATAAATAATACAAAATAAAATGAAAAATGAAAAATGATACACATAAATTGTTTCTAAGTAGTGTTAATGACTTTGCAGACATATATTTACAGTTAGTTTGTAGTTCATACATCTTGATAATTTAGAGTTAAAAAAATTGCTTCTTACAAGTGATGGTTTTATAATTTAAGGTTTCATAATTAAAAAGATCACTTATGAAAAGACAATGAAAACATAAAAATACATCAAAAATGACATTTATTTGAAGGTTAATAATAACATGTATTTTATCAAGTAATATAGCTTTAAGAAGAAAAAAATCAAAGAAAAAAACAAGTAATCAAACAACTATTATTGTGTTGTGATGCTTATTTTATAATAACTAAATGAACTTATAGTAATTTAATTGAAAAGTTTATTTTATTTTATTTTATTTTCTTTTCTTTTTCTTACCTTTTAAAACTTTATACCTTAATTTATTTTAAATATGTTTTTATATTTATTACAATATTTTTTTATTATTGTAAACTACACACATAGAAATTGATTAAAAATATTATACATGAGAATTATTAAGATTTTCATTTGTATTGATGTTTTAGATATTATGATTCCTTAGTTGCTTGTTAACTATCTGAAACAAATTCTTTGCAAACCACAAAATCATGGTTGTCTCAAGAAACTAAACAACACTCTTACAAAAAAAATTTAAAAACAAAATAAAACAGTTGCCTAGCACATCATTTGTATATTTTTATTTTAGTAAGAAAAAAAAAATGGATCCAGCAATGCAACAAAAATAAGAGACATTCTTGCAGCAAAATGAGGAAATATTAGATGCTTGTATTGATATTTTGGAAGAAAGATTAATGTGGTTATACTAATTTATTCGTATACTATCATTATTTGTGCTGAAAATGAACCCTTCACTCACACACACACATGAGTGTAATTACATAATTTTAAAAAAATTAAACAAAAATAAAATTAGGTCTTTTCTAATGGGTTTTTGATTTTAATTTTCTATTTTTCTCTTTTGCTTCACATGTTTTTGTTTCTTGTCTTCATGTACTAGACAAAAATGAAACACGATTTATTTATTTAATCCAATTGCAACACAACAAGAGAAAAATGTGTTACACCCAACGTAAGCATTGAATGTCAAATCAATATGAATCAAATATGCAACATGTCATTGCTTCCGCCGAGGGGAATATAGCAGCAGGCTCCCTTCGGTGATAGCTTGCAGCCTAACGCCGTGCTCAGATCGAATTATTCCTTCGCCTTTTACTAAAGAATACCGTGCACATAGTACACTTTCCGGCATACGCCACTTTCTGGAATGCCCCTCACAGGGCCT